CCTAGAATTCCTTCAACCACCGTCACCGATACCGCATCGAGGTCACCAACACCCATTTTGACCGCTACACATAAGACGCCGTTTCATTTGCCAAAGACTCTCGTTCTTGATCTCGATGAAACTCTCATACATTCAACGTCCAAACCAATCGGTCATCTTTCTAGTAGCTCCGGGCTTCTCGGTTTCGGACGCAGGAACAAGGGACACACAGTCGAAGTAGTCTTGGGCGGCCGGAGCACCCTTTATCATGTATATAAGAGACCGTTTGTTGACTACTTCCTTCGCAAGGTCAGTCGCGCGCCACCGTTGTCAAGCCATTATAGCCTGACTAGCGGTTGTCAGGTTTCTGCTTGGTACACACTCGTTGTCTTCACTGCTTCTATGCAAGAATATGCCGACCCAGTCATTGACTGGTTAGACGCTGGACGTGGCATTCTTGCACGCCGTTTATTCCGAGAGGCAAGTTTTGTAATTATTTTACGATATCCGTCTCCTTACCACCACGCTGTCACACTTGTTCAGTCTTGCACCCAACTTCCTAATGGATCTTATATCAAGGATCTGTCCGTGGTAGAACAGGATCTCTCTCGTGTCTGTCTGATCGATAACTCGCCGGTTAGTTACCGTGGCAATGAAGGTACGCACACTTCCATCTTGACACTTCACAATCTCAGCGTGCTCTCGTAACAGCGAATGGTATACCCATAGAGGGTTGGACACATGACCCACTCGATGAAGCCTTACTCGATTTGTTACCCATCCTGGATTCGCTGCGTTTCACCGGGGATGTACGGAGGGTATTAGGCATTCGCGGGTTCTCATCATAACATTCCTCTAACACCCTGGACCATCCTAAACTGACTTTTTACCTCATGATTCCGAGTTCAACATTGCCGCACCCATCATTCTGCATGTCACAATTAGCATTTTGCACGCACGTCTTGCTGCATAACGAGCTCATAACTTAATACAGGCAGCTTCGTTACATAATTTAATTTACTGCTTATCCTGTACACTATCTCAATTTCACAAGAATACGATCAGCAGCCAGCAGGGAAATCCTAAACAATCATCTGTTGCAAGAGGCTATTATGAGAAGGGGCTTGGATATATGTATAAAGTCAGATGAGACGCAGTGAACGTATCGACCGAGATGCAGTAGGGGAAAGGACTCTAGCTATCACATTGCTAGTGCGGCCTGCAGTTCCCTCAACTGAGCCTCCTCGTCGTCCTCCACTGCCACTTTGGCTGCACAAGAGGTTAGTTGATTGAACGTGAAGTTGATTTGAGGCATCTTACGTCGCTCTTCCACCCGACGAGCTCCTGCAGGAATGTGCAAAGGAACATGCTCTGCTCCAGCGAGGCGTTCATCGAGTGTCTCTTGCTCAAGCTCCGCGAGCTCTGCCTGGAGTTCATCCTAATTAAGTCGTCAGCACGAAGGCACCCATCAAGTCAGGAGATAGACACACCTCGTCAGTCATAACACCAGTAGGATTTGATAGAGCGTCTGCAATTTCATTAGCAATCTCTCTCTGTTCTGTGATCTTATTCATGGTCGAGTCGACCTTATCCATGGTCCTACGAGAATCAAGGTTACTACTATACGCGTGATCAGCAACGTAAGGAGAATACACACATGTTACCATGGATCGATGCCAGCACGTCTGAAGCCTTCTTCATAGCAGCCATCGTCTCTGCATTCAGATTCGCAGACTCTAGTGTGTTGATTTGTAGCTCCAGCTGCAGTCGTTGACCCGCCAGTCGATCCATCTCAGATTCGCTCGCCTTCTTCCGCCGCAGAGCTTGCGTAGCCACTGTGCATCGTGTGTGTAGAGGGTGAGCGTCGACGGTAGAGTGCGGACCTACCAGCCTTGTTAGAAACAGCATTCGCCTTCGCTTTCTTGAGTTCCTCATCAATCTTCTTCTGTAGGTGCTCCTCCTTCTTCTCTATCATCTGTAGTTGCTGCCTTAGCCCTACGATGGCATCTCGTGCTCCTTGTTTCGTGTCTCGCCTCCCACCAAAGTAAGACATAAACCCAGCCATCATGGTTTAAGTACAGAAGTAGATCAAAACAAAGAGATGCGCGCGGAACAAAGGGTAGGGCTTGCACAAGTGCTGTATTGCCGCTGCGGGCTAGAAGCTCTGACCGGCACGTACTGATAACTGAATAAGGCAACTCGCCTCCTCACTGTGCTTTTAGTCATTCTCCTTGGCCCCGCTATGTACACTCTGAGTCATTACATCCCCACTCAGACTTTTTTTCTGATTCTTATTATGATATTGACACGCTTGTTAGGTGGCATGCAAATCTGCTGTCTCTGGTACGTGGCCATATAGTATTCCACTTACACTGCAACAAACAGTAAATTGCATCCCCTGCTCTTGCACACCCACGACCTCTGAGATCTGAGGCCTGAGGGACCACACGACGGCCGGCAAATCACTTGTCACAATTTTAACGGTATCTTGTTAACGTCTGTAAGCGTCGATTCCCCTGCAGTAACATTATAAGCGCAACAAGCACAGGATTCAAAGATGCCAAAAATATTTTCTGCTGCCACTCAGCAATAATGTCCACCATGTCTTCAAAACTTAACACAGATGGAAGCGTGCCTGCGTCGAAGTCCGTACCCTTGAGCATGCAGACGACGTCGTTCAATATTCTGATCCTCTTGCCAAGAGACGATCAGGTACATTAGCTCGGGCACGAGTGGCACGTTGCGCAGTATTACGATCACAATCACAAAAAGGAATAGCGAACGGTTTCTGGCATGATTTTGTTAGCAAAATTCCTGCGAAGGATACGGATCACCAGTACTAACGCGTATTGAATGTGCATGAGCAATGGTAGCATAATGTTTGCGAGTCATACAGGGAAAATTCTCGACAGACGCAATGAAGGGGCAGTAGCAGGCAACATATTGCCAACAGTGTATTGATCACGAACAGCTCCACGAACTCGAACTTCAGAAAATCCGAAGAACTTGCGTAAAACACAGGACACAAGAGAAGTGCCGTCGTCGGAAAGTTCCTGATCAGACACGACCAGCGAGACTGAAGGTGCTAACGAAGTTAAAGTTAAAGCCGGGGAAGAGGATCTAACAGCCATGACAGATTGAATACAGCCTCTTGAGGTCGACGACAAGAGTGACCAACAACACACAAACAATGTCAAATTCCGGCTATGAACTCGGCCCTGTATGCATATGATCAGAACTTTTTTTCCCGTTACACCAGTAACCCTTTTCGGGTCCTGGGCTTCGGTGAGCTAACAAGGAAAGTATCCAAAATGTTCAATTGTAAGATAGTTGAGTCCAGAAATGACTAGATATGCAAAGGCCGACGTGTGGCAATTAAATCATCGATGACAGAATATCGCGCCCCTGCGTCTAATGTACTAGATCATTGGCTCTTCTTTTCTTCCTCGCTGCAAGACACATTATCAGTTTGGATGGAACACATATGTTTGGGAATCTCACCTTTCGTCGTCGCTACGATCGTCCGAGGCACCTTGACCGCTGATCACGCGCCATGCAATGCGACAAATCATCCAGAACCAGATGATTTGGATGACCTTGAAGGAATTATCAGGTATGAACGTTGATAGAATTTCTGACACTTACCTGTAGTGCCACCAGCAAGTAGACAAAGGTATCGTAAGTCCCCTCAGAGTAATAATGTCCCAATTCTGGCACCCAGCCCACAGAGATCAATCGTGGGCCATCGAACCAGGCTGATTTTATGACGATGACGAATAGAACGTGACGTGCCACGAACCATGATATGAGGAACCAAGTGAAAGTGATATCGCAAAGGGTATATAAACCAATGTACCGAAACATTTTGGCGACCTATTGGGGGATGACTAATTGGGCCTGCATCATTAAAGAGCAGGGAGAGCAACTTACTGGGAGAAAGATATCATTCCAGTCCATCAATACCATGATGAGGCATCCGATACGGGTAAAATTGCAGAAGTAGCTCATGACGATGAGGAAAATAGTGAGGACGTGGTGGGTCATCATTTGCACATGGTCTTTCCTGCGAGCCTCGGCATTGAGAATGAGGACTTGGTGGATATAAAAGGCAGTCTGGGTAAGATAGTATAACTTCAGAGGTCCAGCAAGGGGAATATGGGGGTAATTCGACCACAACTCCGTCGGGTTTAAGGCTTGAGTAGGAAGATTTCGGTGAACATACTGAAAATTAAGATTAGACATGACACGTCAGCTGCATGAAACTACATACAAAGCCAAATGACCATTGGAATATGTAATAGATGGCCGACCAGCCTTGCTCTGCGAACCTCAGAACGCTGCGATGAATTTTGCGAGCATCCCGTGCAGACATTACGCCTTTTGGCTTGGAATCACCATTAGCATGTCCAGCATGTCCGTTTCCGTTTATGAGATCATTTTTCTTGCCGTTCTGTTGTATGTGGTGGGAATTGGAACGCTCCCAAGTGCGGGTGAGCTTCCACCTAGCAAAAGGCTCCAATACGAAGATGCGAATTATGTCGCGCAGAACTGCCATCACGGCAATGCAAGTTATTATGAGGCAACCATCTAGCATGCCAGTCTTGTAGTACGCGGAATGGTGGAACGAGTCGGGGTTGACGGGTGGAGGAGTTGGGTATGAAAGTGAAACGAATGGAACGAGGTAAGATGGTAGCCACTGAAGGGCATGATGGCTATTCATTGGTAGACGCGTCGGAAGATGTTCAAGTTAGCAGAAAGTCGTCAAAATTTTCATGAACTCGGTGAGCAACGTGCGATGATGGTGTGTTTTTGTGCCTGTTTGTTAAGTCTTACGTTTGGCAACGCAAAACGCGACTAAAAACTAGCGAAAGCTCTTGCGAAGCTAGAGAAATGATCCTAGACCGTGTTAGTGGAGACCTGAAAGACTTGAGAACTGAAATGAGGTCTAATATAAGTTTAAGTGAAATCACGCTGCCTCACTCATCAACCTGTGAGAATGTAATACCTTTCTGGGATAACAACTACCATACTCCATGAACGCGACTTGAACAGTAGACTCGTAATAATCATGTCTGCTCAGCCAATTCCTACTCTCTATATCAACAATCTCAATGATAAAATCAACAAGGATGAAATGCGTACTCAACTATATGCCCTTTTCACCACATTCGGCAAGGTTGTTGATGTCATCGCGTCAAAAGGTCCAAAGATGAGGGGTCAGGCATTCCTCGTCTTCACAGATTTGGCATCTGCGACTACCGCCATGAGAGCCTGCGAGGGTATGGTGTTTTATGACAAGCCAATGGTAAGCTTAAACCTGGCTTTCTAGGAGACAATTAAACCGATTTCACTTATGCAGCGCATCACCTATGCGAAATCGAAATCATACGCTACTTCGCGAAGGGAAGATCCCAACTTTGTACCTCCAACATCTGTTCATGCAAACAAGGATCTCGCTATGCTTGCAAAAGTCACTGTTTCGACAACTGATAAGCGCCGGCGCGATGGGGATATGGCAGATGGGCAACCAAAGCCCAAACGTGAAAAGTCGGAGGACGATAGTGATGGTGAAGAGATGGAGATCGATGAAGATGAGGAACCCGCTCCACAACTCAAACCCCTAGGTACGTCACGGCATGAAACAATGCTCACATGATTTCAATCATTCTTCCCAAAGCCACCATTCCGCCGCCTACACAACATCCATCTGCTAGATTGTTTTGCACGAATCTTCCTCAAGAGGTCACAGACAATGTACTTTCTGTGCTATTCCAACAGCGAGTACTCATTCCCTTTATATCCAAATAATTTACGAATGTTGCAAATAGGTACAAGGGTTTTCAATCAACACACGTCGCTCAATCACCAACTCCAAATGCTGCTGGTGCAAGCGTAAAGATGGCACAAGTTTTCTTCGACTCCCCCGAACTTGCATCGACCGCAAAAGACGCCCTAGATGGCTTCACACTAAAAAGGGGCTGGAAGATGTCTGTAGCCTATATTTAATACAGTTGTAGGTTGTAACCGCGAAAATTTGTACTAATTTTTAATATTCTCGTGCATCTGCTCAAGGTACGACCAATCATAGGAGGGTTCGTTTTCAAAACGATCTACTTCCACTTATTTCTGCAAGGCTTGGAGAATGGCCTCTCCAATCGGATGAGCTGAAGCCGGGTTTTGCCCGGTGATCAGGTTACCGGTAACAACGACCTTGGGCTAGAATAACAGTGGATGAGTCAACATCCGGCCGAAGTCAAGCATAATACTGACCCCCCAAGGTTCCGCTGCTTTCTCATATTTGCCCCCAAGACTGGAGATCCTGTCTTCCAACAAGAACGGTATATCCTATATCCAAAACACGTCTGCAAAAGTGCCAAACACTGACTGAGTGATACTCGCCTTCACTTTGTTGACCTGCTCTTCCTCAACATTTGAGAAGCCAGTGACAGGTTTGCCAGCAAAGATGGATTTGCCAGACTCGTCAGTCGCGCCAACAAGGGCACTGTAACGAAGTGTCAGTAGCATTCGTGGTAGAACTTATTGTGCTATAGCTGACGCTGGTCCGTGGCAAACAGCAGCGACCAATTTCCCAACACGGTAGAACTGTAGGATCAGATAATCATTACTGGCCCATCACACAAGGAAAAATTGGCAGACGTACTTTAGAAGCAAGCTGGATATTGACGGGATCCACTGCCAGATCCAAGACAGGACCATGGCCCCCTACATAGAAAATCGCATCATAATCATCAGGATTAACTTCGGAGAGCTTTTTAGCGGTCGAGAGCTTCTTCTGGGCATCTGTGTTCTCGAGGAATTTGCCTACATCGTCCGGGAACATCTAAAGGTAAGGTGTTAGCAACTGCTCATCAATGACCTGGTCTTGAACTGAACACCCACCTGGACGCTGGATTCATCCACAGGCGGATTAGGACCCGCAGGAGAGGCAAAATCTATAGTGAAATGAGGCGCGAGGACGTAGTAAGGATGAGCGGCTTCAGGAAGGTACCATCCCTGGTCAGACGCGGTTAGAGGACTGATGTCAAAAACAAGTGCAAGGCTCTGCTGACCGTATTGGCACCTGTCAACGTTTGGTTTGCAGATGTGAAAACAAAGAGGATTCGTTTTGTCATGACGTTCGATGAGTGAGATGGATGTGTGATTTCATGGCCGTTATGGCCTTAATATATCTGTGAAAATTCTCGTCCCCCGGGGCGGGGCTCCAGTTCCGAATCGGCAACATCTCTTGAAGTGCACTCGTATTTGCCCCCTCAGGCTGTAGTGGAACAGGATGATCTTTCGCGTGAATTGACATCGGGACGTACACACTCCCGCAAGTCATAACGAGCACTTGGCAACAGGCTGGGAGCATGTGCATGACACATGAGGCATTTAATTTTGATAAGATAAGATAAAACAAATAAATTACGTAAGGATTATCACCGCGAAACTCACTTTCAAGCGGCGAACCACAGGCATCTTCGGCACTCTTGGGGGTCATAGCATTCGAACACAGCGTGATACCGTAGATCGCATCCATCGGCAGCATGTCTTCATTCTTCGGACTGTCAGTAGTCCTTCCAACAGCAAGACCATGAACTAACGCGTCGGCTTATCCAGAGGCAAGACCCGCACGTTCAAACCTCGAAAGGACGTCCCGGAGGGCACCAAACAATATCAACTGCGAAAGTATGCAGAGGCGACCTTGGTAAATTACACCGATTAGTACTAATGCCAAGATGACGTCGAAATTTTGGATGCAATCTAGGGCTCTGGCAACTTGAGGTTGGCTGTCCGGCTGCCTGAAGGTGAAGATACAAATGAATGGCTTGCTGTCCATGGTACGGACCATCTACACTCGTCTATGACGCGTCATCGTACTCACATGAGCAGCTGTTGATTTCTTCAATCACTTGAATATGTTGTACGGTACTGTTACCGAGTTCTGCACGCCGCAGGAGGTATGGCGTTACTGATCACTTGCCGCTTGATCTGAAACGCTGGCCTTAGTGTCCTATAATGTCCGCCGGTCCGCGGTGAGCCTCTGCCTGTAACATACATATAATTTTGAACTTACTGTAATTCTGTAGCTACGAGTACCTTTGGGAAGATGGTGTCAAATATAAGAGACCCACGAAGCTGCCCGCACCCGAATATGTAGATGCATTGATGAACTGGGCTCAGAACATTCTCGACGATGAAACTGTATTCCCCAACAAGATTGGTGTGTACCACACGATAAATCCACTCTACGGTGGTAGTTGACGAAACTTAGGCGTGCCATTCCCTCGAAATTTTCGCGATACAGTGCGCACGATCGTACGCCGATTGTTTCGCGTATACGCACACATATATAGCAACCACTTTGACCAAATTTGTGCGCTCGGCATCGAAGGTATCATCTCGTTTTGATTTCGGCTTCGATTATGACAGGTTAACCAAATTCTGCAGCTCATCTGAATACCAGTTACCGGCACTTCTTTCTATTCATAAATGAGGTGTGTCCACGATCATCTCCACAGCTGCCTGATGTCACTTAATTCTAAACTTGCTAGTTTGACCTTGTGGATAAGAAAGAATTAGCACCCCTGGATGAGCTCAATGACGCCATCCTTGCCGAGGACAAGGCCCGATAACCGAGTTCTATATTTTACCGTTCACTGTACAAGGTTGTATACCTATGTCATTGCCTTGACGCCAATCTGCCACCAAGTTCCGAATCATGATGTTATTACCCGTCGGCTATATGCTATGCATGTGTGGACCATCATGGAGTACAAACTTGTGGAGTCGTAAGCGTTAACAGGCTATGATACTATTTCCGGAAGGGGTAGCTGCTAATGAGTACAGGTCGTGTATGATGGACTCGGTGGCAGTGTTCACCGAAGTGAACAATTCCAATTGATGTTACACAAAGTGAGCAGTGTGACACGATGAATGCAGTAAAAAAATGAAAGGGATAAGTGATACAATCTATTAAAGGAATGAGAACTGAAGAAGTGCGTGCGCGCATTTTCTGGGGTATGTTCGTCCAGGGTGAGAGATATTAGATAGTCCTCTGCAGTTCCGATATAAGCGGAAAGTTCGAAGGCCTGAAACGGTGGGCGTACCTTGACTGCCGACCATTGTATAATCAACGTCTTCAACCGGTCTCGAAGTGCTTTTCGACAGAGCTCGCATGATAACTGATCACCTAGAGGTGCCAAAGCAGATTCAATCGCATTTGTGGACAAGTCTGGATTTAACAAAAATTAGAACAGTGCTGGTGATCATGTATGAAACATACCTGGCCTGGCATCCCAAGCGAGATATGCAGATGCGAGAGCCCAGGCTCTTGTGAGCCTCTTCTGCTCGGTGAAGTCGCAGTCATTAGTGGGGGCATGCGGATGAGGTGGTGGTAGGAGGAGACGTTTCAAAGCATCTGCGCGGCCAAAGTGGAGAAAAAATAATCGTTTCAAATATATTGCGCCGATTCTGTCCGCCATCTCATCTGTCAAGGACGCGAGGGAGAAGGAGAGCAAATGAGATGAAGTTGGAACGGCGAGGTCATAGAGGTCGTGTGAAGCAGCCAATGAATAGAGTTCCAAGGGGTAAAGAGGTGCATGCGAGAGAAGTAGCGAATGGAGGGGAGTAGAAGGGCCAACGTGGCGCTTGAGAGAAACGCCATAATCTGTTAGCGCCGATAATGCTGTTGCAAGGGACTCGAAAGAAGGAGAATAATGGGAACATGACATGTTGTATACGGCATGAAGTAGGATATTGAGGATGGTAGAAGATTCCGGGACCACCAAGACTGGACCTATCTGGCCGACTGTCGCTTTGGACGATAGTGGTAGCAGACCGCCAAAGTTATTTTCAGAAACTCCAAGCAGCGCGCGCGTGTGGACGTAAAAGAATATGGAATCGGATGACAGCAGCACGAGATCTGGTGGGTGTGGGCAGATGTTTGCTCCAGGAAAAAATGTTGTGGACACAGAGACAAGTGTGTCTTCCTCTGTTGGTGGGTCAACCGGTGACGAGGTAAACGAGTCCTTTGGAAGTCGTGGTCAATATCATCTGCCTAACATGATACTTCCAGTCTAAACCACGTACGGGGGGTGTTGGTACCTGCACAGGTACCGCCGAATGTGTACGTTCTGCGACGGGCCTTTCAGGCACATGAGAAAATTCCATCTCCAAAGGCTCTGAGACGAACTGCAAGACGAAGTCCCAGTCTGTATTCTCCATACAAGTACTCATAACTGCCTCAATTGATGATCAGACTGGATGCGGGGGATGCAAACAGGATGATTTAAATAAAAATAAAGGCTGCGGAAGGAAATTATTAGTACAGCACAACGGGCGATGGCGAGCGCATATAACGTATGAAAGAGAAAGGGGGGCAGCAGTTCGGGAAATCTATAAACGCTGATTTGAACCAATTACATACTTCGCTGAGTTTGATATTGGATGACTTGGCGACCGTCCTAGGGAAGTAGAGCCGCGATGCCGCTGTTAATTTGAGTTGAATTTGAAAAACAAATGTTGGCTTGACCCTCTTATATACTCTAAATCTGGGGGCCAGGCCTCTTGGATCCATACTATGGCTGTATGTTCTGACTAGGGGAGAGGTTTGGGCCACGGCAGCGACTATCAGCACGCTGAGAGTGAGTCAGGCGGGGAACTGAGTTGTAAATCATGAAGTTAGTGGCCCAAAACGCATACATGTAACTCTAATCGCCACAGTCTGGAAAGGGCCTCAGGCTGGCCCCCAGATTTAAGAGGAACATTTGGTTTGCAAATTCAAGCGGCTAGCTGATCATTTTTATTCTATTCCGCAGTATTCGAGCTGCTTGCACTCATTCGCGATCGAGAGCGAACTATCATAATCGGGTGCTTCCGGTCCCTGCAACTTTGCTTCCAACTCCTATTTCTAGAAGAAACGAGACCAGCCTATCCGAGGTTACCATGGAGTGGGAAAAGTATTACGGACGGGGCATGTTGACTGAGAAACGCACCCGCTGTCAGCTATGAACCGATCCATCGGGGGTAAATACATGAATCAATCGTCCACCCGCTTTCTCTTAGACTTCAGCTTATGTATTTCTTCTCGTTGGCCGAAGTTTGAATCATGTAATTCCTAGAGGCTCGCGTAAGAAACAGTAAGTTTGCTGTCTTGTCTTTAACATGCGCACCATATTTGCTAGCCTTTTTGCTGTGGATACCGCATTCAATTTTTCTAGAACCTTGGTTTCTGGCATGGTCATAGCCTCTAATTGGATGCCTGATGAAGTTGTGAGCCAACTCTATCACTGCGGACCGAGAGTAGAGTGACGTACCAATCCGTCCTTCTATTCGTGATACCCGATCTTCATCCTTTTCCGTCACAAAACTAACAGCGACACCACCTTTACCAGCACGTGCAGTTCTGCCGACTCGGTGCGTGTATTCTTCGGGCTCATTTGGCAGGTCCCAGTTGATGACCATTGCCACGTCTTCAATGTCCAAACCACGGGCACCAACATCTGTGGATACAAGAACTGGGATGAAAGAGGACCGAAAAAGTGATAATGACGTCAACCGTTCGCGTTGAGTTAATCTTGAATGTAGCGCGGTGCTGCGAATAGACAAAGTCTGAAGTAGATGAGTAAGGTAAGCAGCCGTCCGAGGCTTCGTGCAGAAAATGATGGTAGGTGGTGGTTGTATGGGTATATCCTCATCCGGACCGGGTTTTCGCGATGCTCTGGTCTTTCCCTGATGTCTTGATTTTCCTCTGGATTTTCCCGGTTTGATTGGTTCTGGCGGTGCCCTTCGGAGTAAGGCGATACTTTCCGGAGGATTGCAAAGTAAATGGTAGAGATACGGCTCGCGCACGTGCGAAGGAACCAGGACGTAATGTTGCTTTAGCGTCGCTACTGTTTCGACACTGTATTGAAGTGGGATCAGAACCACGTCCTGGCGTCGAACACGATGCACATCTTACGTTGATAATGATCTATGCACAAAGGGTTTCACCTTTCCAGGTCTCGGCGGGGCTTCAATCAAGGACTCAATTGCTTGCGTCAGGGTAGCAGTAAAAAGACAGGTTTGCCGATCACTTGGGAGAGTCTCGAACAAAAATTTGAGTTCAGGGGAAAAGGTCGGGGTAAGAAGGCGATCTGCTTCGTCCAATACCTAACTCAGATCGACATGAGTGCCAGCACAGACTCGCATGAAATTCTCACTGACAAGAAACTTGACGCGAGACAAATTCCATTCGCCGTTACTACTCCGCAAGTGGTCAACGATACGCCCAGGTGTGGCTACTACAACATGGGGATGGCCGCCCAGTTCTAAAGCTTGTGTCATCATATCCATGCCACCGACAACGACAGACGTTCGGACGCCTATTGCAGCACCAAGCACCGCAAATTGTTCAGATATCTGAAATGCCAGTTCCCTTGTAGGAGGTCATAACGCGAAGGAACATCAATAAATAAGTGAGCAAACCTCGTGGGTGTCAGTACCAGCGCGAATATCCCATATGGATCCTCAGACAACTTCTGCAAGATTGGGATTGCAAATGCTATGGTTTTCCCAGAGCCTGTCTTTGCATTTCCTATGCAATCTCTTCCTAGAAGCACGTTACTGATTGGTTCGACGTCTATAATTGTTTTAAGACATACCTGCGAGAAGGGGAGGAATACAAGCAGCTTGGATCTCTGTTGCAGTTCGTATAGACATACGCGCAAGAGCACCAGCGAGAGGAGGCACCACACCCATATCAGCAAATGATGCTGTGGGGTGCATATGGGCAGCTGAGGATTTTTTTGGACAAGCGAGTCTATTGATCAGGTTGAACCAATGCCGTCTTGATACCGTCTATGTACGAGGAATTTGCCAGCCTGAGGTCGAGAACGAGATAGTCACGTGCTTACTAATTAGCTTTCGGGATATGGCGTACTTACCGGGCGCAACACCAGCGGCCCATCTGAGTTTGTTCTCTTAGTCGGGGACCTCAGGGACGGGAAGCAATGACGAAACAGAAAGGGCCTAGGTGCTCCCGTCGTTGCCATATTAACAGTAAAACACACGATGACGAGTTAAGACCCCGGCTGGATTGAATCGAGCGTCAGAATTGAGAGAAAGTTCTATTGATACATCGAACATTGGTGGGCTACGAAATACAGCGATTAAGGTTAAGCTACAAAGAAGGGACACGAGTGTCATGACTATATCGGTACGAACGTTCTAAATATCTAAGTTCTGATCCATGTCAAGCATCCACGAGGTATTGCTCCACTCATCACTTTCGTGGTCAAGCGGCATTGAGAGAGCACACTTAAAGTCGGAGAACATCGAATCAGAGGTGCACGATAGAGCTCCACTGAAAGTGTCCGAACACAAATAGGATTGGCCTGACGGCTGATATCCGTCCATCGATCCATGAAGTAGTGGAGACAGACGATTGACGTCATAATCCATTGAATTGTGAGGAAGACGCAGTTGCTCCATTCCAAGGAATAAGTCGTCTTGGGACATAGAAGCATCGGGCTGGGGTATGTCACCATTCCGTTGGAAAGTTGCTGCAGTTGGTGTCTAATTGTCAAAATGAAGATCAGATGGAGTGAATATAGAGGAGCATCGGAACGTACGGCATCAAGATCTAGGGCCAAACCGGAGAGCATTTCAGCGAGTTCTGATCTTGGTGTAGTGGGCTGTGATGGCTGTGAGGAATTCAATTCCAAGCCAAGCGCATTCGTGCACTGAGACTGAGGAAGGGGCAGAATGGCGTTCGGCTGCTCGTTGCCACACATTCCCTCAGGTAAAGAAAAGGCTGGAAGGAAAGGTGGAAAATGTAGAGGGGAGAGCCTAGCAGGGGACGAGAAAGCCGATGGAAATTGCGTTTCTAATACACCGAGGAGATCATCACGTGTAACACCCTGAGGGCGGACCCTGGACGAGCGAGCACGCCGTACTGGGCCTATGGATGACCCCGCACAGAGCTGTTCAGTAGGCTTCGGGTAGTAAGCGGGCGCTATGAAGAGTCTTGGCTGACTTGGCGCTCTTACGGTTGGGCTTGAACTTGTAGCCAGGATACTTCGCATAGTGAGCGGCTTGGACTTCCGCTGCCTTCTTATGCCACACAGCTCTGTCTTCTTTACTCATAGCTCTCCAAAGCTGCCCTGCGATGCGGCTGAGATTCTGCTGACGCTTCTCAGGGTCAGCATTACCCCGGCTCTTGAGCATGTGTGAACGGTAGAGCATGAACGCATTCGGTGGGCGAGGAATATGTTCCTTTGACGAAGAATGAACGCTACCGTGTGTCGAAGCAGCCAATGAGAACATGTCGCAATTAGGAAATAGCTGAGGAATGGAAAGGGGGGAATTGAAAAGATTATTTCCTTGCTCCAGGCACGGAGGTGCTGATTGGGAACGATACAAATCATCCAAAGGAAGGGAGACATCGCTGAAAGCGGGTGACTGGGAAAATACGAAGTGCTGTGGATAGTTCAAAAGACCAGAACCCATATCGACGGGATAAGGGTTGATCATGTGCCTGCCATTAGAAACTGGCAAAGCAAAGTCAGCTCGACCCGGCCTGGTGACCACCCGAGGACAGACTGACCGTTGTAATCCATTGTATTAGAAAAAACCTTGCCTCTGGATTGCAAAAGGGATATCAACACCAGTTGAGAGTAATGAACACTGTGAGGTCAAGGATTATGACCACTCTTATATGCGTGCGCTCAGCGCAATAAAGGGAGCTGGAGATAGTGCGACCACATAGATCCCTGTCAGGCTTCGTGAGCTCACCTGAAGGGCGGCACAAGATACAAAGGGAGCAGCGTGAGGGGAATAACATTGGGTTCAATCGGGTTGAAAGAAGGCGCGAGGCTAATATCACGTGATCGATACAGAGCAACTTCGGAAGCGCGCGAGAGCACGTTGCAGAGCACGTTTTCCGGTGAGCCATGTCTTCGGAGTCATTCTCCTTCTGCGAAGCTCTGTATCATAGAACTTCCGAAGGACGACCCACGTATGCAGGAGCCTCCAGAAAACTGTGACCATTAACTCACAAGGGTAAGAGCTGTCTGTAAGAGCTGGTTCAGCATTTTGATTAGCATATGGTCTGTCAGGTTCTCCTCTATCGTGTAGACGATGGGAAAAACTTTATCATTTCTTACACGGAGCCCGGCCGTTTTGTAAGTAATGCAATCTGGCTCACCAACAACTTAAAGACCTCGTGTAGACGAGATATGGCACGAGGCGGGAAGCTGCAAAAATGTGTCAAGATAAGAGTGGCGTGCGAGCAACGACGGAGCCTAGCTCTGCGGGGTCTGACAATGATAACACTCAGTACTAGACATGTGTCGCCGATCTCCTCCCGCGAACATCGTCACATGATAACTGCATGCACTGTGCACAGGGTTTATTCAGAGATAACATCCGTTTCTGTGCACTGTTTCTGTCAATGTCATTAATTTGAGTAGCGGGTACAGCATTACCAACCAATTCTGTCACGATCGTAGCGTTCCGCATGGTGCATGTCATTTGAGATAAGGTCATGAGTCATGCCTGCGATGTCGACTGATGGAATTCGATGGAAAGTGGAGCACACTGCCCGGCCTTTTAATTGCATTTCTAGTTTCATTAAAATTATAAGCAATGTAAACGCAGCCACAATATTCCTGCGGCGGGCTGTGAGCGAAAGGTGAATGACAGAGACAATAACACCTACGTGCGATTTCTAGGGAATAGTGATCCATTGCGAGCTTCCAGCTGCTTTCTTGACCCGATTCATGATTGCTAGGCCCTCATTTTCTTCTGGAACTTCTTCCACTAAGATCAAGTCTACTCCTTCCCTTTCTAACGTCAACAGTCCATCAAATAGCCGCCTTGCAATAATAGCCGGCTCCGAAACCAGCCCCAAAGGAAACTCATGCCACCGAATGGTCGTATCGCTGATGAGAGATTTCATCAAAATAGAATCCGAAGGCATCAATAACCCGACGCGGAGAGTGTCAGGAGAATGTGGTATTGAACGCTTGAGATCCTCCAGAAAAACGGAGGGGCTAAGAGGTTCTATTCCAAGGGGAGCATCGGATACGTGCATCAGCGTCACTGGGACTGAGGGAGAATAATGACGATATTTCATGCCAGGTGTAGTAGGTGCCTGTTCCAATGCGTCGTCACGAAAATCACGACGATGCACGAGGATCTGGGGTATTGGTGTACCGGAATCGGAGAAGCCATTAACGAGCACTCGTTTAATGTCTTCCACTGTAATTCCGCCAGGTCGCAAGATGCGGATATTTCCATCTTCATGTAGACCATCCACAACCGTACTTTCCAGACCAACTTCACATGGGCCACCGTCTAGAATGATTGTGATTTTGCCATTCAAGTCATTCAACACGTGCTCTGCGCGGGTGGGACTAGGTTTTCCGGAGGAGTTGGCGCTTGGAGCTGCGAGTGGTGCATCGGTCACAGCAATGAGTGCTCGTGCTACTGGATGTGATGGCATCCTGATTGCGACAGTCGGCTGACCAGCAGTAATAATATCGGGTATCAGGCTATGGTCGCAGGGGAAAAGTAGCGTGAGGGGTCCGGGCCAAAAGTGCTCTATGAGCAACTCGTAAGAAGGTGAGAGCGCATAATTTTGTGGAAGCAAAGTCTGTAGCATACGCCGCGATGAAACATGTACGATGAGAGGGTTGTCAGCTGGCCGGCCTTTGGTAGAGAATATCTTAAGGGCTGCGGTCGCGTTTAGAGCGATAGCACCCAACCCATAAACGGTTTCTGTAGGAAAAGCGACTGGAAAGAGATCTTTGAGGCAGGACGCTGCGGTACACAAGGCTGCGAGGGTTTCAGGTGAGCTGATCGCTACCTGGTCGTCTAAAGAAAAGACAATGGATGTAGAATCGCATGCAAGCACTTGTGTCGTCGCCGCCATCGTGCCTTGTAGTTGCGAAGACCTTTTCAGCGAGAACTTGAGGTACCTTTTCAAAACGTTCATTAGTAGAATTATCAATATACAGCCTGAGTCAGTTGCACAAGTCCGGAACCCGATTGGGTATTTACATAAATTATCGAAGCAAATCAATAGGAAAATCATACTATGTATTATAACTTTTAACTGGCCTCGTACTGGGCGCCATAGATATCTAAAATGACTTGGTATCCTCGGGCATCATGATATACTACGCCTGACATCCCCTTTGACGAGCCACTGCTCGTAGTAAACAGAAATTGACCTGTTACATTTGAATGTATCTACCAGGTAACTCAAGTGTTACTATGTGTCCTGGGAATCAGGCGTATGGGTCTTGGGCATGTTCAGCCCGACTCGTCGTGCAGTAGCTTCTATCCGTTCCTCCGCCGTTAGGTCGATTAATGGGTTATATCTCTCCAATAAAGCCTGACACAAGTCAGTTGATGTGTAATACCTTGCGTGAAACCAGGACGCTTACCTTATATTCTCGCTGGGATTGCATGAAAGTCAAGGCATTCTGCATATCGTGTTGAAAAAGTTGCGCATCCTCGGGTCGTCCGCTCTGTGCGAACAAGGCTCGGAAGTTTGAAGCAATGTCTTTGTTCCGAGCTAACCGAGGTTTGACAGTCTGAGCGTCACTGAAAGTTAATACAAGCAACACAAATGAGAGGAGTAGCAATGTACCGCTTTGGCTATCTCTCGGACTACCTTTCGGTAGACATGTGCGACCATTAATGGGTCCAAGCAAACGTTGACCTGAAGCGTTCAACTCAAGCTTAATGCACAAAGCTGTGGTGAAAAACCATGACACCGAAGCTGATTTCCTTTTTTGGACGATCGATCAATCCACTATCATTATTTTACAATTCGTCCACACTTGAAGCTAAACTCTCTGCAGATTTCATTGTTGATTGAAGCCACTGACACAAGAAGCTCCCGTCCATAATGCTGTGGAAATTAACTTGCTTGGGCCCTCTTCTATTGCTCGATACTTCAAAAGGCTGCTCAGTCTGACACTTATTCGCCAGCTCAACTCACAAACTTCAAGACCCTCTAGGAGATTCATTCACCAATAACTTATCATCATGGTTTACCACTGCCATAGCATAAACTCTGATGACTCTCCTGCTCACAAACCAGAAGCCAAATCTATGCCCAAAGTTAGTGACATACCGTGATCTCCTCCTAACCATGTCACTTAAGCTCTTGCCGTAGTCAAAAAAAAGTAACGAGCTCGCGGAAAAATGACGCCAAACCGACGCGTACCAATCCTGTACGAACTCACAAGCAGAACCAACGTGTTGCCCATGCTATCAAGAAGCATGTCAAACAACGACGACGTGATCCTACGCATGTGTTTGTTGGCAATGTAAGACACCGTGAAAAACCAACGCGTTATAAAACCCCACGCTGATTTCGACGCAAGCTTGCTAAAACAGTCGACGAAGACACTATTGCAGAGTACTTCAGTCACTGTGGTGAAATTCTCTCTGTCGAGATTCGCTGCAGTGGTGGTCTGGCAATGACGACTGGTCGCCCGAACCCAGCCTATATTGCCCAATATTCTGTTAGGCAGTACGCTATGATCACATTTATTGATGGATCGGCTGCCCAAAAAGCTTTGAATCTCAATGGGTCCCGTCTGCAAATAGGCGATGAATCCACGGAACTCGTGGTATGTTACTTGAACCCTAATTTCAGAATGCAACTCAAAACTGTATATAGATCACACGCAGCGCCGCTGATCTTCCAGAAGTAATAGAAAAGGTGCAGCAGCGTCTTGAAGCATACCGAGCTCGCAACGGCTTTACTGATGCCAGGCGTGCTCGACAAAGCGCAATGAAGTACGACAAGCATTGTTGACTTATAGTTTCATTGCTGACTCGACCGTTGACTTAGGACTTTGGACCTCCAACCCACCATTTTATTAGAGACTCGCGGAGATAAACACCCGCGCGGGAAGATCTTTGGTTTTTCTTTCCCTTTGCCCCTCTTTTGACTCTTCCTTGTACCTTTGTTTAAATGATGTCGCCTTTCTTTGTTTCTTTCACATTGTCTTTGACTTTATGTACCTATGCCGTATGCCCAACATGCCAATACACAACGTGTACTATGGTTGGCGATGAGACGACCTGAATGTAAGGCTTCTGGAAGCATTGACACATTGCATAGTACTAGTGAATGAACAAGCTTAAGCTTAGCTTCAGTTACCACGCCTTCGGCCGGATTAATCTGCGAGCTTTATAAAGCTTTGGATCTTTGGCAACGCCTCTGGAAACATTTGCTTCAATCGAGTACCTGCTACTGCGTCAACAGGCGAGTTGCAGGCGTTTTTCTTGGCTTTCTCATTACTGCCTGTATGGAATCGGGTTGACAAGACATTTCTTCAGATCCTGAGGTGAGATCAACTCAAGGCTTCTAGTGCCAAACTGAAAGGTCTTCTTACGTTCAAGTGCTGCCCTTCGTTTGTTCACCGTTCGTTGGAGCTAGTCACTGCCATGGCGAGAGGCGCAACTCTGAATCCGAGCTCGATGCCATTCTTCCCTGGCAGTATGCGAAATAATGAAGAGGATGGGGCCACTGGGTTCGTATTTGGGGTTCCCACACTTCGGGAGCAAGATGGAGCGTCTGTGTCCTCTCAATCAGTCTGTTCGGCTGATCGTAGGTCGTTGAAGTCGTCCCCAAGTCCACCCCGATTACTGGAGCACACTGGAGCGCCCGCTGATAGTCTCTCAGACGCCCGCTTCCAGCTGTTGCCCCCGCACGGGGATAGGCCTCCATATCTCCATCAGGTTGAGTCTGAGAGGCAGCATATGTTTCGTGCACGAGATATGAGCAAGGTTGGCAGCTTAGAATCTCTCCCAGAAGCAGATGATACCCCCAATCCAAATACCCATGACGAAGGCATGCACATCCCGGGCGATTCGTCTCCATTTATCTCGGCTCTTGTGCAACAATCTCGGAATCGCAATGTAACACCTCCGGTCAACATCATGAATACCTCAATGCGTTCTTCATCATTCAACATCAGTGGACCATTCCCCTCATCGTCTCCGGTCTCATCTTTGGACTCGGGTAGTCAGCTTGCCTCCAGTGCCGATTTTCATCATAATCTGGAGGCACAACTCAAAGCTTCTCCCATCATACGCGACTTATTAGACCGGCTTCAGCGTTGCGAGTATAACACGCGCGAAATCCAGCGCGACATCAGCGACATACATCGCAAAGTCAACATCCTCATTGAAAGGACCATTAGCAATGCCACCTCTCTCAATAACGCTCAGCCTGAATTCAAGGACCCTTTCGCACCTGCTTCTGGCATGTCGACACCCGCAGTCAATATCCCGCGGGCTTCATTTAGTGCAAACATTGCACCAAATCAATCTCCTCCTGCGGATGATATCACACAAATCTCTCAACGCCTGAACACGTTGACCACATCCGTTGGGCAATTGTTGGCTCTTCAAACACAGCAGCATATTCAGAATGCTACCACAGGCCTTCTTCCTGCCCAGATGGGACGATCTACCCCACAGATGCAGGACATGGCCCCAAACCAAACCCTTTCCCACGGCATGGGGTCTAATCCTGCTGCCCTTGGTCACGGTATACCAAACAGACCAGATATGCGACCATCACCACGCGCACCCAATCCCCCTATGCGCACTTGGTCGGCGGGAACGCTTGATCTTCCCATGCGGACCGAGACTCTCGGCAATTTGGGTCGACTCGAACCCCCTCGGGATAAACGTCGTTCTGTGACTGGGGGTATAATACGGCGCGAATCTGTAGGCGTGCGTGGTTCAATTTCCTTAGCGACACCAAATCGATTAACCTACTTGATTGCTAGATGATTGATGCACAGGGTAATGAGCTATCTGGTAGTTCAGGTCGTGATAACGGTCCCATGGTTTCCAAGTGGGAACAGTTGAATCTTGCGCCAGATTTGCTTCGTTCTCTCAGCAAATTTGGGTTAGTAGTAGTCCGTCGGGACCAGTTCTTCTGCTAAACTTCATGTTCCTAGCGTCGGCCCTCCTAACAAGATTCAGCAACGTGCGCTTCCATTTCTTCTGCGAGGCGCAGACATCATTGCGCAAGCTCCACCCACCCAAGAGCGGATTGCAGCATATGTGATACCCGCTATTCAGGTAGCTGTGGTAAACACTACTGGACGCCCCCCTACCAGGGGACCTCTAGTAATCATGATATCTACCACGGTCGACCAAGCTACCCAGGCTCAGCGTATGATTCGTGACCTCGGGGGTCCGATTGGCATTAGATCGGCGCTAGGCGTGGGTACATCTACTTCGCCTAGTGACCTCAGCCAGGAGCTACGCCTTCTGCAGCAGAACATGCCCCACATCATTTGTGGGACTCCGCAGAAGCTACACGCCCTCTTCACTGCCTCTGGAGGCCTCGTCGGATCTGAAGTCCGCTTCCTCGTTCTTGATGAAGTTGATCAGTTGATTGCCCGCAACTTACACGAGTTTGTCTTCAATATAGTGAAGCTTCTTCCTCCGCCAAGATCTCGACCTGTTGGGAATGTCACGCCAAACTCTGCTTCTGCCCCACCTCAACAATCTTTCAGTTCCTTCGATGCAAACAGCCACCCTGGCTTGTCGACTTCTAACACAGGACGCAGGTTCTCTGCAATTTCCCCGTCCCCTCCAAATGAGCATACTACCGGCTCATCGAACGTTATTGAACGACAGACTGCACTGTTTTCGAATACCGTGCCGCAGGATGTGCTCAATCTAGCTACGGCTATCCAGCTCAAGGAGCCTGTGCGCGTTCTAGTCCGCCGCGATGGAAATGTGACCAGCACTGAGTCCGCTCAAGGGTCTCGCGGTCTCAGGCAATTTTACCTTTATCTTGCTTTCACCGCTGGTGTTCGAACAGACACGATCAATCCTGCTGCACCGGGTGGCGGACATGGCATCATTGGTTCGGGCCGCGGGGCATCTAGTGCTGAAAGCGCTCAAGCTCGCGAGTGGAAGCTTGACGCGTTGGCAGATATATTCGATGACGTCGAGGTCAGCCAGGCAATCGTGCACGTCGGTGGCATGACCTCTTTGGATTCGGTTGTCCACAAGCTTGCCAGCCGTGGGCTTGAAGCTGTGCCTCTTGTTAGTACCAGAAGCATTCTCTCTTCCTCGATGCTTAAATGATTCTCCTCTAGCACGGTGACATGAACGCAGGCACAAAGTTAGCGGCGCTGAACAAGTTCAAAAGTTCAGCTTCAGTTATGATGAGAGAGCCTGTGACGAAAGTGTTGATCGTGAACGATGTGCAGGTGAAGACCCCAGAAGTATCCCACGTTCCTCTGATCATCAATTACGGTAAGTAGTTGGCCATGCTATGGTACGAATTGATGCTTAACTTTCTGTTAGACCTTCCTAAAGCTGTAGAGGAGTACGCGCATCGGTAGGCCAACCCATTACCTGTGTCAAACACGCGCTCACCTCTATTACAGCGTTGCTCCAGCCATTGCTTCCAATTATGCACGTGCTGGTGTTGTAGTGAACTTTGTCACTGCGACTGGGGGTGATGTTGAAATGCTTCGCTCTATTGAATGTTTTTACAAGTATGCACTTTTTTTTGAAAAACCTAGTATTAACGATTGACTTTTTTTTTCAATCCAGAATTAAATGCGTACGTTTTCATGTTGAGATCGTACACCACAAACTAACTTACTTTCGACAGCCTGAAGTCCCACTGAGCCTTCGTGACATCATCTAAAAACGCACTTGGCGTTCATGTATCTCTATATTCTCGGGCCCTGCTTCAGTCACTTTCCGATGTGTTCTTATACCTGCTAACGTATCACTTACCCAGGCAGGTGCCCAGCCATGGCACAAATCTGTTTTATACCCATATATTTGGCACCCCTTTAGCGATATCAACTCAGATGTTTCCGTATTGACACTGTTTCCATCACTACTTGGTATCCAGTCTTCTCGACACTGACCACTGTATAGCAGTCTTTCCTTCCTGTCTTCACTACGTTTGCCTTGCGAATCGGCTTACTGTGTTTTATGTCCATTCTCTTTATGTCATTTTGTTACTGTGGAGCTTAGTATCTACCAACGTACTTTAGTTTATTTCAAACTGGACAATCAGTACTTTCAGTGTACCATCTTCACTACAGGACGCCAGCTGCTTCCTCGATGGGTTATCAGTCGCTCTCCACGCCAAATGATTGATTTGATCAACATGGGCCAAACTTTGAACTCATGAGCGAATCCCTCTTGCGAGTCACGATCAAGACTTACTTCGAATCGATGGTCAACACTGGTGTCCACTGATCTGGTGTGGACATCAAGCTTGAATAGATCTTGATCTCTCCTGTCTCTAAACCAACCGCAAGCCAGCGTCTGGAGAGAGTTGTCATGGACACGAGACACAGAAAGGTTTTACTTACTCTTGTGCATCGGCACCGACAGAACAAAACGCGACAGCAGTTGCTGCTTCCTCGAATTTCATCGTCGTAATTGCCCCCCATCGTGCGGCAGAGCCCGAGGATTCCTTCCATATTTTTACCTGATGGACGGTCGATCAAGAATCATGCTCCGAAATCAGAAACACTTACGGTCTTATCACGAGATGCGGTGGCAAAAAGGTCCCCTTCGCAGCTCCATGCACAATCCCAGATGATTCTTCCATGCGATTTATCCGCAGCGACGGGCACATAACCTAGTATGCAGCGATATGGTCAGTCGTCATTCTGTTAGATGAAGGCATATAGCCTCATACCACTTTCTTTTTTCTCAAATAGCCTCCACGTTCGATCCCGACTTACGGTAAGGATGTGTTTTATCGTTTGGCGGGCTGAATGCTATACGGGTAACTGTCAGGCTATGGCCTTCGAGAGGGACACCGAAAGGCTGGTAGCCGGTTGTGGTGTACACGCGAATAACGGCATGCTGCGGGGAAGTTGCACGGCAAGCAGTTGCAAGAAGGTCAAGCGAGTTAGAAGCTGAAATTGTGATCGACTAGGTCGATAACATCGTATCAATCGTATTTCACACGAGAATCACAGATTGGCTGACCTCATACCCATGCCCAAAGACTTTTTCGATTTCGGGCCAGAGGGTGATGGAAGCTAGCTCTCCTTCGAAAGGGCGCCTGCGGGGTCTGCTGATGTCCAGTTCTGACGGTGCTTGAATAGAAGATAGTCCGTCAAACAGCAAATACTACGCATATCATATGACACACCATCATCATCACTAACAGCCTTGTTCGAGAGTCCGAGAGGAGGCACACTAGCCGTTGCCGGTCTATCCCCCTTTTGTTTTCTCAGAAGCCTTGAAATATAACAAGGAGTGGTCCTTACCTCGCTCTGGGCTAGATCCTTTACTCCTAGTACCCGGACCTCCTCGACGAAATTGCGTGGAGCTTCGAATACTCGTGCGACCTTCTCGTCGGCAACGCTTGCAAAAGTCCACGGACCGAGCCATGCTGCGCCCATTAAGTCATAGCCATGTACCTGAGGGCGTGACAGCTCATGCCAAATGCTCTGTCCGGGGGTAGAGGATGTGATAGCACCGTGAATGCGTGTCGTCTGGTCCAGACTAACGGTGCGCAGTTAGCATTTAAAATACAGCATTGATATCAAATGACCCTTACCCCACAGATACCAGATAGTCTCCTTTTGGACTCCAGTCGAGGCCCTTTACTGCACCACTGTGTCCGCTGATCGCACCAACCTCTTCCCACTCCTCACCAGCTGCTCCTCCGTGGCCATCACTTCTGATGCGGCGCCACCGTCGCCAGCCTCCACTCCAACCCCATGCCATGGCTTCGGCGCCACCATTTGACCAAAGACCTCCAGTAAAGCCACCAAGACGTTGACCTCCCACGTCACCGAAGCGTTGTATATTAATCCAGATAGAAGAGGTTGATGATGAATATGCAGTGGAGACGATCGAGCTAGGAGCCCATATGATGACAGATGAGTCCGTTGACGTAGAGAGCAAGGACGCATTCGAAGCAGACCAAGAAAGCGACGTAATTCCTGCCTCATGGCCGATCAGGAGAGCATCGAATGTGATAGAATACTGTTGCGTCCTGCCGTCATAAACCCATTTAGCAACTCGATCTAACAATTTTCACTACAAATTCAACGCACCCGGAATTCGATTTGACGGTAAGAATATGCCGTTTAAGTGAAATTTGTCTGCCGCCCTCCTCGGCGTCTGCACCCAAGTCTCCTAATGAAGCTTCAAATGCGTCCAGGAGATCGTCACTGAGATCATCTGCCGAGTGTTTTCCATGAGTCTGTGATTGGGCCTGCATCTTAGCGAAGGACTCCACATTCCAAAGTCGGATGGTTCCATCCTGTGAGCCTGAAGCGAGCACGAGGGGATCATTTGGCGTCGATGGAGCTCGGAATGCCAGCGCACGTATCCAGTCTTCATGTCCTGACAGGGTGACTGAACGAATAAACTTAAAGAAAGGAGTGAGCACTTGATACCTAGCTGAAATATGTGAAACCCACTGGTCCGTCAGAGCGTGTCCAGATGTGCACTTTGCGATCGGTTCCGCCAATGGCAAGTATTATCGCTTCACCAAGGTAAGCTCCTCGTCATTAAGATAATGAGTCTCTCACCTTCAGACGATGGTAGGAATCCGGTTGCTATTGATAAAGGATACCATCCTTGAAGCGAGATGGTTTGGAACTCCTTCACCTCGTCTGTCACAATTAGCCTGATTCACTGCGCAAGTGAATAAGAATTTACCATCAACATCGCCACGTTGCACGTCCCAGATTTTGATGGAAGAGTCTGAACTTCCGGTAAGCAAGAAGTGGTCGAATTCACGAAGTACAGAGATGGCTTTTTTGTGTGCTTGCACGATCGCAGTAGTTCTCCACTATGAAAATTGTGGGGATGTTTGCACACAAGGCAGACTAACATACCTCTGTCCCAAATAATCTCCAGTAGCGGACGGTCCCCTTGTCATCCGCGCTAGCAAATGCGTCGAACGCCACAAAACGAATGCAGGTTACTAGGCCATTGTGACCAGGCAGCGTCTGGAAGACGCCTCTGCCATCTGGGTCCTTCGATGAGATGTTAGGTGCATCATGAAAGTGATGGCGAAACACTCACTTGAGTGTTCCATAACGCGATTAATTTGCCTGATCCACAAGCAATCACGGAAGAGGTGGAGGCATCTGCAGCATGGTTGAAACGATTGGTGGACGCTGAAATATACGCCGTGCTGACGGATGGCTTGGACATCGCAGATCGCAGGCTGCAGACCTTAGACTTGGAGTTTAGAGTTAGTTTAAATATTTTGCAGAATGAGCAGATTTATCATGCACTGCTCTAGGGCTGCGCTCAGGTGTTAGTACGAGCTCTGCAGCTAAGTTGAGCCGCCTGTCCTTAACGCTCCTTAACGTTTGATGATCGTTGACTCCGACGCGGATAGTACGAGGCTCGGAGTAAGTCAAGTCACGCCGAACTTTGGGTCCACTGGACTCCACTTTGTCACGTTCGTTTATGTCTTCTTCGATGCACACCGTGACGGGCATGGCACACATAAGTGTGTTGCACCAATAATCATCGCTCTGTCGTGCGACGGTAAGGATGACAATTACAAACTAGTTCCGCTCACACTTTGCTCACGAAAGCCAATTACTAGTGCACCATATCTGCCCAGCTGCTTGACTCATTCACGAAAACCGACGTACCTTTCATACCGCAAACCTGAATCCCTGAAAAGTTCGTTCATAATCCATTCACATGCCAATCCTCGGCATCGGTGTTGATATCCTGTACCTTCCACGTCTCATCAATCTATTGAATCGAAGGGGATCCGAAGCTTTTGCTACGAAAATTTTAAGCTCCCAGGAATTACGAACATTTCAGTTGCTCGCAGAACAGCATGGAGAAGATAAGACCGCAAAGATTACACAGTTTTTGGGTGTGCGGTGAGTCTTTTCCTGATCTCACGTCTTGCGAGACATTCATGCAACGTGCCATGGCATCTAGGTGGGCAGTGAAAGAAGCTGCATACAAAGCCTTGTATCCCATCCGCCCTACCTGGAAGGAGGTCACATACTCGTCATTCAATGGAGCCACTGGCGTAAAACCAACACTTGTTTACCGTCCTGTACACGATGATGTTGGACCGGCGAATAAATTGCATGTTTCAGTGAGCCACGACGGAGATTATGTCTACGCACAGGTTATCATGGAGTCGACGTAATTTGACTTTTATTATCTTTCAAGAGTGGTGCGTCTAGTTTGAGATGATACAAAGAATTCAATCCATGATCCTAAATTATGCTAGGCTGTTTAGATCATGTACCTCATCAGGAGGCTGCTCGGGCCACCAATCTGCCCACCAAGGCTCCACCTTCCATAACTGTTCTTCCTTTTCCTCAGCAACCAATGCTATATCAGGACGCAAGTGCTCTAGTCGCACCAACGCCAAACCGACGCTGGACCCTATACCTGGAGCAGCTATCGTGGAAAGGAGCGTGGATGACCCGCGCAGACGAGGTGTTTTTATCGCGGCGCTGTTTGTAGTCGATGGAAGGGATGGTTTAATCGACGTGTATGGTGATAATGACGCCGGAGAGGAAATGTGAACAGGAAGTATACGTTTCCGAACTGCGCCCGTGTGATATGTACGCACTGTCAACTCTTGACCGACGTAGCATCCCTTCCGGAAATCCACTGCGTGTATCAGTATGTATATCAGATGAAACGAAAAGGAACATACGTCCACCCATCGCGTCTAAGTTTGATTCAATGGGAAATGCATGCATGGGTTGAATATCCACGCTACCCTCGGGAACACCGTGCATGATCCGATGGAGCAAATACGCATCCTTACCAGCCAGTTCGTGTGTAGACGCGCCGGCAGCTGCAAATATTAATTCAAGCTCGATGTAAGAGACATCCCAAAGACAAGCTCACGCGTTTCGCCTTTGCGAACGAGCATCCGCTTCCCCATCCCCGGAGCACGTCGGTCAAGTATGGTACCATTCTCAGTTCCCCATGGCCATTCGCTAGTCCGCCAAACTGGTTCGACAGCGCCGCTCCGTGCCCAATTCCACTCCCTGGTTTCTTTTGCCCCTTCTGACCCCCATGCGGCCCAAACATCCCACTCCTCCGACACATCCCGTATGCGCACCTTTGAGCGAAGGACGTAACGCTTGAGAAGGCTCATGAGGGTAGGTGCCTCGGATGGAGTAGGGTCATATTCTATGAGATATGTCGGCCCAGTAGATGAAAGTGATGGCGTCGGGGAGTTATACAGGAAGGTGTCATACAAGACGCGTCCCTAAGACCACAAACTGCATGGTTACATTACACATTGCCAGACACTCGAAGCTGGGTCGCACCTGAGCGTGTAAGAATGCCCCATATGTCTGCTTACCCTGCACACTACACGCTAGTAGCCCATTAAGGAACTCAGATGCTTGTGAACCGGAAACAGAGAGGACTGCGCGATTAGATACAGGCGCTAGTGTCGGAATTGTTCTTAAGAGCGTACGGAGTGATGGTGGTATAGGCATCAAGAGAGCATGAGAAGTTTACGCATGATTGCAACCTGCTCTCCTGAACCATCAAGTCATCCCAAGCCTGGCCTGGCCTGACCTCTCATCACATCACTCAGACGCTGTACGACAGCAAGCTGGGCTTACATAGTTTTACAGCGGGAATTGACTTTGGGTGTGCCAACGGACGCTGCTACATTGGTCATGTCCTCCTCCTGTGACGCTCTCCTCAAAGCACTCAAGGAATGCCTTCTCAATTCCGACTGTGTCCAAAAGCAAGGACATCTTCCTTCGGAGTGTCTCAAGCAACACAGTAATGAATTACCGGAACAATGTCAGCTACTTAGAAAGTCCACTTTCGAGTGCAAACGCAATATGGTAAGTGACTGCTACACACATGGGAACATGCTCTGATACGCAAAAGTTGGATATGAGGACTCGGTTTCGAGGTAACACGGTGGGAATGGACGCTGAGAAGCTCAGACAGCAGAAGACTCCTGCACCTCCTGCACAATCATGACGTGATAGATGGTACAAGTTCTATCACGATGGCGACTCGGAATCATTGTTTTTCCTTAGAATCTCGTTCCGAGTGCGTATCTTATTCCCTGTCATTGTGTCCCCCTCAAGGAATAATGTTCTCAGTGTATCCACTGGGGGTCAATAGCGTTGTGTCGATCACACTTGTCCTTGTAGCACTTCACTGTCTTCCCGACGAAATCAAAGAAAGCATTCACTACTGCGAGCCATGCCGCTTAAGCATTCACCAGTCTTTCTAAGCTCATTAGAAATTCATCAAGCATATTCAAATCAGTGCTTAGCAAGCCTAATCACGCAAGTGGTTAATTTTGGACCTGATGCATGTCAGCTGAACAACCTTTGGCTACTTATTGGTATAAGAGGGTACAAGAGTACAAGTTAAATTCACAATTCTTCCTCCCTCCATCAGACTCGTTGCAACAAACAATTCGGTATGTCAAAGCCTCTGGTTCTCTACACTGCAGGTACCCCCAATGGCCACAAAGTGTCCATCATGCTCGAAGAGCTCAAAGCAGCCTACGGAAACATCGACTACGAGTAGGTCTTTCGTCGTGCCTTCCGGTTGTTGTTCATATACCTTGACAGTGTCGAGAAGATTAACCTGTCCGCGAACGTCCAAAAAGAGCCATGGTTCATTGCAATGAACCCAAACGGACGTATCCCTGTTCTCGTTGATCGCTCCCATACCACTGCCGCCCATCCGAATGGATTCTCCGTCTTCGAAAGTGCAGCGATCTTGTTGTACCTCGTACAGAAGTACGATAAGGAAGGGAAATTCAAGTTTGAGAGCGGCAGCGATGAGGAAAGCCAGATGTTACAATGGATCTTCTTTGCTGTACGTGTTCTGATTCTCTAGGTGAAGTAGCCGGAGATGCACGCTCACAACTGTACAAACCAGCACGGAGGAGTCGGTCCTATGCAAGGTCAATGTAAGTTGTGGTCACTCATGTAGTCTTCTCGCATAACGGCTGAATGTCACAGCGCACCACTTCCGACACTATGCCCCTGAAGACGTGCCTTATGGCAAGAAACGTATGTACTTGTTCGATCTTATTTGGTTTCCATGGTTCTAACGTCGTGCGCCAGGCTATGGGGATGAGGTCGTCCGTCTTTATGGTGTGCTCGATATCGGTCTCCAAGGCCGCGAATACCTCGTGGGTCCAGGGGCTGGAAAGCTCAGTGTTGCTGATGTGAATGTCATGCCATGGTTCGCATTTTCATCCAGATGAATATCTTGCTTTGACATTGATTTGCGAAACAGGGTGAGGTATCACAAGCATGCAGGCGTCGAGACCTTGGATGCTTTCCCGAACCTGAAGGTAGAATCATCGTCATTCGGTGGCGGAATATACTAAATTGTTTGCTTCAAGGCTTGGCTCGACCGGCTTCTGGAGAGAGAAACTGTGAAAGCTGGAGTAGCTGTCCCTTAGGCTGCTTTTGAAGCCCTGTCGCTCTAGCTGAAGTGTCAATCGGCAGTAATTCTCCTTGTATTTGCACACTTAAGACTTGAATTAGTCTTTGTCGTCGTCCTTGCTCAGTTGAAAAAAAATCTCCATTAACATTAACGTCAGTGACATACTTCCAGCCATTATGGGTCATTCAACGTGACATGAATTGAACTGCTCAAGGAACACGAAGCGTGAGGTAAATCATTACTCGAAATCAAATAATTCAATGCTTTGTTCAACGCTCGACAAAGCCCTGTTCACGTCCATGCGGTATCGTAATCGTGCACATAATTAAGGACAACAGGTGACCCACCTTTATTGGTCATATCAGTCGTAAAGAACTTCTCAGTCCAAGAACACACTCGAACACAACGTCTCACTCTCAATAAGTCATTGAGTCCATCCAGATTCTAGTTCCATTCCCAGCCTTGAAGTCCACCACTCGATGAGAATTGAAGTTGTGGATGCACAGTAGTCGCCGAGGGGACCAGACCAAAGATACAGTTCGGAGCCAAAGATGGAGTGTTTGCAAGGATCGTACGAGCTGTCCTGGATGGTGATTTTGGCCCCAGCTGGACCAAGACAAACTAGAGGAGTCTTCACTTGCTAGCGGCTCGTACAGGTAAACTCGGGTTCCAAGAGGGTGTTGCGCTCGACGTAGAATATGAAACAAGGGGACTTTGTGGCAATAAGCCACCTATTTCATACCGATAATGATGATTTAATTATGCGTGCGGGCATGAACCAAATTGTTCTGCAAGTGACTGAAATTCGATAGACAACTCGGAGACGTCGGTCTGCGGTGATATAAAGTAGAACGTATAAAGTAGAACGTGGACAGGATCTTCGGCACTCATGATAATCAAGGCATCACAGCTATGCTGACTAGCATTGGCGATGGTGACTGGGCCTTCCTCGGCTGCCTCCTGGAGTCAGAAAACAGTGGAGACAGAAGGAAACGAGGAAAGTCAGGCAGCGTGCGAATGTGTGAGACGACATCCCCATTGCATGGTCAAGTATTGGGTTTTTTGGGACTGGTCTGATCAAACGGGTAAGCCGAGCCGCCTAAACTCTTCCGCTAAGGATGCGCCAGTGCCATCTGATGCAGAAAGTTCATCGAGGGGTGTGCGGAAGCATGCTATCTAGGTCCAGAATACTGCACGGCCCTGCTCCACCAGTTCTACGATGGCCGTCGACGCACCATGACGACATGCTGATCAAGGAATCTCAATGTGGTCTGATAGGCGATCAAAGCAGCGCTGTGATTTATTTCTTCAGCAGAGGTTGCGTTGCCCATGACTTTGCAGCATCAAGATCACTTACACTACCAGAGACTGTATGAGATACTTGGCAGAGTTGCAAATAAAGCTCAAAGGACTCGAGCAAGGCCGCTAATACTCCCACTGTGACACGTGACGGTAACATCTCTCATGTTCTGCTGAGCTCGGACTACACTTTGTTCTGAACACCAATTGACTTAAATAAGGCTTTCTGTCAACCAAATGCAAGGATGCTGAGGGTCATCCCCCGAATATACCGTTACCGGTCGTTACCACCTTCGACGCCAGAGTTCAATGGAACTTCTTGCACCACTATATTACAGAGGCACTATAGCTCTACCGGGCAACCCATCACTGACCCTGTAGATTCGTTGTCACAGCCAATTTCAGTATCTGGCCCAGGTTCAATATCCCTTGCTCATCCGAAAGACCCAAGGTCTGGACACGGGTATTCCGACCTCAATCCTCCTCCGTCATCTTCGCCTCCGCCCGAGGACGCCTCGTCTCTTCCTACGACCCTTTCAGGCCCGCCTGCACGCGCTTACCAGCCAGATCCTCAACAGTCATATGCAGCCCCTCCATTCCACACACATGCCTTCGTCTCCGCGCTTGAGAAGTCATTCCCCACGCCCACAGCGCGAAGTCTGATGAGGGCTACGCGTGCTTTACTTGTGGACAGAATAGATCGCGTAAGGCGAGAAGGCCTCACGGTCAAAGATGTGGATAATGTGCGCTGGACCAATCGGGACATTGTCATATTTACTGACTCAAATGCTGAACAGCAAGCATATTTATTCCGTGCAGCGCTTTCTGAGCTTCGCGCAGAGCAAACCGCAAGGTCTCGTAATGAAAGCGCGACAATACGATCTGCCACAGCTGCGTTGCGCCGAGAAGTCGATCGTCTGGATGTCAAGATGAAAGAAGACCTTGGTACCTTGACACATGAGTGAGTCACGTTCGTTAAATCAGACGATTGTATTTTTCATATGATTATTAGGATACAAATGGAGCTTGACACTCGCAAGAATGAGTCAAAGGCACAGCTAAAACAGCAGACGATCGCAATTGAGGTTCGGATGATTCTCATCTCCGTTGTACAATTTGGTAATTTTGAAACAGGAAGTCCTGAATAAGGCGATTATAACGCTCAGTGACCTCCGCGCAAACATGGAAGAGGTAAAATGGAATAACATGCGTCAAGCCGTTGGTACGTTTTGCCCATTTACTAGCGTCAAATCACCATTTCTTAGCAACGATACAGCTGCACTGGGCGCTTTTGTTCTATTAATTGTTATTGGCATGGAATTGTATACATTCAGCAAACCGAAGCCGCCGCCACCGCCGCCCTTGGCTGTACTGAAGGAAAGACTACCTCCACCAGATGGCGAAGCAGTGTCTCGAGTGTCATAGCACACAGCTCCAAGGCGTAGGCTTATCACTCACACGGGCGTGCAGATAAGATAAGTCACTATCTTACACCCACATTCACCTATACCGTCCACGACTAGGACATCTAGAGAAAGGAACAGCCGCATAGATTGTTGTACATATAACGATACTAATTTTATGCTGGCCATAATCGTAACACCTATTATTTGTTACCTGCCACTCTCGTTTCAGCCTGATATCCTGTACCTCCCCAGTAACTCTAGAGACATTCCAAATCAAAGAACATGATCATTTGACTTGTAGCTTCTCAAGTTTGTCCGAAAGCTCAACAGCGCTTTGATTTGCTGATGATGGATTTAAATTTGAATCTGGTGCGGCGGTCCGGTTCGGCTTGTCTTCAGTGTGCGATCCTGTCGTTGCATCGTTCGTGCTACTAGTCTCCGAGCTTCCCTCCTTCGACTCCTCGGTGGCTACTTTCACATCAGCTGCTGCTTCATCTTCCCCCTCCTCCTCATCCTCCCAGTTATCTTTGATAACAGCTGCCTTGTCCGCATTTTTCTTAGCTCGAGCATTGGCGCGCTTTTTCGCATTCTTATTTGGAGGTGGAGTAGCGGTCTTGCCTTTCGATGATGCAGCAGCAGAGGGCGCAACCCAGCCTAATATGTGACCCTTTGGAAGGGCTGTGGCATCCAACGCCTGCTGGCGTGATCCACGGAACCGAGAGACATCTTCCTGGGGTGTGAATCCAGGCCTAATCTTAAGCTGCTTGCGCACACTGGTGATGCAGTAGAGATCGAATTATAAATGATTTGTAGATGCTGGGCTCAGACGGACGTACGTTCCATCTGATCTCTTTGATTCTGGTATAACACGCTCAAGGGTGCGTGGATCGATCGCTATGCCAGCTGCGGACTGATCGGGGAATAATGGCGGGCGTGCCATGCTGTTAGAATTACTTGTATGTGTAGTACTGGGACTTGCAGTCACTTGGTTTCCGACAGGAGGGAGGGTCTGAGTTTGAAATTGTTCCTTGTACCTCTTCTGTTATGCGCTACGCTGTTCTCGTCACCGGTCCTGCTGGTGCGGGCAAATCTACTTTCTCGACTGCTTTTGCTACCCACCTTCGTGTCTCAAAACGCACGGCTCATATCGTAAATCTTGATCCCGCTGCAACTGGCGATGCTTTCGAGTATCAACCTGCCATTGACATCCGTGAGCTTGTGACGCTAGACGACGTCATGGGTGAGTTGAATATGGGTCCTAATGGCGGTCTTGTGTATTGCTTTGAGTGAGTAAGTGATCACGCGTGATAGTCCCTCAAAGAAATCATGCTGATAGTCTCTTTCCGTGTTTAAAGGTACCTGTTGCAAAATATGGATTGGCTCGAGGAAGAACTCGGGGGTTTTGACGACGACTACTTGATAATCGACTGTCCAGGTGTGATTCTACGTATAATACCGCGCATAAATTCATGGCCTTTAGGTCAAATCGAGCTGTATACACATCATCCGTTCCTCCCGCAACTCGTGCGGAACTTGCAGCGAATGGGCATACGGACTTGTGCTGTGTATCTCCTGGAATCCCAATTCATGGAAGATCGGTATAAATTCTTTAGGTTCGTCTCAGTTCATTGTTGCCTCCTATTCAATCTTTGAAGTTAGTCCAGTGGTGTGCTGTCCGCAATGTCCGCGATGGTCAATCTTGAAGTACCCTGGATAAACATCATGTCTAAAATGGATCTCGTCTCCGGATCATCATCAGACACGTTTGAACCAAGAAATGGGAAACGTGGAAAACGCGATATCGCTCGGTATCTCGATCCAGATCCGATGCTACTTGTTGCTGCGAGGGACGGGAGGGATCAGCAACATGACAATAGCAGATTCCACGACCTAAACCGGGCCATCGTACAGCTAGTATGTTGCAGCTTGGGGCTTTGTTCCGGACTGACCGCCGCGTAGATCGAGGACCATCCTTTAGTGTCGTTCTTGCCGCTGGATCTAACGTCCACGGACTCACTGGAGACAGTCGTCAGTCATATTGATTTTACTATGCAATATGGTGAAGACGAAGAGCCGAAAGAGGTACATCACTTCCTTTGTCCAGCATACTCCAAACTAACAGCAATATATCAGCCACATGATTTAGACGAAGGCGACTTTGCTGATATGGAATAGGAGTGTACAGTGTTATCCAAATATCGCATGCTGTGTTTATACACGACATTTTGAGACAACTGCGCCCCAAATTTCTGGCGAGCGATCTCACATGATGATCAAACCTGCCATGTTGATACCCTAGGAGTTCGACTGGGTAAGTTGAACAAATATAAATTCTTTAGTGCCAGAGCTTACAATGATATCACGCTTCTATCTATGTCTAAGCCAACTATTCTACTCGGTGAGAATTTACCACGGTGTTGACTGACAACGGCACCATACCGATTGGACTATCAGAAGTACCAGCCCAAGGAAACTTTGTCGATGACTCGCCTTTATTTGACAGCGTCAATCATTCATCTCCGGTGGGATCATTGTATGGTTTCGGCACCCCCCAGACTGTTATTAAGAATTTAATTCCCATGGTCTGACCTTGGTATGTGCCACCCCTAAGGTTTCGTGTACTTAGAGAGGCGTGGAATTTCGATCATCAAGCCTGACATCGCGAAGCTAGCCACACTTGGTCTCATCAACCCAAACGCAAGAATAACCTGTGCTAGGCGTTACCGTACGCGAAGATGCCCAGAAATTCTTGCACAGACACGATGAGCGGCATTGGTCAGTACGTTAGTTTAAACGCCGCGCGGTTGGGACGGGCGACGAGTCACGAGTGGGGCTACGCTGATCGGTAATGAATGCTTGACGTGTCTCTGTATTTTTACTAGGTGTGCGACCAATTTTTTAAGTTCGACAACTTCCTGTATATACTACGGGGACCTGATATCATGGCGCTGCGCATCTGTCTCCCTTGTGTGTTAAGGAGTGAGTAATGATGCGCTTAATCTCTGATCTGATTGGCGCTGGTATTATTTGTCATTGTGTAAGTAGCAGTGCCATGCATGCAATCATTGTTTGATATTCGGTACAAGGCGGCTACCTGGGTCTTGTCCTTTGGTTCTCATGCGCATTGCATTGTTCAATGCTCTTGAGCATAAAAACGCAATGCAATGCAAGTCCGGTCAGTATACTTTCCTCCTACTTTGGTGCGCTCCAATTATCCACTTGCTGACTCCAACGGGGCAGTGCATTCAAATTGGTACCGCAGCTGCTTGTGACGCAACTTTGTCAGTCCGGGTCATAACCGCTCCGATATAAGATCAGAACGCGTGTTCAATCTCCAAGCCCCCCCTTATCTACTCCCACCCTGCGCCCACATTTAATCTTGCCCACCACCCCTGCCCCACAAATAATAACCTACACAATCATCACATCGTTGTCCTCCCCTCTCACTAACTGACAACTAACCAGCACATTATCGACGGACGATGACTCAATACGCCTTTCCGTCTTCCAATTCCCCCTACAGTTCCCATCAGCCTGTTGTCTACACAACTTCTTCGCACTCGCAACACGGTCATGGGGGTTACAACTACGGGACGCCCTCGAGGCGAGCCGCATCTATCGGGCATGCCCACACATCTAGCCCACAATATGGGTACCCCACTGTAGTCCAGGCGCCGCTGACTGCTCAATACCTGTCTGTGCCTAGCACACACCACCGCAGCAGCAGTCATAGCAGGCACAGTCACAGCAGACCCAGAGCCAATAGCCACAGTCATCACGGGCACGGGCACGGGCATGGGCACGGATATAGTACAGCTACTACCTACCCAGTCACATACGCAACATCTGCTCCCGTATACATCGTAAGTCTAAATCGTGCTTTGTCTCAGTCTGATAACTAATGACGTATTGCTATTTTTAGCAACCTGCCTCAGGACATCATCGCTCTCATTCAACGTCACACAGACACCATTCGCACTCGCGTCCTTCCCATTCTTATGCAAGCAATGGTGATTATCACAGAGGTCGAGCCCCGTCGGTCGGGGACCGCGTTCGGGAGTTCTTTGGAATGGAGCCTTCGTCGAGCACCTACTACAATACCTATGGAAATCAGGGGCACGGGCGCTACAACTCTTACGGTGGTATGAGAGATGATGGGAGATCGAGGAAACACAGTGGCTATGTGGACGAACACGGGAGAGAAGTGGATGGTCGTGGACGGCCGATCCATCGCTATTAATTCAGGTAGCTGTTCTTGCATGTAGTTTATGTAGCCCTCCCAGTATCATCTGACCTCTATGTTGTTCAAACCACGCTATGTACATAGCTGTACAATAAAGTCTAAACAGACGGAATTCACGAGTGCCAATTGTTCAAACGTTCATTGATTGCTCGGATCTGTGCACTATAGTAACAATAAAAGCCACAAACATAAGCTAGCTAGTAGAATGTACAATAGGAATGTCAAACAACGATAGAGATACAAGCACAAAGATTACAGAACAGCTGATAATGTACCCTTAACGAAAGCACTAAAATTCCTTGTATGAGAAGCGTCGACATGCTCTAAAATGAAACGATGATCCATTAGGATGCAGTAGATGCCTTCTCCGCTGCTTTTGACCACATGTCCAACTGATCCAGCAGCTTGGACACAGACTGGATGATTTGCAATCGAGCACGAACTTGATCAGGGACGTCTCGCGTGTCTTCCCAGAGGACGGCAAGCGACACTTCAATCTACAAGAGAGGATAAACGATGCCCACGCCAAGATGAAACCGAGGAGCCTGACCTTTTCCGCAAGTTCTCGAAGTGATTCGTTGAGAGCCTTCCCGATAATCTCAGCCGCAGTCGACAGCCGACCCATTAGGATCTCTGCCCCGCCATTGAAAACATCGTGCTTATGCCCATCAATGTAGTTATGGAACACAGCCTGCATTCAATCAGAAGAGGTTTTGAAGTGTTGCGTGTGACAAACCTTTTGTCGCGCGACACTTCCTTGGCCTCGCTCTTCCAAGGCGAGATTGTAGCCATTCGTCAGTTCGTTTTGAACATGAGGGGCGAGACAACGTGATATCTCCTTTTGCTCCTTTCCGAGCGCTTCCTTCACAACCTCCATGGTTTGTCCTAATGCATGACGCGCCTCCTCTTGCGAAACAGAGCTTTGTACATGTACGCGGTCCTTCAGTCCCGCCGCTGCACTGGCTTCTACATCGGTGATTAGCTTATTGATGGATGTCGTAATGGCGTCCGATAGTGAGGCGAATAGATCGGACTCGAAGAGCGTCGACCAAGAACAAGCAATGTTTCGAGTGAATGGCGTCACAAGTTCGACATTCAGATCCCGGCGCCAAGATCCGTGGCGACGAAGGGCTAATGTTCGAGTATAGTCAGCAAGAACTTGCATGTGGACTGGGACACCCACTGGCTCGATAGGTTGCCCAGTGCATGGACCCTGCAAACTCATCGACGTGCTGAACTGCAACCTCGGCAGCCTATCGGGACAACATCAGATGAGGTAGTTACCACAATGGAGTAGTGCTTACATTGGCTGCTCCCACTTGACATTTATCTTCAAGGCCATCACGGAACAAGTCTTGCAAATCCGAGACGCATATTTCGACATGTGCACCGAATTCCTGCAAGGAATAAGAAATATGAGCTGTATAGAAAACACAAGTCAACACACTTTCACAAGCCGAGGAGTCACTCCTATGGGTTCTCCGCGAGCGTCCACCTTTAGGGATGACTGATTATTCATCGAGAAGAATCTAGCATCCACGAGTTCCCTAGGGATCGTGCCTCGAAATGCTTGGAAGGGATGAACGCTCGTAGGATCAGGCGAGCTACGCCAATAAGGCATGCCTTCATCGTCAATATCATACATCTCCTCTCCATCATGTGGTGTTGACTCCCATTTCTCACGAAGGGATTCACGGTCTGCAATGGTCACATCACCAATGCCATCGACATAAACCCGCACCGAGTTCGCAAATGTCTTCAAGTGAGTGTGGAACTGCTTTGCAGCGCGTGACCGGCTACTGATGGTCAATTGGTGGCACCATTGCCGTAGGGAAGGAATCCCAGTATCTTCGACGTTGGAGAAACATGATGGGTCCCCATCACCCTTGACTTGTCCCGTGATACGGACGTAGTCGCGGGATGAGCAGGTGAACACAGGAAGATCAATCTCATCATAATCTGAGTGAAACATTTTAGCAAATATTTTCAGGACGCAATGGAAACTCACTGCGCAGATTCTGAGTCGGATCGAAAGAATTTGGGTTTCGCTCCTCGGCGGCGGCGTCTGTGTTTTGTGAATTAGCCGATTCTTCAAAGACGGGAAGACAACCAACCGTCAAGATCTTTGAGGCCAACGCGAAAATCTTCTTTTAAAACATCGCGGGAGAACTGGTTGACGCCGGGTGAGAAATGTGGCAGGGAACTTAACAGTGAAACAAACCTCTGAACGCTTCAGAGAACAGAATGCGTTCTTGTCACGCTGCGCTTTCATCTCCTTCTTTTTGAGGTTGCTGAGGGCATCTACGGCATCCTTCCGTGCCTTGCGTGCATTGTTGAGTTGTTCGCGTCCAACTTTGATAGCTTCATTGGCGTCGCCAATCTTCTCCTGGAGAACCTCGACCGTAACCTTCTCTTCTGGCTCGTCCTGTGTATCCTCCTCCCCGTCTGAGTCGTCCTCTTCCTCTTCATCCTCTTCGTCTGACCCTTCATCCTCATCGTCCACATGGATGTCGTCATTGAGATAATCGTCAATATCATTTATCTCAGAATCGTCGTCGTCGTCGTCCCCAAAGCTCTTGTGGCGCTTAGGTGACCCAGATTTCCCCCTGCGAGTATTCTTTCGCTTCTTGCTTGCGTTCTGGACCTTCTTGTGTGCTGTCGTGGTCAACTGTGGTGCAAATGTCTCGCCGTTCTCTAGTGCCGTCTTGTGTTGCTCATACTCTGCTAGAAAAGCTCGAACGTCCTTGAGCTGTTTGTCGATAGCTGTGAAACTTAGCTGAATACATTGCCGCACGAACGAAATTCGCATGCGTACCTTTCATCGATGACACTGCGTCAGCCTTCTTCTTTTTGAGGTCAATAGTCTCCTCTTTATATTGTTCAATGCGGCCCTCAATCTCCTCTAGCTCAGGGTCGTCCTCGACACCCAAGGCGGGGATAACTTCAGAACAAGATATATCATCACACTTGCTAGCTGTGCCACACGATTTAAGTGAGAATTAGACCAGGCAAAAGAGCTACAACAAACCAATGAACGTGATCGTGTGGGCATCATAGCTAACCAAATTAATAAGACACTCAAGACCGAAATCAAGGGCAGATCACTCACTTGCCGTCTGATCGACGAAAAGAAACCCATCGTGGACAGTAAGCTACCTGAGAGTACTCGATGGGAAGGACTTACCCACTGAAAATAATTGTTAGCCTATCACTAAGGGTTGAAAATAAAGAACGTACTCATCAGCTGCAGTTTGAAAGCTTCACCAAGAAGATCTAATTCAAAAACATCAGAATTATGACACAGGTGCTGAGTCGATACCAATACCTCTGGCGGTCTTGTCATCCACTGCACGAGTGATAGGTGCCAGAATCCAGACGCAGTTGCACTTCTTCATGTAGTCCTTTGCGATGCTATTCCTTGCCGCGTTAGCATCGGCAACACCAGGCAAATCAACTAGAATGGCGCCCGTGGAAAGAGCTTGGGCGTTACACCACACATTGACTTGACGAATGAGGGGCCATAGAGCTGGGCCATGGTCTTTCTTCTTCGTCTCTTTGTTCTTGTCCTTGGTAAGAATACTCATGGGTGAGTTATCAGAAACTTTGGTCTTATCCTTCTTGCTACCTCGTTTCTGGTCCTTAGAGTCAATATATTTAGCAATCTCCTGGGCGAATATCGTCGAATTCTTCGCCGATATTTTCTTCGTAGTGCCCAAGACGTTAGCAATATCTATGCGGAATGTCAGCATCATTTGGCGTCCGCGTCCACCTTGAGAATATTTACTTTTATCGCGGGCCAAAATTTGGTCGACTGTCAAGTGAACGAGTTGCTCTTGGGCAATGGACGGATAGACAGCATGAACCTGACAATGAATCAGATCCCGACATACAAAAGCTCTGATTGTCCGCACCTTGTGCCAAGCAACACCCGAATCACTCCGAAGGTCAGTAGTACGTTTCAAATTACCGTCCTCGTCCACAAGGTCATCGAGTAGAACAGCGAGTTCTGCTCTCCACTCAGCCTCGGAAAGGAATGAGACGTCCGCATTGATAGCGGGTACGGCGTGATATGCAATTTCCGTGACCACGGCTGTGCATGCTACAAGTGGGTTTAGCGACCATGATTTCCAATAGTGAAAGGTCTCGTTTCACCTCTCATACCACTCGTTGGGACAATATTGTCTACAAAGGATTTAGTATAAAGAGTCTTAGACACTAATTTAGCCTACCGTCCAAGATCGCGTTTAGTATCGAAGACTTTCCCGCTCCGGTCGCTAAAGAAGACTTTGGTGGACATGCATATCGGGACTCATGATTACGCACCTCCACAAACGGCTATCATTGTTGTAGGAGCACCTTGATTAAGGAGACTATGACAGAGTTGTCATTGCTGACTTCGGGCACGGCTAATTACGTACTTATCAATTTCACGCAGCCAAACATCCTTTCGAAGCTTGCTGCCAAGCTCGAGTTTGTTGATTCCGGCCTTTAGAGTCTTCACCATGCCAAGACCCGCCTGAAGAGCAGCTTCAGGGGTGTATGAAATATTGTCAGCAGAGTCGTAGAGCTGATATAACACTGGCTCGTGCATCGTTTGTCGGTGTGGCGGCTCTGGTTCCGGTTTGAAGTTTTTAACGTCAGGAGCTGAAGAAAGGTTATGTTGACTATTGAGAACTACATTGCTTGGGGCTGTGGTGCCCCTATCTGACAGCTGGAATTTTTCGACAACATCAATTCTCCCCGTTTGTAGGCGTTCTAGATGCCACTCACGATAGGTTTCGATTCACTTAGTTCGGCCTTGATGGTTGGGGTGGGGGTCAAGATTTTCGAATTGTGGCGCGTAGACTCAGGAGACGGAACTGCGTGCAGTTCTTCTGGTTCTGGTTTGATGAAAATTCCAGGTGCGGACTGATCATATGCGAATCGCGACGAAGAGGGGCTAAATAGCAAAACCAAAGGATAGAAGAATCCTGGACTCACCAACGCGCTTCCCATTGTTCTATTTTCTTTCGAGCTCATCTTTTGATCAGCTACGCGATAACGAAGACCACGCTCTCTTTTGGGTGAGAAGAAAAGCGACAGGATTTCACAGCGCTAAATGCCTGTACGTGAGGGGCGGAGTTTTATTTTCCGCGGTCACGTGTGACATCTCGCGTTCGTGACAAGTTACATAGTTACTCCAAATACTATAGCGCAAACACAAGTGAAAAACTATCTGCTTCAAGTTGGTTTGACCTATCATAATCTATGCGGCCGCCAATGGTCTTTCAAGTTTTTTGCAACATCTACTTCAGCTGACAGCAAACCACTCCCAAACTTCGCGTGTTCAGGGTCATGCGAGTCATGCCAAGACGGAACGTACGGGGGGATACCAAGTAGCATCGCACGACCTTGCAAGAACGGGCGCAGTGGGCAGGAATTATCGTCGTACGCCTCGGCTGTCGCGTGAGAGCGGGTGGGTGACGAGAAAGAACCATGATGCAATGAAGATCGTTCGAGTGCGAGGTCTGAGTGTTCGTAGTCGTCCACCTCTTGTGTATACTTGATGGGTTTCCTAGGACCTTCACATGACTCGTCAAGCACGACCATGTCATCCGCTGAGATATCGTGCAGCCCGTCGCTTGAGTAGGCCTGCACCGGAGGGTAGAAGGAAGGCTCATTGACAATATGTGGAGGTTCCAGAAATACCAGGTTTTGGTCTCGAAGATCATGATAGTCAGAGTCCCCTTCAAAGAAGCTGGTGGCACATGCGTCTGGAACATACCATGCCGAAATGTCATCCTCGTTTGAGCGATTATACTGTGTGATAGAGTGACCTCGATAAGTTGGCATAAGGTTGTCAGCTAAGGGAAGAAAATGCTCTTCTGGGATACCATGGATGCGTAATGGGCTGCTATCGACCATGGCATTCAAAGGAGCGGCGCGACGCGCTGTGCTTGTGTCGTGCGGGTGGGAAACAGAGAGGGGATATGCGTCACGCGGATTGCAGTCCGATATCACACCAGAAGAGTTAGCTATAGGGTATCGTTGATCGAACGTCGGTGATACACGCTCCTCGTCGTGACCGTCATGCACAGCAAAATACTTCGAAGTGAGAAGCTCGACAGAAGGGTTTAGATGATCAAGTCGTTTGACGCCAACCTGAGATGCGGAATGAGAGGGATGGATAGACGATTCGCCGTCAAGATCGTAGATGGTCGCGGTGACAGACACCGGAGCTGATGACAAGATTTCGTCGGGCATACAGTCATGAGACGCTTCTTTCATAGGAGTTATTATGATGGAAGAGTGTATCACCTGGCCCTCAGATGGCAGCTCCTGGTCGTGCCAACTGGCCATACGGGGGTCGAGTACTAGCGATCCGGCTATGGGTTTGCCTGGCTGAGGACTGAAACCGTCTGAAGACGGACATTTGCTTTGAATCTCAATATCCCACGGCTCTGACATGGCTGTACTTCCCCTAGGAAGGTCCGGAGTCGAAGAATGATGGCTAGTCGATCGGGTCGATTTCTTGTCTTTGTGATGATTTGTGACCTTGATCTTCTTCACAGCGGATGATGGTCGAGAGGAAGAATCGAGTACAATCGGTTCTTCCACCAGTGACTCGTGTCGCTTAGTTGTCTTGTTGAGAAACATTTTTTCTGAAAATAACTTTTGGGCTGGACTATGATCAGTTCTTGAAGAGCAAATAACGTGTATTTTACCTTACCTGGCTCCTTCGCTTTGCATACCTTCGTCTTGGCAGATGATTTGCCCTTGCTAAACACTCCGAGAGAAGCCACCGGTTTCAACTGAGGTCATGGTGAAACCCAAGTGTTAGATAGACTAGGCCGGCAGTACTCACTGTGAGGCGGTTTTTACCGACATTAGTTGCTGAGAATCCGTGCAAGAGTGCAAGACCTGCAGCGCCCGAGCGTTTCTTTCCCCTTTTACGAGCAACCTTCCCATCTTCCCTTTCACTTGCTGGTGGGCTAATATGCAATGCAATGTTGGTATCTGGTTTCACAATATCGCGCTTTACGCGTTTCCGTTCTCGGCGCTCGCTCAGTCCTTTGCAAAATTGTTCAGAGAGACAGATTCATGAGGATATCGGCGAGAACTCACTAGCCTCGTGTTCTTCGTCGGAACCAAACGGGACTTCCGCCTTCTTACGCTTCCGCTTGGATGGATCACGTTGAGCGGTGATGAGCGGTGCACGCACTGAGCCTTTGTTTTCCTTTATAGAGGTCTCAGTGTCAAGTGCCTTCTGAGTCTTTCGGGCCTTTTGCGTTGCCTTCGCGGGAAGCCCTACGACCGAGCGTTCGTCCGCACCAACAGCATTAGACCCGGTCACACGGGGGACGAGGATAGGCGTGTCGAACCCAAATTTCAGCCTTTTCGTTTCTTCATACCGCATCCTTGTCGGCGTCCTTGTCGGTGTCCCATTGGATATTTTTGACGGGCGATGAAGATCGATTCCCTCAGAAGAATAGGAATGTGCATAGACTTTCTGACGGTCGAGGTACGCTTGGATATAATCATTCTTTAATGACTTATCCATGGTGCACGATGCTATTCCAGCGAGACTCGAGCGCCGCAAGTTTTCGGAACTTGAGCTGGAGGATCTGATGTGGTGACCTGGATAGACTTCAACGTTACGTACAAGTCAGGGCGACCATCATTTAACCGGGAGTCTCGGGACGATTGATTGAGTCCGACTAAATTGAAATGTATTGATTCAACAGGCGCGACTCGGACGCGGGCGTCGCGGGGACCTACCATTTATTATGTACGGGACTATTCAACGCCGCTTGGTTCTATTCAAGCCGTCAAACAGCCAGCCACCGCCGCTGTTTGCTTGTCTTCCAGAGGTATGTCTTTTTATTTTATATATATTTGTTTTCAAGTTGGCGAGCTGATTCATGGACACCGTTAACCTACAGTCCACTCGTTCTTCGTTTGAAGATGGGTTCCAGCCGGAAACGAACAGCAGAAAAGAATGCTTCGGCCAAATGTCCCAAACGTTCAAAACTTCACCTGTCAGATGCGATGTCACCGCCTTTGACTGTCGCTGTACGAGGCCAAACTTTCGAGCCAACACCTGTGTTCGATACGTTTTGGCGTTTCGCGGCAGAAAGACACGCTATAACCGAGAAGCGTTTCAAAGGCCTCCCTGCCCCGTATGTATACACCCATTCCTCCTTAGCGGGCCCAACTCAATGTATTTGGCAGATGGACGGACGACCCCATTTTACAAACTTATCCATTCTGCAATACGTACCGGGTTCTAGACCGGGTGAGCCAATACTTAATCACAGAAGTCATCGAAAAAGGTTCTCAAGATCCCACCGAACTTGTGTTTCGAATTCTGCTTTTCAATACGTTCACGAGCATCAACACGTATAAAACCCTGCGACGCGCGATCGCACCTTTCACTTGGGCCACTTACGAACGAGCCGATTACGAACGCGTCTTGCGTCGTTTGTACGATGACAGAGTCTCGATATACACTGGGGCTTTTCAAAAGCCTGCACCTAGTCTAGGCTTTGTGGAAAACTTCATGAATCATCTCGCTCTCATGGAGGTCTTGATGAAAGAATTGCCCATGCGGTGCGCAGAGGCCGAGTACATCGCGGACATCTTTGAATGGTTGTGCACCTTTAAGAGCATGGGAGACTTCACTGCGTACCAGCTAGTGCTGAACCTCTCCTATTCAAGTGTTTTGAACTTCTCGGACTACGATTTTGTGGTGGTCGGGTTGGGTTCACGTCGCGGCCTTCAACGCTGTTTCGAAGGTCTCATTCCTCACAAATGCGAGGTTGACATAATCCGATGGATGCAACTCACGCAGAGCGATCATTTTTCGCGTCTCGACCTGAAGTTTAATGGCTTGGGGCCTGAAGCTCGTCCTATTATGCTGTGCGATATCGAGCACACCTTATGCGAGGTCGATAAATACGTCAGGAAGCTCGGCACACCAGTCCGTCGTGCCTTTCACCCATCTGGCGCACTTCCAAAGATGCATCTTCCAAAAGCATGGACGCTTCCTGAGCGGCTATCGCTCCGTATCAAATGCCAGAGGGAAGCAGAAGTCGAATTCATCGAGAAGTTCGTTGTGTCGTCAATTCAATCGCACCGAGGAGCGGAAGGCGAAAGAGAATTTTTAGTTTACTGGGAGGGATACAGCCTCGATGACGCTTCATGGGAACCCGAAGACATGCTTACCGATGATGCACCCAATGCCATTAGGGAATATTGGGAGCGTGTACAAGGTACCTGCTTTCCCATCTGCGACCATGTGCACATACTGACGTTTTTACAGCCTGAAAGGCATATCTTTAACGATTTGTAAATATTGTGTTGCTGTGTGCTTTACCATCACCGCGACCGCTTATACCCCATGATTAGCATATTTGGCGGTGCTAGCATTTAGGGACGCTCAATTCTAGAAGTTCGAGTTTAACTTAACCTTGCGGTTCTTCTTGCGTAAGTTACATACACGGATCTTTTCCGTTGCTTAATGTGCTTACTGCCGTCGGATAAACCTCTTTGGCTTTGTGGAGAAGTTCGACATCTCTTTCATAATGTAGATATAGTCGGTCCATATACTCAAGAAATACATTATATACAGATTTAGGCACTTGTTAACATGTGTATATGAAGAAAATGTTCTGCCTATCAGTAAGGTCAGCAAATGCGTGACGCTCCCTTTCCCGTTGCACATCATCATCAGTCCAACCTCGGCGCGCCTTTTCTTCCTCCAGCTGGGCTTTCCGCTTTCTGTTCAAGCGGATATTGGTCCAGCGTAGTGAAAGCGAAATGAACAATTGAACGGTCATCAAGATCATGATCGCAATCTTTCCTGGAATATAGGCTGGCGCGTCTTTAGGCTGGAATATCTCGGTCCCGATAATATTGCCAATGCTGAAAGTGGCCATCGTCATTGCATTAATTGTCACCTAAGCACCACATAAATAAACTGAGGAAATAAAGGAGGATAAGTAACATCAAACGTACCTTCTTGGTATGGCCACTGGTGTTGCTTGCGTTGTATGCGTAAATCGTGGAGAGAGCACTGCCAAAGGTACCGATGATGTATGTCGCTGCCGCGAAAATCAGATTTCATGAAAACATCAAATGGTGACAACTGGACGGACCAAACAGCAGAACACCCTTGTTGGAGGATCCGTTCAAGCCAATAAGGATGGCTAATTCTCATTTTCAACCGACGTTCCTTCTAAAATTTACGAACATACCTGCGCCGACAATTGTAGGAATCAAAGCGAACACGATGGGGATCATCCGCTCGCCCTAAAGGTGGTTGAGATAATTAATTATTGAGATAGTTTTAGGCCCTCTACCTTCTTGTCAGAATACCATCCGCAAAAAATCACCATCGCGGAACCAATGAATCCCCCAGGAGTGGAAAGAATCAGGGTTTGCTTTGATCTAGGAGAAATGCATATTAGTGAGAAGCAAAGACAGCACGGTTCACGCACGTATATCCGAAACTTTTGACGATAATGTTGCTGACTGCAGTCAAAATTAACTTCCACTGGGCTAATTTATGTCGATGCGACTTACAGTTACTCAAAGCTCCATTGGGGATACTCGCTATAAAATCTGTGTCAGCTACCTTTTATGCATATTCAAGTAAAAGGTTTACTCAATATCGTTGACAAAATAACGAGCCATGTGCGAGGGTCCGTGAGGGCTTCGATGACCTGATCCTTCTTGAATTTCTTGTTCTCCGTACCTCCTTGATCATTCCGGACACGTTCAAGAGCAGCAATACGCTCCTCTCTCGTCAGCATGGAAGCATTTACTGGCGAATCTGGTAGCCAGATCAAGACGACTATGCCAATAACGATCGCAAGAGCACCAAGTAGTATATAAATAATTTTGTAGGGCGCTAAAACCTTGCCGTTATCGAATGAGATGCCCTGGAAGAGTATAAATCATTTATACATCCCCTAGTGCATTGAGCGCCACTCACGTATGCCACGAAACCACCGAACACTTGGGTTAGGCCATTCTAAAACAAGGTCAAGGGCAATGCAAATTTTGAAGTGTAAGACAGGCGCACCATGACGTAGAACCATGAAATACGTTGAGCCTTATGACTGTCGTCAAATAGTACTATATTTCACGCGAAAATTCTCGCGTACCTGTTCATCCTTCTTGTAGAACATCGAGATGATGAGAATGAGACATGGTGAGACACAAGACTCGCACATTCCTGACCATTTTGAGTTTGTGTCTAGTTTCTTTGAAACGCGAAGAGGCTTACCCAGAAGGAATCTGAGAGCAAAGAAGGCTCCGAAGTTGGGTGTTGCGGCATGCAACATGAGGATTATTCCCCATACAACAATGTTGCCGCCTTCAATGGGTTAGTTTACTTGCAGCTGATGTTGTGGTTCGTTGATTTCGCTCTCACCGAGATACTTGGCCAACCGAAGTTTCTGTGAGATATAGACAGTCGGAAACTCCCAAAAGAGGTAACCTGTGGTTGAACAGTTCGTAAGATCTATGCCGGTTTGCAGGATCGAAAATCTTACCCAGGTAGAAGGCCATGGATACCAAGTTGTAGTTCTAGAGTCATATTAGCATGTGCTGGGTGTTACAAATGTTATAACCTGCCTGGCCTACGATCGGGAGGCCCATGATACTGCGACATTGTCAATATTCATGTTACCCAACCTCGCTGCCAGTGCGAACAACACTCGCCTCGCATAGTTCAGTGAGGTCTTGTCCCTGTTCAAAGGTAAGCATAAATGATTATTTCGTACATTATATGACGAACAAATATTGACAGAAATAAACAGCCGCCGAAATGGTGGGGATGACAAGGTCCTGTAGATCCATCGATATTTAAGGCAAAATCGCCAAAGTGCAGGAAACAAGAGATACCAGCTTGCGCCTGAGCTTTCGGTTATACTCCTCACTGAAGTGTGCCGTTGCTCGTGCGCCGACGAGCTGAAGAGCCGCATCACCGTCAGAAGTATCGAGTGTGTCTAGCCCGAGCTTTTCGTCATAGGTCTCGAGCTGCGAACTCTTCTCAACTTCGTCCAGAGCCTTCGCCGCACTAGTTTCGGAAGACATTGCACTAGCGCGTAATCAAGACGCTCGAACATTGCATTAGCTTCTTATCCTCTCCCAGAAATAAATGCATCCGCGACAGCTTGATGTTATGACTGTGCCTGCAAGATAAGTGACAGACTAAAATTATAGCTCCAACGACCTGTGCTGCAATTGAGGGAAAAGATAAGCAAGTCAACATGTTCCACGAGGAAAACTTACGCGACAAGACAAGGACGGATTCGCGGCAAGCCGACGAGACCGTTTTGTTCAAGGTCTTCTCACGAACACTTTGATGATTTCTATCGAGAAAAGATAGGGTACAGATGAGTATATGGTATGAAAGTTCGTAGAATAATACAGAAACAAGTAAAGTAAAACAACTATAGTTTCTGAATAACGATGGCTGAAGCTGCCCCACCCTAGAAAGCTACCGTGTGAGTGACATAACACACGGAATTGAAAGTCACTTACCCCGTTGCAGATGCCTGCTGCACCATACTCCCCGGACTTTAGGGCGTGAACCAGGGATACCACAATGCGAGAACCCGAACTTCCGATCGCATGGCCAAGTGCAACAGCACCACTGTTAGATGACGTTAGCAGACGCAGCGTCTACGTGAAGCCACAAGACTTGCCCATTAATATTAACTTTTGCAGGGTCAATTTGCAGGAGCTTTTCGGCGATACGGACAACAACCGAGAAAGCTTCATTAATTTCGAAACGTGCAATGTCATCGACAGTCAAGTTTGCTCTTTTTAGTGCTTCCGGGAGAGCAACAGTAGGAGCCATAGGGAAGTCGATGGGCTCAACACCCGCATCCGCATATGCTGCGGAGTTGCCATCAGATAAGGAGCAGTGGCGTGATAAGCCCTGGTGGACTCACAAATGACTTTGGCGAGCGGTTTCACGCCAAGCTCCTTGGCTTTATCTGCAGACATTAATATCAGGGCAGAGGCACCATCATTGAGATTTGAAGAGTTGGCAGCGGTGATCCGTCCGCCTGCTTTGAAGGCTGACTTCAGAGAGGGGACCTTCTCAAACATGACTTTCTTATACTCCTCATCTTCCTTGATAACGGTGTCGCCCTTCTTGCCCTTGATAGTGACAGGCGCTATCTCAGCATTGAAGATGCCCTCTTTCCACGCACGATCAGCACGTTTGTACGATTCGATTGCGTGCTCGTCAAGTGAGACTCGGCTGATGTCGTACTTCTCTGCAGCGGTTTCACCGCAATTACCCATGGCAAAGTTGTTGTAGACGTCCCAGAGACCGTCATTCTCAACAGAGTCCTTGGTCTCGAATTTGCCGAACAATGGGTTCGTGCGGGGAAGTAGGAAACTTGAGGTTACGTCAATCTTTCGAGCAAACGGGGAGTCGAAGATTGAATCACTTACGGAGCGTTGCTCATGCTCTCCATACCACCAGCGGCAACCACGTTCTTATAACCACACTCTATGCTCTGGGCAGCAATCATAATTGACTTCATACCACTAGCACAAACTTTATTGATGGTTGTAGCGTCAGATGCAGATTTCATGCCGGTAGCAAGTGCTACTTGACGTGCGGGTGATTGACCGACACCAGCTTGAACGACATTGCCGAAGTAAATCTCCTCGACGACTGCGGGATCAACTTTCGATTGCTCGAAAGCATGCTTGAGGGCGACAGCACCAAGTTGGGGTGCGGTCAAAGTCTTGAGTGATCCGTATAGAGATCCGACAGGCGTACGCGACGCAGCAACAATGACAGCTTCATGGGAGGACTGGAAAAATGAGCTCTATAATTGTCAATCATTAAAAAAAAAGATAGTATACCATTTTGCGAGCAAAAGATGAGATATTAGAGCGGGATGATTTAGATAGGGACGTAAGACGCGCTGCAAGCATCATGATGGGCTAGTCTTTATTTGACAAGTGTGATTATTCGGAATTGAGTCGTACGACGGTGACTGAATAAGCGTGTGGTCTGTGGTACGATATATCTTGTGAATGTTTGAGTCAAATGATCTGACCTTTGAGCTCGCCGTGGTTGATAAACACAAGACAAGGCTGAACACTAACGCTCATGGCCTCCTTAATATATAACTTACTTGTACGTCCTTTGCACGTAAGATCCGGTACATTACATATAGTTGATTTCGTCACATGTGAGGAACCGAAGCCTTATAGAAACCTTTCTCTTCCAAACGCCTTCCCGATCCAAGCCTGAGAACACCATCCCAAAATAACGTGGACATTACTGCATGTCCACGGCTGTGCTCAACACTGTGAACCATGCCTCCATCCAACTCATCGGTCTCCTACTGTTTTCCTCTGATTCCTTGAGGATCTCCTGAACTGCACTGGCAGTTTCGCATGGGTGAAAGTACCAACAGGGTGTGCCTAGCGTCGGGTGTTCTCCTTGCGATAGGAGGGGGAAGTTCATTGCCGGGTGCGATACAGCGAATGTTGTAGCGACTGTCCCTTCGCACACATCCTCACGAAGAAGACAAGTTTGCATGATATCAGTCAGCTGTAGTGGAGAACCGCCTGCACTATCAATTTGAGTGCGTCTCATTTATGTGGGGCATAACCTAGTTGCACGTACTCGAACCATGGATGGAAAAATAAAATGCTGGTACACGGAAAGTTGCCGATAACACCACATACTGATGACAAGTCAACGAATCAGGAGAGTCATGGGAAGCAGTTGTGCCATCGTCGACGATATCCAAACTGTCGTCAATCTCAAGGAATGCATCAACTAACGCTGGGTGACGCCAGTTTAAAGTGACAATCCGGTGCATGTAACCGAAGCCCGGCAGTGTCTGTGTATTTCGAGATCCATGAAATGAAACAAACTATACAACGCCAGCGTACATGATGCTCTTTCCAAGACCATCCCGAAAGCCTAGCTTCATACGAGGAAGATATGAACTGATGAGCATGAATGAATTCCCTGCATGCCTCGTCAAACTGCTGTCGGGTGAACGTTGCGGTCATTAGCAATGTGGCGTGAGAATGTACTGTACAATCATCGAAACAAGGTTCAAGCCACCATCTCAGGGAGCACAACAAGACCAAATTCTATAGCCGTTACACACACCTAAACTCTGTAGCTCGTCCAAGTGCCGGCTCATAACGACTAGCGGTCCCCTCCCCACCGCCAGCGCACGAATTCAATATGGCTGTAGGAAAAGTATGTATTGATTTGCTTTCACCAGAGGGGGTATTCGTAGCTCATCAACTTTGTAGAACAAACGTCTGTCTAAGGGTAAGAAGGGTATCAAGAAGAAGGTTGTTGACCCTTTCTCGCGCAAGGGTGAGTCGTATTCTACATCGCCTGTGCCCTGTCGGGCTAACATTATCATTATCAAGAGTGGTATGATATCAAAGCACCCTCCACATTTGAAGTCCGAAATGTTGGCAAGACCCTTGTCAACCGATCACAGGGTTTGAGTGCGTACAAGATCCCGTCTGTCAAAAACACAACCTGATTTTTCACTAGAAAACGCCAGCGACTCTCTTAAGGGCCGCATTATCGAGGTATCTCTCGCCGACCTTAACAAGGACGAGGAACAATCGTTCCGTAAAATCAAACTACGGATCGACGAGGTGCAGGGAAAGAACTGTCTCACAAATTTCCACGGCATGGACTTCACTTCGGACAAGCTACGATCCCTTGTCCGCAAGTGGCAAACTCTCATCGAGGCACACGTCGATGTGAAGACGACTGACGGTTACCTCATCCGCCTCTTTGCTATTGGTTTCACCAAGCGTCGTCCAAACCAGGTCCGCAAGACCACCTACGCTCAAACGAGTCAAATTCGTGAAATCCGGAAGAAGATGTTTGAGATCATGACCCGGGAAGCGTCAAGCTGTGACTTGAAGGAGTTGGTGCAGAAGTTTGTGCCGGAGGCTATTGGACGGGAGATAGAGAAGCACACCCGCAATATCTACCCTCTACAAAATGTCTACGTCCGCAAGGCAAAAATCCTCAAGGCACCGAAGTTCGACGTCTCGAAACTGCTTGAGCTTCACGGCGAGTCGACAGACGTAAGCAACCACCATACTTGTGTTAGCTGACTAGAACTGACGTCAATGTTGCAGGAGACTGGCACCCGCGTAGCGAAGGACTTCAAGGAGCCCGAGATTCTCGAGTCTGTTTAAAACTCTTTTTTTTACTCGTCGTCTACCTTTGTATCTCTTCATATGACCACTCGCAAGTACTTATGCTACAAGGGTATCGATCAATCTATGAGCATCATGACAACATGCATCAATCTGTTGCAAAACGAGTTTCAAATGGGAGATCTTGAGTTTCAGTCGTATCACGAAGGACTATATCTCGCGCCGACAGGCGCCGCCTCGCGGTGTCATGAAACATGTTACGACGGAGTTCGCGCGGAACCAACTCGAAACGGTTTGCTTTTGATATCCGCCCAGGTGTCAATAAAACGTCACTCTTTTCATTCTGTCTCCCTGGTTAGCAACCACCCTTCCGCAACCTTAGACTATTTTATAGTACACCATGGCCGACGTCGAATACCTGCAAAGTATCATTCGACACCATCCCGATTTTCCAAAGAAGGTTCGTTAAAGCTCTACTCCAGCTGCGAAGAAAAGTTCAACATGGTTACATTCCAGGGAATCAGCTTCCTCGACATTTTCCCCATACTCCGTGACCCGATCGCATTTGAGACACTCATAACCCACTTTGTTCATCATATCACGTCGCAAACTATACCAAAATCACTGCGCAAAAAGGTTGATATCGTAGTTGGCCTAGATGCTCGGGGATTCCTCCTTGGGCCTATCATTGCGCTGCGACTGGGAGCATCTTTCGTGCCCGTTCGCAAACGTGGCAAGCTCCCGGGCGAGTGTGTCTCGGCGAACTATGAGAAGGAGTATGGTGCTGTGAGTTTTCTTTATACTCGGGCGTCAAATACGTTCCAACTGGCTGGCATCGTACAGGACACCTTTGAAATGCAATCAGATGCGATCCTACCCGGGCAGTCCGTGATTATTGTAGATGATTTAATTGCCACCGGTGAGTCCAGGCTCTTATCATCTGGTGCTGTGTTTCACACCTTTTTCAGGGGGGTCGGCCAAGGCAGCTGGCGAGCTTGTCAAGCAGCTAGGCGGGGTGACAGTGGAGTATCTCTTCATCATAGAGATAATGTTCCTTAAGGGATACCAGTATCTGGATGCTCCTGCCTACTCCGTTATTCAACACTTGGAATGAGTTGCGGGGCACGTTCTCTTTATTAATATTTTTATGTCGGAGACAGATACCCGTTTCTATGATTAGTGCTGTAGATTAGATCTTTAGACCTGGGTCAATTGTATATATACATACATCTCTGTCACGGCAACATAGGCATGTTGCCCATGTTGCCCACGAAGTTGAGGCAACAACGCATCCAATAGCGCTGTCCTGAACTCATGCTTGAAGGTGTTCAATTTGGGCTAACGCCGCTGCAGGCTCTATCAGTTACTACTAGGCAGGCCTTTAGAAGGCCGCAAAGGTATCGACTGGAGCTCAAGTGTCACTTTATATCATTAATCTAGTATTTAGTAGAGGGTATCCATTGATGTACAGGATTTTCCCAGATTCTTCTGGCGTCGGATCTATTACTCCATCTGTCCATGCTTGTGCCTCGGCATTAACAGCAAACATGACATGTCCGTAGCCAAACATTCCAGCAGCGTCTACCATGGCAGTAATAGATTTACCAACCGTATACGGCAACAGCACCAAAGCGACGTTGCTGATGTCGCCCGCAGCAGCGATCTCTGCGGGTGAAGCAGAAGGATTAATAGGAGTATCCTCGTCGCTGACAACAATGACTCCTGAAGCGCCCGCATCTTGTGCATAGACCAACTTCTCTAGGAACGTGCATTCGCCACGATGCACGAGGACAGCGTTTCCGTTGAAGTTGATTTCATAAGGTTTGCATCCAAGAGGGTTGCTTTTGTCCCGCTGCACTTCTGTACCCTCCCAATAACCGAAGCGAAGGGCGTCGGAATCGTCAAGTGCAGCCAAGTCTCCACCAAACTGGGCAGTGTAAGCCATGACGTACGTCTCTCCGTTAAAACTTGAAGCCCCTGGTTGTGCTGCGAGTGCTGGGTCAAACGTGTCAAGAAAGATACGAAGTTGAACGTCCTGTCTACGGTAAGTTGGGCGAGGATCTGAAAGGGGACCCCAGAGTGCGGAGTCGTTGACATACACCATTTGCCCAGTGCGGACAGCGTGCGGCCCAACTAGTACAATATTCCACAGGTGAGTTCACTAGCCAGTGAGGGAAAAAGGAGGCCTTACGCTTCGTGATGTCGTAACCTTTACGATCCAATCGACTAACGATGTGAGCCCGGATGCCCGTCACATTGTGGATAATAAAACCATCTGCCACTGCCTTGAGTTTGAGGGGGCCAGGGTTAGGGTCCTCAGGTACCATCTTGCCACCGGGTGACATGATGAAATCAAAAGACTGCTGAAAGATGTCACTGCGACGGTAGGATGTCATGAAATTTCCTTACATATAAATCAACTTCAGGGATTGTGCACCAACCATCAGGAGACCAGTGATGCTCATCCAGAGCCTGCGATCGCAGTCCGATAAGGTATCTGGCATAATCGACGTCCGCTCTCGAACCGACACCTCGGATGAGGCCGCTAATGGTCCCATCAGGCGACAAATCCTGTACGGGTTCATACAGAGGGCATTGGTAGTTCTCTTCGCCACGCATTTTTCGTCGAATACGGGATATGGGTTTCAGGACTTCCTTCGGAAGTGATAGAATGTGCCCTTCGGTGGTGAAAACGTAGTGCGAATCATCTCTGTGCAACAGGTTGTCCTCGTCGAACAAAAGGTACAGATACTGGATAAATTGTGATTAGTAACAAGCAGCGCTTCGGCGTGGCTCGATTTTTATGACGGACCTTTAGTGTTTCTGATAATGCAAACGACTCCATCCTGTCATCTCTGACATTGGTCCGTAAATCTTGGATACCAGTCAATCCACAATCCACCTTGGCGCGGACAGTTAGGTCTCTCAAAATACGTTCACCAATATCTAGATAATACGGATCTCGAGTGGCCTGTCTAATGATGAGCTACAGCATATGAGAAGGAAGAGAAGCAGACCCTATAGAGGTACCACGTCGATTCGACAAACTCTGGTCGAAGCGGATATTGAAAAGACGTCGCCTGCAGAAACTGAGCGTCCCATACTTCAGGAAGACCAGAATGTCGTCTCCAGATGTTCCAATCTGTCCCAAATCAAGGATTATCAAAAAGGTCAATTAAAGATAATGGGAAATACTTACATGTCATGTGAGATTTGATGGCATTTTGTACATCACCACCCAGAACTTGCAAACCAGGCCAGAAAGCAGATAGAGAATCAATTGTGGCATACGCTTGATCACCCGTATGTATGTTGACACTGCGAAACTACAGAAGAACTTGAGGGAACCATCGAGACAAGAAAGGCTATCACTGCTGACCCAATGGCCGTCCGGAGAACGGGCGTATCTCATCACAGCGGCGTAACTTTCATGCCATACGTCAAGAAACTCTACCTCACCTGCAGGATACCCGCGGGTGATGTCAAAGCATGGAATATACACCAACTACTCCACGAACGCACCACTCATGATATACCACTTCAAGGCATATTCATAGAAAGAATCAACGCCTGCGCCGATTCCTGTTACTTCTGGTAGTGTCCACGCCTTGTAAAATCCAGTTAAAAGTGAGAAGGAATGTAACTTGGTTGAGCTCACTCCTGTCCAGATATTAATTGTATTGCCGACCAAACCAATATCAGATCTCCTGTTCCACAGTGCGAAAAAAGCTTTATATGCTGCCTTCTCGAAGCGGTCATCTCCAGTGAGACGACTAAGGGTGGCCAATTCCAGTATCAGAGAACCAGCGCCAGCGGTACCTACGGTGAATTCAGTCTTAAAAATGACGGGTTCAATTATCAGTAACGAACAAGTTTCAAAAGATTCTCCCCGCTGAACCCCATGTCGTAAGTTGACCTGCAGATCGTTGATGCTGGAGACTACAGATACACAAGGAGATGCGCACCCTCGCGAAAGGCAGACCAGTAGGGGTGGAAAATGCAGGCAATAGTCTATTCCCAAGATCATACGCCATTGTCAGAAGCTGACCGCGATACCAAGGGAGATAAAAAGGTTGGTCAGGTCGGCTCGCAAACATATGCCCAGATAAAAGTCCGCCCAACACCCGTATAGTGGTCTCAAATACTTGTGGTTTTGTGTTGACATCGAACGACACCCAGTCAAGGACATTTTGGACTGCGTTCTGAAACCCTGGAGAATCGTCTAGCACAACCAACGTGTCTAGAACATCAATGAGAGTCAGGGAGTAGTTTCCTGAAACGTCATTATATGCTATATTTGCGCTGTTAGGTGCGTCAAGCAGGTCAAAAGCAGGTCAAAACCGAGACCCTTACGGATTTTCCCAATCTGGACCTCTACCGGTGCAAGACAATGGTGACAACTGAAAACAAATTGGAGCACAGAAAGAGTACTAGCTCAGGATAGGCAAACCTCATCCAGCGGAAAAGCTAGTAACAGGTGGGCGGCATGCATGAATTATTTGGACAAGGCTCACCGTGGGACATGTAATGGTTGAAACCATGGTACCATAAGTCTTTTGTAGTTGCTCTGGACAGTTGTTTACGAAGATTGAAAGCAAATCAGCAAGATGCGTACACACCTGAATGATCTCTTGCGCTCAGAGGTCCAAGCAGTTTCCTGGTGAGGACTTGTGTTCGTGCTTTACCGCGCGTCGACTCCGTTATTTAGAGTAATCAAGACCGTGAATACAAATGTACAAGAATAACCTTTGTCCCATTTCATGCTGCAGAGGGAAATCAATACCAGTCACAGATTCGGAGGGGTAGACGTGGAACGGTTTGTGGAAGAACTCACTTTCGCGCCGTTGATCACGTGGTCGTCAGACCGAAAGGGTAACTTGAATATTTATTCTTGGCTTCCTCGAAATCTTGCAACTACGGTTCTGTACGTAGTGGTTATTCAAAGATGAGCGCAACTATCGTCGACGTATCCAGCAAACTTGGAGAATACATGATAAAAGGCTGGGTCAGGTGGTTTCTTTTTCTTGTATCAGTCGCCTATCTCACTCTCATATGATTTCTCATAGGTGTTGACAGACACAACATGCCCGTCCCCAGCGTGTCGCGGCGTTCCTCTCATGAGGTCACCTAATAATGGATCGCCGGTAACTCACTTTTGCGTTAATTGCAATGGTCCTCAACAATGTAAGAAACCGCCTAACCATCATATTCTGCTCAATCATGATGATACATCCTGTCTCATCCACAGCTACATCGACGCAGTCTAATTCATCATCAACAGATTCATCATCAACTTATGAATCTAATTCGCGACCATCAACTCCTCCTACAGAGCTATCCAGCGCTTTAAGCTCCCCAACGTTTGCCCCTCCCATTGACACTGAGGAGACAATCCGCAGGCGGCAACAATCAGACCAAGCGTCTGCAGAGATTGGAAAGCGTCTTTTGAAGGGATGGGCGATGCTTGGTGAAGAATGTCCCAACATCAGGTGTTACGGTGTACCTCTTGTAAGACCCCCAAAAGGCGGAGAGGAGAGAGATCCTCGCAAGGTAAGCTATTCTTAGCAGTCTTTTTATATGGAAATTGTTTATCTGGGTTCAGGAATGCGTTATTTGCGGGACGGTCTACGTTACTGACGTATCTGAAGGATGGCTACGCCTTGTCCCAGCTCCACCTGCAATTGAAGCAGGATCCAGTTTGGGGGCTAGCAATTCTCTGTCAAGTGCTCCGATGACATTGGACTTTCGTGACAAAGGGAAGGCAGTGATGCGCAGTATACCTTCACAGGTGCCAAAAGTTATTTTACCTGCCGAGGTCAAGTTGACATAGATCCTAGTCTTCGCCGTTACTTCCTGCGTCAGAGTCGTCAAAGGTAGCTGTCTTTCGAAATAACCAATTGTCAACTAATCTAATCTATCATCAGTTGACGATCAATATTTCGAAACCCACAGGAAACTTGGCTAACAATAGCGAGCGCCTGGTCAGTACGGTGCTCACAATTGTTTTATGCCACTCTGCTGATCTGGCGCAGCATGCAAGTGTCCCGTCTATTAGCGCAATTACGGCGCATTCTCCTGCTCAGGCACTCAAGCTGTCTTTGGATGCTATGTCACAAAGACTTGCGCAGATATGTGAAACCGCAAATCAAATGGACGTGGCATCTATTGCATCAGCTGCTGATGCCATCAACAAGGTTGCACAGGCTCTTTTCCAAGTAAGGCAGCTAGGAGAGTATTAGGTTCATCTGGTTGCCCCTATTTGATGGTAGACCTGTTTCACCTATTACTGTGAATTTTGCCATGGGGTGTCACTATTTAATGCAAATGAGAATCTTTCGCTTCCTCCAGACAATTTCAAGCAGTATATGTATGTTAGTTCAACGTTCTAAAGTCTCCTTCCGAAAGCTCACAGTTATGTAATTACGGGTTATCGCGGTTTTCTCACCATCCCCCATGTTATCATTGGATATTGCTTCTAAACACAGTACAAGGATCTGGCATGCTGTAGAAGCACCGAAGATGCTCGTTTACTCATTGCAACCTCGTGTGTCAGCGTGCTACCATAAATTCCCAAGCCTTTGTCCGTTCTAACATCGCAGCTCTCATCTGTCATTGACACGATGCCATTCAACATGTTCAAGGCATTCGGAGGTTCTTCTCGCAATCATCGTCCTGATCGCGTAGTCTACAACGACTACAGCGAGGAATTTCCAAAACCAGATTATCACCAACCCATTCCTCAACCACAACTAAGAAGGCATGAGACACTGTCAAGAAAAGTAAGCATACCAATCTGTTACAAGATCTAGGCTGATTTCGCACCTCTCTCGATAGAGGATGGAGCCAGTAAGCTCTGCATTCCATTGTATAGCTACCTAAAGCTCAACTTCAACGGGGACAGGTATTCACTCCTGTTCCATCACGTGCACCTACTGACGGAGATGATTACTACGATGGCTACGTTCGGGTGGACAACCCTCAGACTATCCTAGGGGGAACTCTCAATGCTCGGCCCACGAGACCAGAAAATCCGTTGAGCCCCGTTCCGTCCGTTGAGCGAGGCGATGGCGACAGTCGATTTTCGGAAACATTTTCTGACCAAGGACATATCATACATAGCTCCCCAATGATGCCAGATCAGCCTGCATCTCTACATCGCCATATGCGAGATGGAGTCACTCGGGCTGATTCTTTTAGCCACGGCAGTGTTTCGGGTCGTCACATACCTGACGACCCTGCTATCACCCACATCAACAGATCTAATGACTCAGGAAGCGAACATACTGTCGAGGCGCCCAGGACGCCAATGTCTAGTCACTCTCATGCGAGAGCGGTGTGTTATACTTTCATCTGTTTATCTGTCTGTTTTCTGACAGCCACCTTTCAGGCTTCTATACACACGCCCGGTGGTTACCCGGGAAAGACTCCTACTAATATATATGCGGACGGCCACGAGGTTTGCCACTGATATACGTTTTCCGACAACTATAATGATTGCTTATAGACTTATCCCATGCGACACGATGAAATCCACCCAGGTGGCCACGGCCGGGCTCCTCACTCAGGTAGTCATGGTCCTATTTATTACATCATCCCTGGCGGGATGAGTGTTATATTCCAAGACGAATACGGGAATGAAGTCGCAAGGTAAGTTCTTGTTTGGTATTCTGTTCCTTGACTTTGCATTGAAGTTGATCGAAGAGTTGGTGATTTTAGCGGGCGCCCAGCAGCACGTTCTGCACCCTTTGTTGTGCAGGATAATCATGGGCGTGAGCTTTACAGGTGCGAAAGTGTGATGCTGGTTCTGTAGATTCTCTCAAGTGTTCACTATAGACATGATGACCGCGATCACGAGAGGGGCTACCGTCCCAGAGATCCACGAGTGGTTATGATAGATCCCAATCAACATAGTTCAAAACGCCCAAGGTCTGCCTTCGAACTATGCATAAGAGATTCGCGATGCTGACCTTGATAATGGTTTATAGTAGTAGCAGGAGTTACTCGTCCCAGAACTATCACTCCGATCCCTCTTATGGGTACTACGATGACTACTCGCCCCATAAATACCACTCCGATCCCTCGCACAGGCACCACGATGACTACTCGTCTCATAGATATCACTCCGGTCCATCGTACAGGCACTACGATGACTACTATCATGAGAACAGGGGTAAAGGTTACAGGGATAGAGAGTACTACAGAGACCCCTACCGAGATAGGGAACACAGAGATCCCTACCGGGACAGGGAACACAGAGATCCCTACCGGGACAGGGAATACAGAGACAAGGAATACAGAGACAAGGAATACAGAACACGGGATCGCCGAGACAGACAGCCGCGAGGTAGAGGCTACCATGGAAGGGATGATTGGCAGCCCGAGGACCAGCCACGAGGATCGCAGCCATCGATGCACAGAGAAAACAGTCACCACAGCCATACTTCCTCGAACAGGTCCGAGAGGCAATTTTCACAGTGAGTGGCCAAGTAAAGCAACGAGGGACCAGCCCTCTGACGATCAGCAGGACTCTTCCAGATGACAGACAATCCAATTCCAGCCGGCTGCATGATGGGTCTCATCCCTCAGACATGCACCCCATCGAGGAGATCGCCCATGGGATGCAATCTCTCGAAATTTGATAATTTCATGGGAGAGCACACCTCTGTTGTGCATGATGAATAATTATCGTAATGCTACCACTGACATCATCTCCGACCACGACTCGTATTGTGCCCATGCCTGGCTGCGCCATGTACCCCACGACCGGTCACAGAATTTATTTCCTGTTTACTAAGCTTCAGCGTCCCCCCACTAAACTTACCCACTCCCATCCCGAGACCTCTAACTCGTCTTTGACGGTCTGACGACCCAGATGATGCATCAAACAATCTTTTAAGAGTGGGGTGGTAGTTTCCCAAATTTTTGGCCTAAAAGCAAACCACTGTTAAGATATGATTGAATGGCGAGACGTGGTGAAACGAACCTCCTCCAGCTGTTGCTTTTCTCGCTCATCCTTCTTCCTTAGCAGTCCTTCTCGTACTCGTTTGGAAGCCTTATTTCGTTCCGCAGCGCGAATGGCAGCTTCTCCCTTACCAATCTTAGTTTTCCCTGCAAGCTCTAAGACACGACCGGACAGTGCTTTATCTCGTTGTGCATGCGTCAAGTTGAGTGCAGGGTTCAAAGACCCAGACAGCAATTTCGTGTGGACCAAGCGATGGAGAAGAGCATCGTTCTGAGCATTCGAGCTGGAAAAATTCGTAAGAGAACAAATTTGCGATGCCAAGGACTCACATATCCTCGTGATCATTTTGTGTGTTATCCTCGCCTCGATGTGGGGCCCCATCGGCTGTCGTTATAGATGTAACTTTAGCTACTTTTGAAGACTATTCATTCCATTATCAGTATACGAAGGTGGCAATACATGAAACTTGCCATGAAAGCTTTTTTCTGAGCTATCGAAAACTGTTCTGAAGGCTTCTGCCTCGAGTCCGAGAACACCACTACATCTGGCATCTTAGTAGAGGAACTGGCGGTAAAGCCGTCATCGTATTCATAGGGAGTATCTGACAATATAGCCATTATGGTGAACGAATAGCCGCTTGGATGACCACAAACCGTCGTCGTTATTTTCTTCGGATGGGTAAGATGAAACAGCTGTATTGGTGAAGCCTCTCCACTCCTCAAAATACTTGTTCTCAGGCTCCTCGTGAGACTCTTCTAGTCTCTGCCTCTTCCGAGGAAGTTGACTGTGATCAAAAGAGTTTAGGAATTGTTGGCCATGTGCCTGTAGGAGATCGAGTAATCTGGCTCCCTCGTCCTCCATCGTCTAAGTATGTCAAGAAGACTTGTGGGAAACCGTTGAATGGAAGACCCTAAATGGTAATTCCAGCGGCAAGGCATAATTAACTTGAACTGGACCCACGACCTTGATGGCTAAGAAGCGGCAGACAACACAGGCAGCACAGACAACGCCCGTACAGAAGCCTTTAGTCGAGATATCCGAAGACGAACAGTGGCGCTTGATAGAACAAACTGGTGTTCTCAGGAAGATATCTGACACACAAAAACCTAGGGAGACTAGTACGGACAATGTCGAACCACTCCCACTTGTTGACGAGATCTTCAACGCGGTCGCATACATTATACCGTTGACTTCCTTTCTCATCTTGATGGATATGTGAGCTTATACCTCGTGCCTGCCCCCCACCTCACCTCCTGTTGTTTTGGACAGCCTCATACATCTGCAGTATGCAAAGCGGCCAACCGCTGGTGAGATTGCTGGACGGCTTGTCACAAACTTCCCTAGTACGTTCGAAATTTGCTTGTAAAATCTTTGATGCTCAAATCCATGCAGTTTTGTCGATATTTGTGTTCTACAGTGAGTAAATGGGCCTATGTCAGTTTGGAGTACCTCCTGACTGATTGCCTCTAGCCATGCGACACAAGGCTAACCCTCGCATGCAACTTGCTCTGTCCATACTCTCCCTCTGTGCGGGGCCCAGAATGATATGGCTTATCAATCGTGGATCATGGCTCGTCAATATGCGACAGGTGTGTTACCTTCCATTTCGGCAAGACGCCTTGTTTACAGACCATACTCAAGTGTCCGCAATTCGCAACAATATGGCTGTATACAGTTATACAGTTGAACGTGAATTGGGCACTTCTCACCACAGTGATGATAGGAGCTTGGGCATGGTTCACAGGAATGAAACTTGTTCCATGATTCTGTTTCACATCGATGGACCGCACGAACCATGGCAATTGCGCGAATAGATACAGTAATCAGCAGACAGATTCCCTTAGATAGTTTTCCATAGTTCAACATGATTAATATTTCAGGAATGTTGTTCGCCATAGACAATACAACGCATATCCCAGAAGTAGGTGTAAGTAACCCTAAGAATATGCGTTGCGGTCCTACACAATAGTATGGGAAGGATAGGCATCTGACGAACAGAACACAAGGTTCATGTCTTCATATTTGCTCGACGATACGCCCCAACCAGGATGTGGTCTTGTATCCCGAGGGCACCTTGTACGAGCAGAAAGCATTGAGAAAACTGCGGAATGTTCACTAGTAGTACATTGCACATAACACGATAGACGCGAACGTTAAATGAAACAATACCTGTACGTAGAGTGTAATCAAGTTCATGTCCGTTTGCAGAACTACACCCCGTCTCCATCATCCAATTCTTCGGTCAAAATTTCCACTTTTCTCTGCGACAGAAGTTCTGAGTAAGTTGCATAGCACGAAGCACACCTTGCTCACACGATAAGTCGTATTTCTCCCTTCTAGCACATTCTGCAGCACACGGAATTGCCACTTCAGGCGCCGGCTCAGTGCGCGACGAATGGTAGCCTGGTGAGCGTTTACTTTGTCCATGAAAGCCTTGAAAGCTCGGTCATCTCGTGCAAAATAATAGACCTATAAAGAAGAGCAGTTGTAAGCTATTGGCAGCGTTCGACTCCATCGCTTACCGGTATTGGTTCCCCTTCGATAGATTCCAATGCGATTGCCCAAGCTCCAAGAAGTAGAAGGTCAGTGGTAGCATTTGCCACACTTGTGAGTTTGTTCATTCAGTGAAGCAATACCGAATCAAAAATGACGTACTAATCCTCCAAGGCAGCGATTGCATCTGCCTTGCTTAGTTCTTTAGTGGCGAACTTTCGCACCGCCGCCTCAGCAGTGGAAACAGGTTTTCCAGCATTGCCAGATCTCAAGGCCAGAGACACCGATGATACCTGGGCGCGAATCCACTTTTCTCCTTCGCTCATTACCAGTGTTTGCATGAAAGATGCTACGAGATCGCTCTGAGATTTATAAAGACCATAATCTATGCCGAGCTTGAGATTTGTTCCTGCCACAGGGTTAGTCGCTCATTAGGGACTGCTTGAAGCGAGACTAACGTAAAGCCTTAAGGATCACTCTTGTCCGTGGGAGCCCAATTTCGCTGTCTTCTAGATGGTTGATCCAACGAGAGAAAGCTCCGAGCAATAAGATAGCAACGTCACGGTGAGACTGTCCGATACGCATAGCGTGAAGGAGAGGGGTAGCATCCCCAGTTTTGCGAAGTAGTAACTGAAGGATCATTAGTACGAGGAAGAAAATACAAGGTGTTTGAACTACAGGGAAAGCACGATCGCGAACTTCCATCAGAAACATGATATCTTTGTGCTCGATAGCACGAAAGACTTCAAATGGCTAGTGAAATAGAATATATTAACACCGTGCACTAGTAAGGACGAGTGACATCAACATACTTGAGGCTCTTTCCAACCCCCTGAGGGTTGGCTTCTGGAAAACGTAAACAAAGACCGTGTCGGAGAGCTTTGCTCTGAGGCTGACGAGACACTGTCCCTTCTCTCAACGTGAGGTGGGGTATCTTCTGTCACATCATGGTATTCGGTAGTTGGACTAGGTGGTGTTGGACTGCGTCGTAGCTGCCTCAACACCGCCTTTGGTGCATTCTGTTCGGCCTCTCGCTGCAGAAAGCCTTAGGATATGTTGGATATGATGTGAGGAAGATGATGCTACGACGTACCTGTCGTAGGCAAACGCGCAGGTAGGCATGGATCAGGGGAAATTCGGGCCCTTGTCACCGATCGTTGCGCAAAATCGGGGTTGAAGCGATCTAGGATAGAAAGGATGACCGCCGCATTGTTTACCATCGCTCCTGCGGAAGCCTATGCAGAGCAGCCGTCCACTGATAGCAGACCAGTAATTGTCATGGGTTGAGCACTGTAGAGCGCTAATGATGATTACTCATGTGCATGCCAGTCACAGTGGTTCAACGTTGAACCCGAGTGGTCACAGTACCGAAGTCACGCCAGAGTCACGCCAGGACTTCAAAAGTTGATCTTGCCAAAAGATTTCCTTCTGTTACTATCCACGTCGCGTCGTTATCGCGTGTTTCCTTTGGTCTCCGCTGCCATCTCACTGCTCATCTGCAGAAGTCGCGATGTTGAGAATCTGGGAAGAAACATCTGGTGCTAGATATCCAGATCCTAACTTGAAGTGCGACATGAATCAGGACACCCGGTCGTGTGAGGCTGGTGGTGACTGGCCTGGTTTAAATAATAGCGCATTGGCACCCTTAGCCACCGATGGTGTTGTCCTGAATCGTGCCATGCTTCAGGATCCTTCTCTAACTTCGAAACCCGTACTTTGTGCGTCTGGCATTCGTCCTGTTGAGGCCGTCATTCTCTATGATGCACTTTTGGCAAACGCAGAATCCAAGTTGATGGAGGCTCTCCACGAGATCGATCCAGAGGAATCTACTTTTACAAATACATTTCGCGCTTCACGCTATGCTCTGGCCGAGGTCGGTTTATGTGCCAGTGATCTCGTCTGGCGCAGGGCCATCAGAGAATATACTGCCAACAGGAATGACGATGACGACCCCGTTTTTGAGATCGCCAACAAAATCCGCGATCTGGTCAAAAATTGGGTGTTCGTCATGCCGAACTTAAACCTTTCTTCCAGAGGCTTCAATGTAACGCCCAAGTTCGTGCAGCTGATTCATGTTCTCAAATCATGTGGAACTTACGGGGACAAGTTCCGTGGAATTGTCTTGGGTTTGTATGAGGCAATCTGTCTTGATAACAGTTGATAAATGGTCTACACTGTAGTCCAACGGTCCGAAGTTGCAACAATTATGGTGGATATCATAAGAACCATGATTGATGAATTGGCTTTCGTTCGACCTCATGCTTTGGCCAGCGAACTCCTTGTCACTGATGGTCACCAACAGGTGTGTGAAGTTTCCTTGCTTGCAACATGGTTGGCTGAAACGTATCATGACAGCGCGAATTGCTTGACAACTTCGCGAGTGGAAAGTATAACCTTCTCATTCTAATTAAACCCCTGGAAGATATCGACCTTCCGCGTGCCAATGTCTTTATACGGTGCATGTCACTCTTGTTGCTAGTTATGGTTCGCTCATATGTGCTCCAGATACAACTTGTTCGAGAGCCAACTTTCCTATGCATTTGCTTGCGCGCATACAATGGTGCCTGATGGACATCTCATACATATGGTGGAGAAAGGGAACGACCTACATCGCCGAATTCTTCAAGAGTACAGTGGTCCAGCTGTTGACGACAGGTGGATTGAGGTGGTCTTACAAGGGGGAAATTCCCCAGTTCCATCCTGTCCATTGAAGGAAACTGGCGACCCTTACCGCTCGGACGAAGAGACGGCCTCCAGGCCAGAGATCTCGATAGGAGACTCGGTCAATGGTGGTCGATTATTTGAAGACGATGCCTTGCTTGTTGTTTTCCGCATCGCTGCAAACCTTCAGCGCAGCAATACAACTCCATCTCTTCATCCTCTGTTTGTTGTCCATCCCATACCCATACCAAGTATGGGTGGGGTTCAACAATTCGTGTGCACTGTGACACTCCCGCCTGGACTGCCTTTGCAGACAATTCGGGGTCCTCCACGTCTTACGCCCGTCCATGCGCGTCGCTCAGGAGCCTTCCGATTTTGCCTACGATTATTTGAGTTCAGCGGCCTGGACTACCGCTTGATCTATACCCCAGGTCGATCTGATGACAATGCTTGCGCGAATCCTTCCCTATTGAAATCAGATCTGGTTTCTGGAAACAGTTGCTACATGCGAAAAAGGCCAGACTTCTGGGTCAACTCACTACGAATTTCTGAAGAACGCCTCTTCCCCGTCGTCATTTCCGTAGGCAATCCAGAAGGCCCATCCGAACCTTATGCACCTATCGTTATTCTAACACGTCAACCATTACCTCATCTAGAACCCTTCAAATTGTTTTTCTATGGCGTTTTTGCCACTGTCAAGAATGCACGAGGTCCCGCCCTCATCCTTGACGGCGAGCGTCTCAATGACCTTCACTCCTATACACTCAGAATTTGCCGCACGATTGCCAACAAAGCATTTGTATGTTCGTTGGAAAAAATGACATACTTCACTGCACCTCTACTTCCTTCCCAAGCCAAGGATTTCTCGTGTTCCAATATGACCAACTTACAAGATGCCATTGACTGGCAAGCTGTGGCACGAGCCAACAGCAACTATGTCACACGTTTTAGTTCCGATAACTTACGAGACCCAAGCGAATTTGAGGATGCAGTCATCCAGGATAGATTAGTCGAATTCACTCGACGATGCTATGTTGTCCGTTTACGACCGGATTTATCACCAATGAGCAAACCCTCAGACAGCCCAGTAAGCGACCGTCATTGATGGTTAATCTACGGATTCTTGATCTATCTCATTCCAGCGCGAGGCAGAATATGCGAACATTTTGGAGTATTGCAGAGCGCGTCGCAAGGGCTTCCAGGGCCTCCAAGATAACAATCAGCCTCTAATAGAGGTATCCAAGGCTACTGCCGTGCTGAACCGCCTGAATCCCGTCCACAAGCCCCTTATAGAGACGAACAAGACAAGTCCAAAATGTAAGCTACCCCTCAAATTTTGGTAAACCGCGTAGCTGACACTATGTAGATCTTATACCGGAGCTCTGTGGCAAGTGCACGATTCCAGCAAGGTGAGTGTTCTTAGCAGGAGACCATTGCTATGCTCATACAGGGTCTGTCAACTAGTATATACCGTACTGCGTTACTTTTACCATCTATTACTCGACGGATCGATGATTTCTTGATTGTAAAGGAGCTCAATGCACAGTTCTTTGCAAATATGATCCTGGAACAACATTTGTTGTCCGCCGTCTTCGCTCCCTCTGCGACCTTCGAAACGGATTACGAAAGGCTGGAGCTCCTTGGTGAGGTTTACCCAATCCTTATTGTTAGCAATGCTCATACTATAATGCAAGGCGATTCATTTCTGAAATATTTCAGTTCTGTTTACGTGTTCGTTTTTAACCCTGCTTTGAGCGAGGGCGCACTGCACAAGGCACGACAGCACATTATCAGCAACAAGGTGCTCACGCAGTGCGGTCTTTCCATTGGTCTGCCATCATACATACAGGGAAAGACGTTCAGCTACAGATTGTGGCAACCTCCAAACTTCACGGTTCATGATGCATCTCTGCAGCATCTGGGGAGGTCTAACGATCTCATGTCGTCCAGTGGCAATGGTGGGATGGCAATTGATACCCAAACACAGGCTCCCATCAACGATACCAATGCCTCCACTATACATTCAACCTCACAGTCAAAGACGAAACACAAGGCCCCCGACGATAACATAACGCAGTGGCTCGGAGACAAGGTAGAAAGGGTATTTTATGAATTGGAATTGTCTCACATGCTTTTGTAGACGATCGCCGATGTCGCAGAGGCTATCATAGGAGCAGCTTATCTTTCTGGAGGCCGCAACGTTGCGCTCAGAGCGATAAAGGCCCTCCGATTACCTGTCGCTGATGTCGAACAATGGGAAGATTTCCGCCGGAAAGCTCTTGCTCCCCCTTCAGATGTCACGCCAAGGCTCCGCGGTGGCACTCTTTCGGCAGTGGAAGAGATTATCGGAGCTAGTTTCAAGTACCCACACTTGCTCTCTCAAGCTCTTGTATGTGCCATCTCTCTTCGACCACCATCAGCTGAGCCTCTTCTAGACTCACGGTTCAATTCATGGATACGAAAACACATGCTATGAGCGGCTTGAATTCCTGGGAGATGCAGTGCTGGATTTTTGTACGTGGTTCTTCCTCTTCGTGGCAATGGTTTCACATGCATTTGCAGTGGTAGTACGACATGTCTTTAACAGGGATGATCACATGTCCCCTGGAGCAATGACACTATTGAAGGTGGGTATGCACTTCTTACCTTGTGATTGTATCAGACACCTCTTTAGTCCGCTATGGTGTCGAATTCAGCCTTGGCAGCAGTCTGCGTCCGGACTGGGTTACATGCGTATCTTCTTTATGAGTCATATGCTCTTGGAAACAGCATTCAGTCATATGCTGAGCAGCTGGAGACAAAGCGCCAGGAAGAACATCATAAGGCGGTCAGGGATGGAAGGCCTCCAGGGCAGTACTGGCTTGATATGGAGCCACCCAAGGTATGTTTACAGCTGGTCTCCGAGCAGAATGAACTGACACATAATTATAGATCCTTTCTGATGTCGTAGAGTCGATCATCGGTGCACTTTACATCTCAGACGGTTTCACATCTGACGGTGTGGAATCGATGTTCAAGAAAATCCTCGAACCTTTTTATGACCAACATGTCACAGTCAAGACACTTTCGCATCACCCCACCAAAATCCTTTTCGAGATCATGCAGACTCAGGGTTGCCAACAGTTCTCTATCGAGAAAGAAAAACTTGGCGAAACTCACGGAACTCGCTGTGATGGTAGGATTCAAGTTGTGTCCATGTGGAAGGTGCTGATGAGCCTTCCTCTAGTTATTGTTCACGACATTATCCTAGCGAGCGCCACAGAGTCGACGGGATATATCGCAGGGCGCATGGCGTCAACTGCTGCCCTCGATGCACTGGAAGGGGACCCCAGTTTTATGGCTCACAACTGCAGCTGCAGAAACCGAACACAAATGGGAAAGAAAGACTACAAGAATAGGCTGGAAAGAATGTTGGCTGATCTTGAGGAGGGGCAGAATGTCACAACTGAAGTGGACCATAATGACGGCATAGAGGTTGACTAACAACTGGTCAAACGTTCATGAAGTTTGGTTTGAGCTCAGATTCCGGATATAGGTACCGACAAGACAAAAAAATTTGTTGTATCGAACGTCCTACACATGTCTATGCTGCGCCAGACTTGATCCTGTTAGCATGTGTCAGAGTGTGGTTTTACTGATGCCATTGAGTAATCGCGTACAATTGAAATTTGGCAGCCGCGAAAGGAATGCTGAATCCTGACACCAGGAAAGCAGTGAGCTTGATACCGAACGATAATCGTTTCTTTCCAGGCCACTCGAATGGCAAGTGCTAAGGAGGGAATACATGCGGTGCTGAACGAGTAGAAGACGAAGAACACGTACATGATATTCGCCGTGGCCATGCACAAAGCGTGCAGAAGGGGCAACGCGAGTACGCGCAACTTGTGCACGCAAGGAGTGTGGTGCGCGGGCGAGCATTGGAGATCTGAGGGCAGTAATATGGTTGAGACAAAGAGCTTGAGTTAGAACCTAGAAGGTTTGCCGGAACCACCCGCAGTTCTTCCCACGTCCCTCCATTTGCAAATTGCAAACCAGTTGTGGCCGCGGGAAGCAGTATATCATCCTGACATGCAGGCATGTTCAGACTGTTGGCAGTCGAACTCTCGTGTTTATTCTATATAGCGCACAGCATTTTATCTCAGCAAATGCTCTAGCTGACATTAATAGCGATATCAGTCACCTTTACATTACCCTCACTCGCTGGGCTGTGACCAGAATCATTTCGGATGCAGTCACGAGAATTGACGATGTAAGTAAGGAACTAATGTTTGTGGTCATCTTGCGCAGGAACAACAAGCAAAGTAGAGGCTAGACCAATGTCCAACTCGAGACTCTAGGCGTAGGTGATAATAGTACGCTCTCATAGGCACTACTCCATCACCTAACTGCCCCTGTGTAGTATTCACTGGTTGATGCAGTCGATTCCTCAATTTTATGCCGCCAGGATTATGGTCAGTTTGTAACCGAACAACAGGGCTAGGCCCGGCTAGACATCGTTGATAATTCGCGCAGAATTATCTAGAGCTTGTGAGTCGGATAATCGAATGGTTAGCGAGAGGTTACAACTAATTATTGTCGTTTTTACAGGGCCGTGTTCGTAAGGGCGCGTCTCTTCACAGAATTAACACGCTAGAGAATTCCGGTCCCCCTTGAATTTCCTGCAAAGTCTCGATAGATGTTCGTAACCGACGAGGATGCTGGCATGCTTGAGTCAGAAGTACAAGATTAATTTCCACTCATGCCTTCCAGTTGCCTCGTGTTTATTGTTCTGTAAGATAGGCACCTGTCAGCAGACTCAGCACGACCTACTTCCCCACCATAAATGGTATCCTCGGGTATGTTGAGAATATCATGATCGAGATAGCAAGTTTACGTTGCTTGACGGATCACTGGAGGATCTCGTACGACGAGGACAGCCGGCCCTGAGATGGAAAGGGGACTTACTGCAGCGTATGTGTATGTCATCATGATCACAACACATCGCGTCGACTGTTTATTGTGTATATGGCATACTAAACGAGTTTCGTATGCAGGAATATCAGTGATACGGCCATCAATCAATTTGCGCAGCCTTCATCATGTGCGCACAGGAAAGCTCGTATGTGGGTCCCAGGCCAACTTCAGGGAGCAACCTACTGTTTCTACATTATAGGGCGGCGTAAAGCTTCTTACGTGGGTCCAAGCTAGGTATCAGATAACACAAACCGGCTCCCTACCGCCGGTAGCATCCCGATGAATCTCAGAATCACCCATGCCAAGGTCGTGCCTCGGAGACCCGTGGCGCATACATATCCCATAATAGCACCCCGAAAGGTCGTAGAGACTTGTTGCTTCACCTCGGCCACCATGTTTTATGCCCTTCCATTGGAAGTTGTCGATTCATCTAACCTAAACAGGTACTCGATGACTTCGAGAGACTGCTGGGATGTTGCCAGTCTAATCCTGGGGTGGGTGACGGTACTCATGGTTTTTCTGAAGTATAAAGATTTGATTGAGCTTAGTATCATTTTGCTAGGTGTGCACCCAAATGAAATCCAACACGTCCTTGCGGCACTCGAACCATGGAAACTATACAATGCAGCTCTTCGTGCGTCAATGACGTGACGGCCGCCACGACTGAAACTACGAATGCACATTTCACCATGATGGCGAAGCTTCGCAACTTCTGGTTCTGAAGCAGATTCGCCTGCCAGTGTACCGCAGCACAATTCAATGTTACGTATGTTCCACGTCTTGATAGAGCTCTCGTTTACCCAGTGGTAAAGATATAAGCATACAGGATCGTACCCGTTGTCGGTCCCGAAGATATTTTTTGTTGACTAGTTCAGGACCACGAGTGTTTATTTCTTTATTTCTCATATTTTTTTTCTCGTTCTCGTTCTCAGATGGATCCCAAAGGGAAAGATCACTCGTTATAATACTTCACAGAAAATCAACGGGCCGATTGTTTGGGAAGCGGCCTTTGAAAGGCTTTTTGTTTCATGAGTTCGTAAAGCGGGCTGTGGCGCCGTGTAGCATGATGGTGGATGGGATCACACCCGGCGAGAAGCAAAACGGCGAGGCTGTGCAGCACGGTGTAATGAGATACCATTTTAGGATCATTGCTGCGGAAGCAAACGTCTGACAGAGTAAGCAGCTGGGGTCCTGAATTTCAAGCTTGCGTATAGTATACCCCAGGTTCGAAGATCTGGTATATACGACACGTGTTAGTATTCGACTTCACATGAAAGACATGCGGCGATATCTTATCTACAGATGTGATACATTATAAGTCTAGATGGCGGCTAAAAGTACCAAATTATTTGGGCGAGCATTGTTATCATTCTCTTCACGGACCCTCTATCGCTCTTCACATACTCTTTCCACCATGCCATCCCTATCAGCCCACATTGTCATACGTGCTACGAACCGTGCACTCGAGATTCCGACTGGCCTGTTCATCAACAACGAGTTTGTTCCCTCCGCGGATTCCCCTAATGATCTCATCCAGTACGATCTTTCACATCTATCTGATAAGGATTGCCACTTATTTGAACGCGTACAGCCTAGTTAACCCTGCGACAGAGCAGACTATATGCTCCGTGGCAGCTGGTAAATCACATTAAGCTGAAAAAAAATCAAGAATATTAATGATTGTCAGGCTCGGCAAAGGACATAGACATAGCGGTTGCAGCGGCTCGCAAAGCTTTCAATACCACATGGGGGAAAAATGTGACTGGTTTCGAAAGGTCTAAGCTCCTGAATAAGCTGGCAGATCTTATGGAGAGGGATCAAGATATACTCGCAGAGATCGAGTCTTTGAATAACGGCAAGCCATTCAAAATCGCGAGGTATGAAAATACGTCTTCTTTACGTTTTATCTCTCAATGGGCGTTGCCCATCATATCAGGGATTTTGATATCGGGGACAGTATCCAGTGCTTGCGGTACTATGCGGGGTGGGCCGATAAAATAACCGGACAAGTAGTGGAGCACCTTTACAGAACGAATTTGTCCTCATGCTTTCTATTCTCAGACTATCGAAGTCGACAACAAAACCAAGCTTGCTTTCACTAGACACGATCCTATCGGAGTTTGCGGACAAATGTGGGTGGTTTCCATGCGTTACCTTGCACATGTTCACAGACACGATATAGTATTCCATGGAATTACCCAATCAATATGTGGTATGTATTCAACTGCGTAGATCTTGGAGATCGAAACATGATGTCTTCATTAGGGCATGGAAAGTTGCCCCTGCCCTTGCATGCGGGTGTACCATCGTTATGAAACCCTCCGAACTTACCCCTTTGACGGCCCTTATGCTGTCGAAGCTTATCGTTGAAGCCGGGTACGCGATACCCTCATCTTTAGTATTTTTTCTGACCCCAATTTTGAACCAGATTTCCACCAGGCGTGGTGAACACGATTCCTTCCCTGGGATCTGTTGGCGGTGTGGCCTTATCAATGCACATGGATGTCGATAAGGTTGCGTTCACCGGGTCTACAGTAACTGGCCGCAAGGTTATGGAAGCCGCGGCCAAAAGCAATCTGAAGAAGGTGAAGTGAATTTTAAGGCATAAATTCGGTTAAATAAATTATCATGTGTCTGAAGGTGTCTCTGGAGTTGGGTGGCAAGTCGCCCCAGTTAGTTTTCGAGTCCGCGGATTTGGAGCAAGCCGCAAACTGGGCTTGCCTCGGTATTTTGTACAATACTGGCCAGGATTGCACGGCAGGATCTCGTTTGTATGTTCAGGACACGATCTATGACAAGTTTGTCTCCCTCCTCGTCTCTAAAGCCAAGGAGCTCGTGATCGGCGATGGCTTCGACGAGAAGAGCGGAGGTGGACCCCTGGTCGGTTAATCGTACGAGATCGCACCATCCACAGCTCACACCCTTCGTCAGGTATCTAAAACTCAATTCGACAAGGTTTGGCGATATATCGAGAGCGGTCAGGCTCAAGGCGCAAAGGTGGTTCTGGGTGGCCAAAAGCGTCCTGGTAAGGGTTTCTTTGTTGACCCTACGAGTAAGTATCCGTAGCTTTCGGAACAGCACCATCATCGCTTATCGATTCCCAGTTTTCACGGACATTAAAGCGAACATGGATATCGTAAGCGCTAAAGCTGTCTCCTAGAGTACTCCATGCTCACGTTCATGCGAATCAGGTCCGAGATGAGGTATGCTTCTGATGCTGGCAGGATGCCCACTTCCTGCAGCACAACCCTAATAGTAATGTTAACTAACAGATCTTTGGGCCGGTTCTGGCGGTGGGCCGATTCAAAACTGAAGAGGAAGCCATTTCGCTGGCCAATGACACGTCTTACGGTCTCGGTGCTGGTTTACACTCCAGTGGGTAGTTTCCCTGGGTATTTGATTGACGCTAAAATGCTTTCGAAACGTCAGATGATGCAAATCAGTGCATGCGCGTCTCGTCTGCCCTTGAAGCTGGAACGGTATGCCCTACATTGCTCCGGCATGTTCTCTAATTGACGGTATCCAAAGGTTTGGGTCAATCAGTACAATTTGTTGAATAACAATGTTCCGTTTGGCGGGAAAAAGCAGAGTGGCATCGGTGAGCAATTATTATTCAGTACGAAGTACGTCCAATATGTCTGACTTCGCGAGTAGGCCGTGAACTTGGAAGCTATGCCCTTGATGAGTACACTTCGGTCAAGGCTATTCACTGGAACTTTGGAGAGAAACTTGATTGGCCACTGTAGTGGCAGGACTGACACCACCGAAGACCGTCAACGATTCAAGTTGTATCTTTACTTGTACAATATTGTAGCTGACCGCCATTCAAACAATGTCCGACTGTAATATTAATGTTGATACTCTTGAAAGTTTCCACAACTTCATAACCGCAGTCTATAGTCAAGTCACAAGGAACGTACGAAACCATGCCGTGACAGGTAATAGCATTGTCACGTAAACGAAAAGCTCATCTTCGATGGACTGCACGTCTAAAACGGGCAGCAGGAATGGTGGACTGACGGGAGCAACCTCACGCCGGGGCATTCGGGAGCCCAGAGGCGTAGAAGAGGCAGGGGCCTCAGACTATATATAGTATTGATGGACATGAATTGGATTTTTAAATAAAATAACAAAAGTAACAAGAATCAGGTAAGAGCCCGAGGATCGAAAGGAAGGCGACGATTTGAAGTCGGAAATTTCATTCGACCGACTCTTATAAGGTTTGATGATTTGAAAAGGGGAAACAACAGTGTTCAAATCTTAGCTAGGGAATCATACAACAACGAGGTAAGGGGGGTACATAGCTCAAAACTCTCCGTCTGATCGCATAACATTCTTACAACAGTCACGAAAGTCCGCATCATATCTGCATGGTTGTGGCATTAGCCAAAAAGGTATCATCAGCGCACCAGCTGACCGGCTACTACTAATTCTGTCCGCCAGGATGGGTTGATGGATAGCCGGTCATATCCCCACTCCCTGGACCCATATCAACCGCGTGGCTTCAATTGGACAGTCAGCACAGGAAGGCGGAAAGGAAAGTGTACTAACACATTTGGCTGACCATATTCGTCCAACCAGGCGGTACCAAACGTGTCCAGGTACAGGGGATTGCCCTGTTGGAGCGAGGCATTCAGGTGACCAGAAGCCTCTGTGGAGGGACGTAAGTGCCGCGCAAGAAGCATAAGTCTTTCTCGCGCACCAGCATTCGTGGACGTGGTGAATGTATTGTGATGGACGACAGCGACGGAATCATCATGCGGAGTAGTCGAGTTGACCTCAGCGTACACGCATGGTTTACCGGTCTCGGAGCACCGGTTACAGATGCCCAACGTTGGGTTAAAGACACACTGACAAATGATAAGAGGTTAAGAATGCAAAAAGTTAGAAAGGTACTAACTTTCCTCTTGAGCTTCCTGCATGATTTACAGGCTTGAGGGGCTCGATGCTGCATCGCAATTGCACTTGCGCTCATCGCTGAATCCATGAAGATATGAACGATGTCCGCACCTCTTATATGGCAACAGAAAAGTGACAAAGAGCCATGCTTGCACGACTTGATTGGAACCGGCAGAGGTGTGGTTTCAGCGAGGTAGAGGAGTGGGTGGCCGGATCCATCATATTTCCGCTTCCGGAATAGTTGCTCATTGTCAGGTTGTGAAACGAGCCAAAGTTGAATTTCATCTATTCTTGCCACTAGGACATGCCGCACGACGCTTGTCGCCTGGTAGACCCTGTAGAATTACACGTTCATGCCCATTAAGTTGAGATCGTTAATGATGGAGCGGGAAAAGGATTGTACGCTCGTGCAGTAACCACTGACTCAGCTTCTTGTCGTGTTTGTTGAGGAGGGGTGAGGAAGATGAACAAGTGGCAATTTCCAGAAGCTCTGGGCAGAGATGCCAAATCAGTCCATGGGACCCTGCACAAACATTAACCCTGCAGGCTTACTTTATTCAGCTCGACAGTAATAAAATTGACGTATGTACTAAGTATTGCAGGGCCGGTAACATGCATTTTTGGAGATCGAAGGAGATACGGTTCGGTCACGAAACACCGTCCACACGAGGTCAGTGACTGAAAATCGAGGCTTATTTGAGCTTTAGAACATTGCCCCAAGTGTAATATCTCGCGCCTCGTATAGGCGCTAGCAACAGCAGGTCTTCATGAGCACTGTTGCATACCGACCTGTGTTAGTCCATCAAAAAAACTTGCAACAGACGGCTGACCGCGGAATTCTGGTGCTTCGATCATGAACGCTAGCATGAATGAATTCCGCCTCAAGTCCACCCGGCGGAATTTTAAATGAATGGCGAAAGCACAGCCGCAATATTCTTACGTATACGGTGATGATCGAGGTTGCCGCCGGTGTGATGAAAAAGGCACAGTCAATTTCGACCGGGGTACAAATCAAACTCTGATTTCTCCAAACCACATGAGACAGTAAAACAAGCTAATATCTCCTGTCCCTACCCGTATGCTCTACGAAGTCGGTCATTAGTCATGTATCGAAAGATGAGCGAAATGACTTGGTCGTACCTATTACACAGTGTCACCGTAGCCCCAGTCGTCGGGAAAGACGGAAGAGGGCCCCGCAGTCGCAGGTTGCGGTTGAACCGCGGAGGTCGTGAGGCTGCATTCAACTCCCCGTTTCGCGCACAGTGGGCAGGGCTGAGCCGGACGGTCCCTGTCGTATTCGCACTTTGATAGTGATTAGCTAGATTGCAAGCGATACAGGAACCAAAAATAGCCAACTCTTTTCCTGGCGGTGCGACACACCTCGCACGCCTGAGCTGCCTTTGGACGCATCACGATAGGCTTGGATGGCTTTTCCTCCATATTGACAGTGAGCTGAGTAGTTCGATGGGTTGAATTTGGTGCGTTCGCGAATTTCGATGAGTTAAATTTAGTGAGTTCGCTGGTATTTTATACCAAGGACGTTACGGTCATCCGATAACCTGGAAATTTGATGCTAAAGGAAGCAAAGAACACGACTTTACATGCCGCAAATAGAGGAAATAGTTGCCAAGATCAGTTGCCAGTGGAGCATGAGACACCTGAGAATGGTAGCCTGTCCCTGGAACGGGTGGTATACACTTCCGGTGGGTCATTGGTACCGGTTTCCTAAAAGACAGGATACAGATCTGCGTGCAATCCGTTTCTTATTGAAGATTAGTGCACATCGATCCACACGAATGCAGCTTGCTCGTCAAGAAACCCCATCACGACCCTATCATCCTGACCCTGTCAGAACTTGCTTGATGTGCATAAATGCTGCCTTGGGATATGCCACAAAGTTTACCAAGTCAACTTAATTTAATGTGGTGGCCGTGTTCAACGGGCATCTACGATGCATCTCCAGGAATCAAAATCTCTACTATTACAATGCGATGCAACGCACGTGGAATTAATCCTATAGCGCCAAATAATCTCTGACTTCCTCCTCGCTGAGTTTGCGGAAAGTTGGTTTAGGCCGGCCTGTTTCGCCACCGATTTTCCCAGCTTCGAGCTCCTCAAGTGTTGGGACAGTGACAACACCAATTTCTATCGTTTTCTCCGTCATCTGACCTTCAAAGCCCTCTTTCAGCGTCAATAGAGCAGTGTGAATTGCATCCTCTAGACTTATGTCGTCGTTATATCTAAAAATGATCACGACCTCAGCGGAAGATAGGTAGATGCATCACATAAGCCTCACCTCTTCTCCAAGAACGTTTTAGCGTTGACCATGTTTTTCCCGATAGCACTGGCCTTCCACGCCCAGAAAGATCCCGAAGGATCAACCTGGTACAAACTTGGACCACGGTTGATGTCCCACCCTGCGACAAGTAATGACACACCGAAAGGCCGCACCCCTCTGAACAAGAGAATTAAAAACACGCGTGATCCATTGTACACACAACAAGGCGGATCTTCTTACCCAGATTGAGTTGCCTTCTGCATGACAGTGGCGATCTCCTGCGTCAAAACCTTCGTGGGTGGATACTCTCCATATATTTTCCAATATGCCTGCGCGCTCTTCCGCGCCCTTGCGATCAAAACGCGGAAGTCAGGACCCATGCCTGAATACACGATCCCAATATTTGGGCACACTACTGCCACTTTCTCGATCATGGAGTCGTCTATCAAAATGGAGGACGACTTCTTCTCAGTGGCGATGACAATTCCATTGGACGCTGCGAGGCAGAATTAGTATGTGATGTGCAACAAAAGTAGACAGGGTACCTTTGATACCAAGACTCGTTGTTCCCTGGGAGACAGCAGCCAACGCATGTTCGATCTGAACGAGTTTACCACTTGGTGAGAATACCGTAAGGGAGTAGCTAAGCACAGAATGTCAGAGAAGCAGCGAGATCAGCGGAAGGGAGTATGGACCTGTAAGCGCCTCCATCTGCGTTGGCCATTATGATCCGTCAGAATGAGTATGGCAGATAAAGAAAGTTGTTGATGTGGGAGCTGATAAAGCTAAGCTTGAAGAACGCGTTATGATACTGTCACTAGTACACGCGTCGTTCAGCCTTAGAATTCAACAGACACAAACAACCATATTTCGGCTATATTGACCCTAGATGAGGCAAGTACCATCTAAATGGAACTTTGCTCTAGTCTTCCGCAGCTCACGTACAGGACGTACGCGTATGCTTTAAGCTCCTCGTGGACTTATTGAAACAGTACTAGCGGGCCCGATGTATCACAAAACTCAGCCTCAGTCCTTCTCATGGCATCTCCTGTCCGTCTCGTAAGCGCAGAGCCGGCTGATCCGCCAGCATAACAAATTCCTGTTGCATGTATGTAATAAAAAATACAATATATAGACTATCTGTTTTAGTCCGCCTCGCATGTCTTATTATCTGGTTGCGGAACTGGGATTAATGTCACATATAGACATCCCATTTCGTCCGGCATCTTACGTTTATTCGCTAACCTTGAGGGGTGTTGTGCGCAAGTAGGGTTGCTAATAGAGGTATGTCAATATTTAGCAACGTGTTCTAATCAAACAATCGTACCTTGTGGAAGGTGACCTCAGGGAAGAGCACCTTGGCCTCATCATTGGCAACGGAAGGGTGAACAATGACATCATCACCCTTGTTCCAGTTGACTGGCGTGGTTATGCGGTGTCTATCGCCCAGCTGCAAAGCTTGATGGGCTGAGTGAGTGCGTGAAAAACGGTCATGTCATGATGCTCACAGTCTACAACACTGGAAATAGTTATTGATGTCAAGTCGTGACTCCAGAAATCTGACAGACTTACCGGAGAATCTCATCAAAGTTTCGTCCGGTAGAAGCCGGATAAGCAAGGGTCAAGCGAATGACTTTCTTGGGATCAATCACGAATACAGTACGGATCTTCAAGTGGGTTAAATTGCAGTAGAGATTCGACTGATGTTTGAGCGTACCGTAAAGGGAAGACCCTTTGCGTCACGGTTAGTCGCATCTTGTTCATCAAGCATATCATAGAGGGTGGAGATTTTCCTGTCCTCGTCGGCAATCTACACGGCAATATTAAAGACTGTACCGATCAGAATACAGCTATACATGCGATGGGGAACTCCACGTTGGTTGGTCCGTATCTTGCACCGAAGTCGTTGATATCTTCGACCCACTTGCTGTGGTCTCTGAGGCCATTGGCAGAAATTCCAATGAGTTTAACATTGCGCTTAGCAAAGTCACCAGCACGGCGAGCGACCTCGCCGAGCTCAGTAGTGCAGACGGGTGTAAAGTCTCCGGGATGTGAGAAGAGAATTGCCTACATGGCTACTTGTCAACATCCCGAGGTTCATCACCCATGAAATGCGCTCACCCAAGAGCTGCCGATCCATTCGTGGAACTTGATAGGTCCAGCAGTAGTCTCTGCCTCGAAATCGGGGGCAATATTTCCGAGGCGAAGGGAGGGCATTGTATGGTATATGGCTGATAAAGGACTGCGTAGATCAATATTCAAACCCCTTTATAATACGGGAGAGGATGGTCAGTGATTGCGTCTTAATTTCCCACGACTGACAGAAGTGAGCTGAGATGATGAAAGGATGACGGTAATAACATGATAGATTACCCTATGTATCATGTGATGACTGTTTATTCTGATAATCGCCATACACATGACCATAAGAAAAGTCGATGTGTCATTTACAAGGGTCCCATAATGCGAATGTTTTTTTACTAGTAAAAAGCTATGGCGTGTAAAAGACTGTGGGGGTGGCGTTCCTGTTGCACTTGCAGTATCCTATCGATATCTTCGTCCATATCTTGGGAGATTTCGATCTGAGATTTTGGATAAATGAGTACAGAACCGTGATGCGTGGAAAGATGCAGAAGCAAACGTACAGCAGCGGCCAAATCTAGCATCGCCTTTGCAGCAATGAGTGCTTCCTCATGGTTGTCTTTAATCTCAATATTGATGACATGAACGGGCTTATTGAATTCGCCGCCGCGACTGAGCAAGTCTGGGAGAACATATCTGTGAGCTATAAATTTAACAACCGGTGCCAATGGCACCCACCATCACAAACAGCATCAAAGCAACGTTCCTCGCATGTAATAACTACATCTGCAACTGTCTTGCTGTCCTGCCACCGTTCTGGAGCTAGCTTTATCCGCCTATTGCGATCAAGCATCTGGAGAAGTCCATTTGCGGTGTACCTGGAATGTGTTTGTCAGGCTCAGGTCATAAGGCGATATGGCGGACTTACAATCTCGGGTCTTTTGCATTAAGTTCCTCATATATTGAGTTATATGGTGTGCCAAACGAATAAATGTTAGGCTTGTCTATTGATGGTCCAGGCAGGCGCACGGCAGAGCCTGTGCCGTAAGAATTCACTCGGTACCCGGCTTTTCTTCATGTTTTTGGCATCAGATATAATGAATGACGTAAAAAATGTGTTGTGATACGGACTGCAAGGCTTGATGACCTTCCATGGAACGGTTCTGCAAATGTCATGTAAGGCTTCTTCGTGATTGTCGCTAAGAACGCAAACCCACTTGATTACTTGCACACACAACGCAAAAGAGTGGTCTAGGCTTGTATGCAGAGGATTCCACATTGTTTGCAGGAGTCGAGGGGCCAGCAATGGCATTCTCGGAAGCTGTGTCAGCTTGCTGCACGAGAGCATTGGGAACCATGGACTGTGAAGCCATATATGCTCCATTCGCAGTCCATTGTGTCGCGCCTTGTCCTGACCCACTTTGTTGTTGGGGCGAGGGAGCGGACAACGCAGATGGTCCTCGCTGCAAACGCGGGTCCACACGTGCCAAGCGCGGATCGCGAGCTCGACGTGGATCCATGAGTAGTTCTGAACACGATATCGTCAGCCTTAGTATGATGTTAGTTGACTGGCAGTAAAAGCGTCAGCAGTATCTAGAACACTTGCTAGTCTCCAACTCGACCCAGCAACTTTAATGGGTTGTGCGGGTCGATGAAGATTCCACTCTGAATCATCATAGCGTACTAAACATGCGTTATTTGCTCACCTTGCGGGGCTTGGCTAGGTGGAATGGCGACTATGGTCGAGTGTACGAAACAGCAAGTGGTCAGGAAAACAACAACAAACACATCGAAGGCAACTAGACTTACAAGGTAACGCTTTATGGCCGCCGATATTTCGACATATAGATAGTCTGCTTTAGAACCTGAGTAGGCCTGCGGTTATCGGATGTGTATGGATCGTCGCTGGTATCACGATATCGATGTGTCGCCGTGCGTTGCAAATGTATTCGAGCCGGGACGTCGCACTCACTCTCGAACTTGCAGGACACCTCTAATTTCCTTGATGGATTGCGTATCATGTATTCGCGAACCCACAGAGGATGACATGGTTTTGATCCATCAGACAATGATGGCTGACGAGCAGGCAATCCAGGAACTGAACAGCGAAATGACCATACTGTATTCTGTTCTGGAGCGCCTCCGCTTGCAGAAGGACAAGCACCGGGAGAATATACGTCGGGCCCGTTCATTGTTAACCCCCGCCCGCCGCCTACCTCCTGAGCTGCTAGCTCGCATATTTGAAATATGTGCCAAAAGCGGCTGGACGCGTGCACCTGTGGTTGTTTCTCAAGTGTGCTCGGCTTGGAGGAAAGCCGCAGCATTTCCTCGTGTTTGGTCCCATCTCTTCCTTGACCTGAGATCGGGGAACTCGATCGGCAAAGTGGAGTTTTGGTTGAATAAGGTTCAACACGCGCCATTGCATATAACTTTGGATATCCCTCTCGAGTCGCCGTCATTGGAGGAGGTTTTGGGTTTACTCATTCCTCTCTCCAAGCAATGGCACACCCTTATCGTCAAATCTGTAGACTCGACAATAATGAACTACGTCCTTCGCCGCTGCAGTTCTCCGTTACCTGATTTAAGGCAACTCGATGTCATTACTGAAATGGAGGGTTCTCAGGGAGATCCTGTGAATATGTCATCTCTTCAAGACGCTCCGCGCCTATCTCGATTGCTCATTGAACAACCGAATCTTCCACAGTGGAGCAACTTTATGGGGGTCACGAAACTGCACGTTGTGCTCTCTTCTTCAACGTTGTTCATACCCTCCATAAATGCCACCGACTGGATCGAAATGTTGCAGGTCTTGCCAGAGTTAAGGGACCTCACACTGGAGCTCTCTAAACCAGGAACACGGGCATACAACGATTCCCAACGCTCTGTGGATCTTCCTCATCTGGAATCACTGACACTTCACGTCTCTCCCGAAGTGAATGGAATCCTTTTGACAATGCGCGCACCTGCGTTGCGTCAGCTCCACCTGCGCTGCTCATCTGATCCCCTTGCACGGCCCCACATGCCCTCTGGCGCTCACTTATGCCAGTTCCTTCAGTCTTCCCCTTGTGTACAGCTTCTAGAACTCTATGATATTGACGTGGAGCGCGTCGACTTTGTGCGATGTTTCGAGCTCCTTCCTAAACTAGAGGAACTTCGTCTGCACGACAGTGACATTGCTGATGAACAACTGCGGCTACTACACGGGGACAACGGACATTGCCCAAACCTTGCTCTTCTTGACTTCCGCTGGTGCAATTATCTAAGTGGCAGTGCGCTCGTGAACCTTACCCAGAGCCGGCTACCACAAGATGAAAGCGAGGGTGGAATGTCGCCCAGAATGCCACAAATGAGGCGCATTAATGAAGTGGCTGTTATCAACTGCCTACACGTTAAAGAACAGGATGTTCTTGATCTAGCGGAAATGACACTTTGTAGGCTCCTGATGAGATCGGACGAAGATCACTGTTGTGAGCATATACAGTCTCGGTCTCTTGAAAAGGCTACTAACGTGATCATCAGACAGAAGGGGTTGCTGCAACAACGAGAGGTATAGGCAACGACTGCGACTACGCCACAACAATAAGTTGCCGGAAAGAGTCATCCTCTGATCATGGATCAAACTTAAGCTTGATAGTTTGTACAGACTAGAATACTAGAATTCGGACTGCAAATAGACAATGTAACACTAAGTAATACACTTGATCCCCAACTCCAGAAGTGGGGAGGTTCTGTCAGATCTAAACGGCAGTTTTCGTATGCGTGTGAACCGATTTCCTAAGGTTCAGGGCCTAGACCCTACATCGTGCAGTGTTGGAGGCTTGGAGCTACACACCTGGTCCGTTATGAGTGTATCATACTTGCTTACCGGGCTGTATCCCTTCCGAGTGTTGTTCCGAGTGATGTTCTGCAGACTATGGGATGCCACTGACGGCTCTTGTTTCACGTTGGACATTTTTCAAAGAGACCGGGTCACAGCTTGTTCAGGGTACGTCACAGCAACAAAAACAACTGACAATCTGCAGATTATGCACCAGGCAAATGGGGGCAATTACCCTTCCAATGGTATTGGCCTGTTCATTCAATATTGGCCACTCGAGAAGCGTTGGACGCACTCAACAACACATTATGCGGCAAATAGTCACATGATTTCAATAACATTCCACACACCGTTACCTTGAAGGCATACTCGCACAAATCCACTTCCATCTCTGTCATCACGCAACTTCGTAAGAGAAACATATATTACGGAGATCGAAGCTGACTGGGTAGTACGACCCCAAAACAACCGTGTCAAAGGTAGACAGTACGGTTATCGACAATGACACTTGCCACGCTGGGAGCTGTCGACTTATGGGTCCTGCCCCTCTGCTCAGGATGGGTTTGAAAGGGAGAAGGCTGAGATTAGCATATTAATGCAGGAAGAGTACACACGTATATTATACCTGGCCGAAGAAACAGCAGTATCAAACCAGGATAAGCATAGCACCGTCTAGGCACTACATCCAATGCGTTGAACGCGGAACAAAGGTGTGCTGGAACACAGATAAAATCAGATGCCAAGAAGAAAATAACAGTTAAGTTGGACAAAAGTTGGAGATTGGCAGCTCGCCGCTGCTACATATGATACAAGTACTGTTAGTCTCAAACTATGGCAAGCAGTAGTAGCCAGTGTACCATTCGCCTCAAACAAGGACCAGTCTAATATTCCACGCGTTCGAGAACCCCTTCCATTGATGCTGCAAGTAAAAGCAGCGCTGGACTGAGCCTATATAACTTTGTCGTGGTCGATAGAGAAAAAAAGAAGCTCCAGGTTTCTTTATATTGACTTGACACGTGACTCTCGGCAACATGCGGCCAGCGCATGTTCTGAGAGCGCGAACAGGTCGTTGAACGCCAGTTGTGCTCATCTTTCGTCACCCATTACTACTGTCGTTGCACAGCGATTATTTATGGGTTTCGTCGACCGTACCGCAGACTTCAAAGATGTCCTTCAAGCGAAAAGCGCTATCCCGCAGGGCAAACGACGCAAGGCATCTCCCCCATGTGATGTCCCTAATGCGAATGTATTTGGAAAACAATATTTAGAGGAAGCATATACGATTGTATGTCGCATCAATGTGTCTTGCGTCGATGTTATCTTCTAACCTGATTGTACAGCTCAATCATATTAGCACTCTCACGCGTATGCTTTCTAGCATACGGAAGCCTTACCTGAGTGTAGACGCACACGTTGTACCACTCTCGCGACATAGTTCCCATGCCATCGATTTGAGCGACCCTACAAAATCATGGTCGGGAATACGCCACCTTACAGATGAGGAGCGGGACCAGGTTGACCTGCAGGCACGTGTCGTTCTCAGTAGGTGCGCAGACAGAGTCAAGGAAATGGAGACACTCGAAAAGCGTGCGGTCTGTTTCTCGCCGTTGTTCCTGAAACGACTACTGAAAATCAATCGTTATATACAGGTCGTGCTGAGCTCGCCGCAAGTAACGTGAATCCCTTGGCACGCTTCCTGCCCGCCCGTCTGAAGAGCAACAATTCAACAATACTTTCGGATTTCACGGCGGCGCATCACTCCGGTATAACATGGTATCTCAGCAGGCGCCTCGCGGAAGCCAGCCAGAATCAAAAAGAAATGCAGGAGGAACGTGTTAAGCGTCAACTTGAACGCACGCGAACTCTAGGATCCAGTGCAGCGCAAGAGGCAATGAATATCGTCTCTAAGGGACCTGCGCAACATCAACAGCGCGTTGGCGGAGGGGGCGACAGCTGGTTGGGAGGTGCTTCATCAGCACTCGTCTCAGGGATTGCCGCTACCATCGGGAGCAGCCGTCCTGCTGCTCAACCGAGAACGGTCACTCCCACTTCATCATTAGGTGACCTGGACGGTGACGACGATGATATTGAGCTTTCGCAGTCTCAGATACTTCAATTCGAGACGGAGAACGCAAATATTCTCCGATCCGTCCAGGACACGCTCGAGTCCGTACAACAAGCCGAAGCACGATTGATGGATATCAGTAACCTCCAAATGGAACTGATGACACATCTCACACAGCAAACGGAGCTGACTGACCAACTATACGAGGACGCGATTGCGACGACATCTACCGTAGAGAAGGGTAACGTGCAGCTAAGAGAGGCACGTAGACGTGCCAAGGACAGTCGAATATTTATACTCGTTTTCCTGATTGGAGCCAGCTTCTCCTTGCTTTTCCTCCACTTTTACTAGTGACTTATTATTCGTGCATGCATGACTTTCTATAGTTATAGATGTGTAGCGATCATAAAGCTAGCTTAGTTCGATGTTCCGTAATTGATTGCATTCTACTGCAGTAAGCTCACCACGGAAGTGGGTGTCATACTTTACGGGGAACTCAAAGAATTAGATCCCAACAAAGGCGCTTCCTCTGTTGCCTCGAGTGCCTCTGCAGCGAGTTCGTCACTCTCTGACGGGCTGTCATGTAGACGCTTGATCTCCTTCTGCATGAGATGATAGACCAACCTGTATAGGGTAAGTAGAACTCTGTTATTAATAGCGGTAACCTGGACACGAACGAGCTGGCTAAAACAGATATCGCGACACCGCCAACAACTAGAAGGCTGTTGACAATTTTTGTTTCTGTGCGCCATGAATCAATGAAATTGGAATGCCATGGTATGTATTCTTACGGGTATCCATATGATTTCTTTGTTCGCCGTCTGAGAGTCTAGCAATACGAGATCCGACGAACACATAAACCATAACCTTTGGGAGGATAAACAAAGTCGCTATGAAGAACTGGAACAATGACACCGGCGCTATGCTCTAATATGGAGGAGTTAAATCCAAACCGGTAAACAACTCGAAAAGCTTACTGCGAATAGCGAGTTTGACCAAGCCCACGGCGGAAATGAGGAGACACGGATGAGAATGATCAGGGGGATGCCTCTTGATCGCTGTAGGCGTCTTCTACTGAGCAAGTATGCCAAGGCTAATGAAACACACTAACTATCACAACTTCCAGAGCCTGCCATTTCTCATTAGTGGAAGTCCACAAACGCAGCCTCTTGCTGAACATGATCCGAAGGGTGACAAACACTATAGCAGAGCCTGCCAGTGATGCAAATGCTGCAGGGAAGAAGCCTGGCAAACCGTATGTGAAACCGAACAAGTTAAGGAGCGTGGTATGTCCAATGAAAGGGGGGAAGGATACAGCGACTGAGAGGAATTAGTATGTTCGAATTCATCGGATATTCAATGAAAGTGTACAAAACACGCTTACTCATGAGAACGATAAGAATCGCGTACCCATATGGAAGATGTCGGATGTCTTGAGCGAAGTCGTACGTGAATTGAGCAATGCGAGCCGGAGTGACCACCAAGATAAATACGGTTGAGCAAAAATAGAAGAATAGAATGAACCATATCAAAGCCTGCAGCAACATCGTGAGTTGACAAGAGGACCAACACTGTCTGACGTCACCTTTCCAACTAGACTGAGTTTTTGATATCTCGAGCTAGCTGATTGTATGAGAACCTTGACAAAATGAGCCACTTTGGAGAGTGCGACCAACATATTTGAGCGACAGAAGGCTTTGGTGACAAGTTGCAAGGGTTTGGGTCAGGATGGGAACAGCCTAGGGGATCAAGCGATTAAGTACCCGAGGATCATAGTGCCAAATATGGTAAAGCCTCGGGCCACGCATGTTTATAGCGGCGCAGAGCTGGTACTTACTATAGTCACCAACGTCCACACGGTACACCACCAGAATTGCCAGTGGTAGAATAGCAGAAATAGCTGGATGGAGAAATTCTCTTCCTTCCGGGTAATCAATTCAACTATTCGGGCTTGCTTTGTGCTAATATTTTGTTTCATAGGATCCTGGAACTGGTATTCAGGCTAGTACTTGCACAAGCAAAACCTATTTACAGTGGCTCACTTTCGTACTCAGCCTTTCCTTGCGCCAGTTCCATCACAGGAACGTGACCTCTTCGTCACTATTCTGACGCCCATCAGAGCGGTCGTTGCTGTAATACGAACTGCTGTGATTATCGTGCTTATTTCAATCCATTTTTTATTAGTTCATGTGATCGGCTTTATTTGTGTGAGTGGATGCAAAATTCACAGTTACAATTTCGCTCAAGGAAACAGCGTCCTGTTCCGCCATTACAAGATGTAATCTCATGGCTAGGTACCGCCCTGCTTGCGCGCTTGGCACTCTACGTGATAGGGTTTTGGTCGGTGCCAACGGAGCTTATTGTTCGAAAAAGAGGGTCAGCTTTATGTTGGATCGATTTTTGAGATAGATGCTTACAAAAAAATTTCAGAAAAATTCCTGAGAACAAGTGGAATCCAAGAGGAGGTGACCTTATAGTGTCAAACTGGTCTTCTTGGATAGAAGTCCTTTGGCTAGCGTACAAGTAAGATCCTCTATTGTGTTTACAATCTTTCTGACGAGTCATGCAAGATACAACCCATTGTTTGTGTTACCTGTTGCAAATGCACCTGCAGCGTCTTCCGCCGGAGATGCATCGTCAATATCGTACACTCCAGGACGAAAGACAGGGACCGGATCCGCAGCTATATCTTCTTTTAACCGCGTGTTGAGCTCACCGGAAGTCATTCGCGGTTTTCGTCAGGTGTCTTTATTGGAAATAATATCTTCAACTGGCAATATACCATCGGCGCCTTCCTCTGTGCCTCTGCGTAGTCTTGATGATATTCGCCGTTCAGCGCGTAGTCCCGTTGTAGTATTTCCTGAATGCACAACCAGTAACGGCAGGGGCCTGCTTCGATTCGCTGATGTCTTTAATGGCGCAAGCGTTCCTCCAAAGGGCTACAACATTTTCTTGATGTGTGTCAGGTAACTCACATTCCAACACTCATGTTATTATATCTAACCAGTTCTAGATACGACCCCCCGACACCGTCGCAACCCTCTTTGTCGCACTCGGTCCCAGGTGCTACACTCAACCCCCTGCGACATCTGTTGCAAATCTGCACCAGTCTTTCTCCACAATCTATCTCAATCCGCCAACTTCCGCTCTCAGAATCACCTAGTTCTCAGCTCTTCATTGTCAATGAGGTGGTTCCTGAGCCACGTTCTGACGTACTTGCCGAAGTCTGCGCTGTGCTTATAGCGAGAATGGGCAAGATGAAAAGGGTCGGTTTTGGATGGGAAGACAAATACGCCTTTTTGGACTTCTATCGTGGAAGGCGATGAGGAAAACTCAGCGGACATCCTTACGAGGTCGCGGAGAACTGCAATACTAACTTACCCATGACTGTAGTCAAATGAATCCTCTCGATTGTACATCCCTTGCAAATCATTCGGTCTTTGGTTTATAGACTAAGAATTACTACACGGGTGGACCTAAATGACAACCATTGAGTAGAGAGCCGGAGTCGCCTGGATAATACGAGGTTTCAAAAATGTAAATAACTTAAGAACTGAATCAACGAGGAAGAAGGAAATTCCTAGATATCTGTCATGAGGTCATAACTTTGGGACCCATCCCAAATCCCAGAATCCCGCATGAACGATTTCCATCGTTCATCCATACCGGACTCTCCCGAAAGGAAAAGGTCGGCAAGAGCATCGTCAGCTCTGATGCTGGTCGGATCAAACAAATTGGATTGTGGGAGGAGGTTTTGAAAAGATGAGACCGACTTGGAAGTCTGGGGGATGGTGGAGGGATATATCGCGGGCGCGGGGTCTGGTGTCACGAATCCGAGTGGACGAGATAGAGAAAATGCACCCCACTGACTTTGGAAGGTTGCAGATGCATCTTCTGTGCCTAGTGTGGGATCTGGCATCGATGGGGGAGGAAGCATTTTCAGAAACTCCACAAGCATGGGATGGACCTCAGGGATGGAATCTGAAGAATTGCCGTCGTCAGATGCCGAGGGGGTACTTGCAGTGGATTGCGATTGTAATGAATCCACAGCTGATAGAGGAATAGACGATGATACTTTCTTGCGGTTCTGCCGCGAAAGAATCTTGGTGACAAGGACACGAGTCTGTCCACCAAACATGGTAAGTTCGTCATCACCGCCCACCTCCAGGAGGGGGGAGGATAGACTGCCCTGGTTGTTGAATGTCGCTCCACTGCGATATTTTTCAAGCGCTTGATAGGCTTTTAGCTTGAGTTTATCTAAGATAGCCTGATAAATCGCATAAATAAGATACATCAAGACAGCCAATTTAGAATTATATGCACCAAACCATGACGAGCGCGACTTGATGTCTCTGATCCCCGTAAAAACATTTCCGTTGCAAGGTTTAACTCCTGCCATGCAGCAGGCGCCATAGTCGTCGATGGTGCTCGAGTAACAATGGATCCAACAATTACCTGCGCCTGCTTGAGTATCACGTCATGTATTAAGTCAACTACGCACAGCTGCAGACAACAGATGACTCCAGATAGGCCACCAACGCATGAAGAGGTCCGGGAACACTTGGAAGTTAAGGACAGTAGTCTTTATCATTGCCGACGCACAACGATATGCAGCGAGGAATGACGGAGCGTAGGGACTGCGGAGAGGATTTGTGGGGAAATCGAGCAAAGCTTGTGCAAAAAAACTACGATGGATGAACAACATCGCTGTGAAGACGTCAGGTAGGGCCGAAGGTCACTGCATCCAGGGGGCTCACTCGTTGTTCTAAACTGGAAAAGCATGCGGCCACGAATATAAGCTGATGGAGTGGTGTAATCGTCTCGGACACTAGAACGATAAAGGTTTAAAGGCGGAGGGTAACACTTGCTCGCGAACTTTTCTGTCAAGTTCTAAGATAGTATCGTAACTTGGAAGTTCTGCGCTCAGCGTTAATTCTATGATCTGTGAGATTACGTCTCTTGCGAATGTATACTTCCATCGCCAAACTGCCAGAAGTAGAATGATTCAGCGAAATAGGAAGGGCAATGGTCAGAACTCACACCCAATCTCGACCTCTCCTTGGTCGTTCATGGTTGTCGTCTCGTCTTCAGGAAACTCACAGTCAACATACGATAACCTGTTCGACGGAGGACGACCCAGAGCGAGACTCTAACCAAATCGTCAAAACCATGTAAAAGTGCAAGAAATATCACCAACATGAAAGAGATCCGCAGAAAAGATTTCCCAAAATAGAGTACGTCGACGCTGAACAGCCTTCGGGCTCATATTAAATCGAGAAGGGTCCCGGTCTGCGTAAAGAATGAAGGCTGATGAAAATGAGGTCATAGACAAAGACTCACGAAGACCCATCTGAAAAAAAGACACGGTCAATAACATGCCCAAGAAGATTAAATCATAAACATACGCTCTGAGCTAACTTGCTGGCAAGCGAAATGATAGACCACGCGCTGCTTAACGCGTATTGCTTGCCTCTGTTGCTGTAATAGTATCCCATCAGAGCCAGAGCTTGGACAGTGTGAATAGCTGGTGATTCGAAGACAGAACGGAGTGATAATGCCACACGGCCAAGATGGAAGTAGTCCTCTGCTTCCTGATTACATGATGGCAACGTCAAGTCCATGAGAGCGCCCTGGGCAAAGACCATATAGAGCACGGCAATAGTGTGTTCAGGGCATTCTGCCTCAGATTCAGATGTGTTACTTCGTCTCTTCTGAGCAAGAGCGTAAACAGGTGACAGAATATCATCAATAAGCTCTTCTCGTTTGATTGGTCGAAATATCCAGGCAGCGTGCTCCATATATGTCTCGCAGAGTGCACTAGCCCGCGGGTACGGTGGTAAAAGGCTTAACAATGATCCCAGGATACTTTGACATTGATCATGGTCAGGAATACCAGTCAAACTGAAGGGGAGATTTGACTCCAATCGAGATACGTCCGCAGACATGCTTGGAAGCTCGTCTGGTTGTGAGAATGAAGTACCATCTAGTTCAGCGCCAGCCTGCCGGGATGAGATAAAATTAACTGTCTCTAGCTTTTTTTTGAGCCAACATACCATGAATAAAGTCTGTTGGGTTCAAGTTACTGTGACTAAGCATTCACGAGAGGAAGCGGAAGAATGTCATTACCTCTGAACCTGCAGAAAGCCCAAAGTAATTCGACTCTCCTCCATCGCTGATCGTCAAAGTACCGGATGAATTTATGGGAACATTACTGCCTTTATCTGAAGCATCATTGCTAGACTTCAGAGCTTCTGGTCCAAATTTTATGGAAAGTAGATCTTCTATGAGAAGTGGATGGACCTCCTCAGACACACCGGCTTGAAAAATGGATAGTGCGTCCTCTAGTTGTCGAATTCGCTGGCCCATCTCCACAATCGTGCGATGTAGGTGTTCTGTATCTGCAAGGACGAAACTAATAATGACTCAACACGATCGAATGTACAAGAAGAAAATGGTATATACCGAGTACCCTGCCCAGTAGAAAGACTACCTGTAGGTGTCATAATGATATCAGGGGCTGATTGATTGCATGATAACTGGACACGACCATTTGGACAGATGGTTGGGCAGCCTCGACGAACGCAAGATCCACATGGCACTTTCTTATCGCATTTCAGTTTCAATCTTCGAGTGATACGTCAGGAAAGTTCTATATTTGAAAGACGAGAAAACCTTCTGCACTCTGCGCACGAGATTTCACCACGAGCGCGCTTGAGTTCTGTTTCCTCCTCATTCGCTACTTTGCGAGACGTGCGACGGGAGGCATTTAGAAAATTCTTCGATGTGTCCGCCGGCATAGATATGATTCCAAAGTTGGGGGTCCTTTGTCACCGAAGAATGGTGAAAGGAAACAACTTTAAGATTTGATAGAGCAAAGGGGCCGAGGTTGAGCCGATGCAAGTCTGTGGGTACATAGCCATCACATTTTCCGTCACGTGCATGCACGGATGAGAAATCAAAAGTCACGTGACCAACGCGCGTCCGAGAAGTTCGAGTTCGAGTTCGAGTTCGAGCGACTTTTAGCAACAATCGACATCGCAGGAGACATTACGATTGCTCGCCCATATATTTGTAGCCTTCTATTCACTCATATTACTATAGACATGCGCTGGCTTGCAACCGTCTTCACAATCCAGGTCCTTGCTTCGCTGGTCGAAGCAGCCATCATGAATATTACAGACACGCGGAGCATCAGAAACAACCGATACGCTAAAGCACACTACCTACCTGAATCACACTCCTTCGACCCAAGAGACGGATGGGAACCTGTCAATATCTCCAATCTGAACTACAAGTATCTCGCGTCAAGTCACAAGGATCACTCCTTCCATAGAGCACTGCGCAGGTCGTCCCAAAACAACACATCTGCCGGCATCAGAACATCAAAATATAGAGAAAAGCAAGCAAAAACCTCAAACACAACCACAACCACTGGATTTTTAGGAACCGTGGTCTCAAGCCTTGCTTCCATCTTTGCGGGATGTATGGGCAAGGGACCTTCGGAGGGCGTCACCATAACTTGGTATGTGATCTCGTCTGCAGTTGATATGATGCGGTCAACTATGTTTGTCAGGTATACTGGCCATGACCTAGAGAATCCCAGTTGTTGGAGTAATGGAGGATGGGCACCAACAGTAAGCATGCATGTGCATGCAGCCGTGATCGAGTCTGAGAATAACTCTCAACAGGACAAGTCTTTCGTGGGCGCCGTGACCTTGGATGGTTGGACGACGAAGCCTCAATGCTTCAAGTTCATCGAACGTGAGTTGCAAACTTGTTCTGGGTTTGATGCCTCGGTATATTCGATCATCGTTTTAGTCTGCAACGGCAAGACGTGTATATTTATCCGTGTCGTGGACACTTGTGCTGGGTGCGCCAAAGGATCTCGTCACGTCGACCTCACCAAGGCGGCATTCAGCGAACTGGCAAGTCTGGATGAAGGCGTACTGACCGTGCAGATGCGACAAGCAACAGATCCCGATAACTGGTAAGTAAAATGCATCCAAAGGGACTGCACAACTGAACAGCAATGACAGGGACAATGACTTGTGGGGGCCACAGACCGTCAAACCCTGATCCGCTCAGCGCTGCGCAGAAAATTGTTTGTCTGACATTTGTACCGGTAGATACTTATGAGTACGACATTAGAACTATTCCTACCAATCAAACTTTGATGGAAACCCTTTTTCTCTTTTTGCCTTCTGCGATCTTCGCGCGAACTTTCTCTTCGTCGAAGTCTTCCTCTTCAAAGAACTGGGCAGTCCTCTCTGCTTCTGTTCTTCGGCGAAGATGTTGTAACGCAACCAGATTATATCCAATAGCATCTTTCTCGCGGCGCAATGACTTGCGTAGGTGGACACGTAATGGAATCAGCGCAGTGCGCATGACACGATTAGCTACAATTTGGTGGTGATGAATCTTCAAGAGGAAGAATAATATGCGAGAGACGAGGGAAATATTCCACCCCTTCGTAATGCGTCAAAAGTTGTATCCAGGAAGAAATCCAAAGGGAGGCTTACTTTCTGTGCCCATAGGTCCAAGTAACGCATCAGCGAAATTACCTTGTCAAATGGTAGCACCAGCAGGGCGTCATGCAAAGCAGCACTAGATATTTTCTCGACAACTTGTAGGACGTATGCCTCAGGTTCCAAGTCATATGCTGCGAGAATGGGATTTCGAGGCGGTGGCTGCATCCCTGCGGCCTCTAGTGAACCCGCTTGGGCAACCTTTCCTTCATACTCCTGGAAAGCAGTCCGCTCGGCATCAGCGAGATCCAACGCCTCCATGATACGTTCGCCCGCCATGAGTGTCTCCGAGGTTTGCTTGGTGACCGCAGCTGCTTCCCCAGAGGGTTGCGCATCAGCTTCGTTGTTGTTGACGACGGATATGTCAGGACGGTTAAGTGTGTTTGCAATCCCGTCTTCATAGATTTGTTCAAGCTCCCGCTCCCGCTCTTCCTCGAGAAAAAGCTAGACTCACGGTCACGCATGCTGACAAATAGATCACTGCAATACAGCTCACTGGTTCGTCGAGTTTCTCCCAAACTCTGATGGACTTGTCGTGCGAGCCCGTCACTACAAATTTGGCATGGTTGCTCACAGCCAATGCCCAAATCTCGCTGTGATGACCATCAAGTTTCTGAATGTTCTCGAACTACACGAGACTTAAAAATGATTCTCTCAGTGGGAAAGGAGGGGTCTCACCTTGTCTCCATCCCAGTACTTGAGCATCTTATCCTTGCCAACAGTCCAGAAGTAATGTGACTTTCGTTCAAAGAGCACCTGCATGACACTCTCCTCGTGAGCAAATATTGACTTGTGGCAGTCACCAAAGTCGAGGCCCCAGATCTTCACGTTTTTGTCCGCGGAGCACGTGACGATGAGCTTGGAATCATCTGAAATGTCCATTGCTAAGACAGGCAGCTGAAAGGCGTTGAGACTTCATGTTCACAGGGGATTCTGGGATTTACCTTGTGACCGTATAGAGAAAGGAAGAACTTTAGGGTGTCTTGATAGAAAATCTTGACCGTGGAGTCCAGTAGGGCCGCTGCCAGTAGCTTCCCATTCGGGCTGTATCTGACAAACAGGACTTCATCTGACATCTTCAACGTTCGTGTGTGATTTAACGTCATTGACTTTTTGGCCTGCATATGATTACAGAGTGCATATTCAAATAACGAAAAACCAACCTCGTCATTATAAGAAACGTTACGCTCGAACTCCCAAAATTTGACTTCTTTATCAGCACTGCCGCTGACCAAAACTTGCTCGTCTGGGCGAACTTGCAGCGACCAAACAGTGGAGCTATGAGCTTTCACAGTCTCCGTGAGTGTCGAAGATGCCAAATCATATATTAGAATCTCCCCTGACTTCGTTCCAATAGCGATCTGGAAGAAACCTGATAAGCGTGACATTTTCGAATAAAAGAAAACCTACATGTCTGTCTCCAGGAAGGAATGTGCTGCAAATAGCGTAGCCGCAGTCTATTGTGCGTATGCACGCTGTTGTTTTCAGGTTCCACAGTTTCAAGGAACCTTCCACACACATATCAGTGAAGTGCTGGAATCACTGACGTGAACGTACCATTAGATGCTGACGCAAGTGTCTGGTCATCTGCGCTCAAACACAAAGTCCTCACATCTGTGCGATGCCCGGGAAGATCGACCGAAAACATCCGAGTGGCTTCAGGTGTCTCTTCCTTGGACTTTGTAGGGGGTGGGATATTGTACACTTCAAGGGCGTTTGATGACAATGCCACAAAGAGCTGCGACGTGACAAGTCAGAGTCGTACAGTGTTTGAGTAAGTTGATACGAACCTGAACACCAGGTTTCGATACAGTTTCCTTGGAGCCAAAATCGAAGGATCGAACTTTTGCGCTTGCTCGAACCACAAGGTAAGGAGTGAAAAGATCAATCACGTTTGTCTCCTGGTCAACATCCATAGCATCCTCCGCGGCGTCCTCCGCGGCGTCGTCGATATCTTTCCCTTTCTTTTTACTTTTCCCCTTCTCTTTTGCACGCTTTTTCCGTCTAGCTTGCTTCTTTCTGATTTCCTCCTCAGTTCGGATACGAAAGACTTCAATGGATCGGTCGTGTGACTGAACAGCAAGGTATGGTTGTGATGGGTGGAATAAAATCTGGGATACGCGGTGACGTGATGAGAGCGGGAGACTGGTGACAGGATGGATCATCTTTGCGACCTACACACAAAATGAAGTTCTGAATTAATGATTGCAAAATCGTTACTTGCCTCGCCTGCCTCATTTTCTACTAAACCTTGCGACAATGACTCGTGGTCGATTTTCCATGCTTTAACTTCGCCCTCACTGCTTCCGGTGAAGATGAAGTTCTTCTCTGGATCGATATCCAGGGAAGAAACCTCGGAGCGGTGAGCAACGATTGTCTGAACACAATGTTGAGTAGAAGTGTCCCATAACTTCATGAACGTGTCTTTTGACGTCGTGAGTAGCATATGAGAGCGTGAACCAGTCGAGGTGGAAGGAAGTTCAGGCTCGGAAAGGAATCGTATGGTTGTAATTTGATTGCGATGGCCTCGTAGACTTGTAGAAGAGTAAGAGAAAACTCGTACAACGCTTAATATCACGTACCGATAGAGACCAGCTTCGGCTACAACATCCCATACGATGATATCTGTATCTTGCGAGCCAGAAGCAAGGCGGGCTCCTTGTGCATCAAATGCGAGAGCAGTGACGGATTTTTGGTGTCCGTTAAATGTTGCAATGACGGAGATAAATGCACTATTCCAAAGGCGCACTGAACCGTCAGCGTAACCCACCGCAAAAATGTTTTCTTGAGGAGAACGGCACATGCAGGTAACCTCAGATCTGTGTCCTGTTTCGTGCCACATCGAGAGCTGGCTGCACATGAGCAGGCAGTAAAACTTGAAATACTATCCGCGTACCATTTGCCCTTTCTTCATATCCCATACAAGCACGTCCTCGAGTGCTGGGACATATGCTAGTTTGCCATCATATAGTGAGTTGGAGGTTGAACTGCATATCAGCCCGAAAGCCTATCTAACTGTGAGCGCGAGTGCAACAGACAGAGACATGACTACGTGCCTGGGTTGGCCCATGCCGCAGATAGCTTTGCACCATCGCGTATGCTTCACGATGCGTTACGGTTACACATATCCGAGTGGAACCAAGGCAAGGAAAATGTGATAACCTAAATTTGGCAATTTATTCTCACATATATGAAGCTCGATCTGCTTCCCACACTTTTCGTCTATAAAGGGCTATCTAGGGGAGACCACCTCAATCCCACCTTGTGCGCAGCTTGAAGACATCTTGGACGATCCGAGTATCGAAAATTTCGAAAGGAAATCTAGTCTCAGATCCAAACTCTTTTTAAATCCAAAGAATGATGCTACAAGTTTCTCAGTCGAGCTCTGAGGCAGCCAAACGCTTCATCGGCTTTGTGAACGCATCGCCAACTCCTTTTCATGCCGTACATAATGCGTCTATACGACTGGAAGCATCTGGATTCAAGAAGGTGAGTCGGACCACAGACAACGAAATAGTGTCTCGACACAACAGCGTAGATCAGGGAAGCAGACGATTGGGAGAAGACTCTGCAACCCCAAGGGAAATACTACTTTACCCGGTCAGTCTAGTCATTAGCTACTCTACGGTTTCTGAGTTGTATTACAGCAATCAGAGCTCCCTAGTTGCTTTTACCATTCCACCGAACTGGAAGCCGGGCGCGGGGTTATCTATTGTGGCTACACACGTTGATAGCCCGAATTTGAGGGTGATTTAGTCACCACACTACTTCATCTATAAATATCTAAAGTTCGCACAGGTGCGCCCGATATCCAAGCGGGAGAAGATTGGGTACCTCCAGGTCGGAGTAGAAACTTATGGTGGAGGTATCTGGCACTCTTGGCTCGATCGGGACCTCTCGTTAGCCGGGAGAGTCGTGGTCACGCAACAAGATGGGACCTTTCAATCAAAGCTCATCAAGGTTGACCGACCTCTCCTGCGTATTCCTACCCTCGCCATCCACTGTCCGTACCTTTCGTGAGTATGTTTGGAGTAGGAACGCTAATTTATGGCCAGTGGACAGAAACACTAACGACAATTTGAAGTTCAACCAAGAGACAGAATTTGTACCCATTCTAGGGCTTGTCGCGGAAACCTTGAACAAGACATCCAAAGATGACAGGGTATCAAACGCAACGGCTGCTAGCATCCAGGGAAATCATCACCCAGCCCTACTCTCTGTCATTGCCAACGAACTGTCAGTTTCTTCTGAGGAGATCCATGATTTTGAATTGTGCGTTCCAGAGCTCCCTAGAACTGGTTGATTCCTGATGTTTCCGCAGGCATTTATATGATACCCAACCTTCCGTCTTGGGGGGCGTTAACAATGAGTTTATGTTTAGTCCTCGAATGGACAACCAAGTTTGCTCGTGTGTTGCTGAATTTTCTTACCCGTGACGTATCTAATGGCAAATAATTGTAGCTTCTGCGCTGTGGATGCCATCTCCACCTATGCCTCGTCTTCCAATTTCAATCTTCTCGAGGGCAACGTCAATTGCATCGCCCTCTTCAATCATGAGGAAATTGGCAGCGTCTCCACATCTGGGGCAGAATCTTCCTTGATCCCCTCGCTCCTGCAACGCCTATCTCCCACTCCTGCGCTTCACTCACAGTCCATTGCACGGTCGTTCCTCGTATCGGCGGATATGGGACATGCCGTTCACCCAAATTATACCTCAAAGCACGAGGATAACCATCAGCCGACTATGAACGGAGGTATTGTCATCAAGACTAATGCGAAACAGAAATACGCCAGCGACGCGATCGGGTCCTTTATTGTGAAGAAACTTGTCGAGCGCAAAGGAGGCAAGGTTCAAGAGTTCGAGGTTCGAAATGACATGTGAGAATTCACTTATCTTTAGAAGCTTCTCTTGACCATCAACATCCAGGGCGTGCGGTTCGACGGTCGGACCGATGTTATCGAAGCTTGGCTTGCGCACAGTAGATGTCGGTAATGCCATGTTGTCGATGCACTCCATTCGTGAGACTGCAGGCTCTCATGACGTCCAAAACGCGATCGACCTGTTTACCTCATTGTTTGAAGGGTTCGCTGAGCTGGATAAGACTCTCACTGTTGATTAGTTTACATATTTGCAATGAGCTGCACTATATACGCTATCATACGTCGCTCGTGTGGTTGGGGATTCTCACATACATTGAAAGGAAACTGAAAGACACAAATGTACATGCTAGCGCTTTTGTCGTTTGCTCGGTGTCCGGTCTGAATCTGCCGTTGAATGTGTTGCAGGTCCCGATAGCAGACTGCGCTTCTTCGCCGTTCTCGCGTAATGTGCCAGTACCCACTCTCTTTCTGCCTCTGTCTGTTCTATAGTGCCCTGCCGTATTTCATACGCTAAAGATTCAAGCACTGAGTTGGCTACCAATAAAGCCAATGGGATGCCGCTCACGTTTCATCTCAAAGCGCGGCCCAACTTCCGCCAGTTGGACATCCCGAACTACTTTTACAAAAACATGATGCCTGCACAAATTAGTATCCGCTGCATTTCTTCCAAACACACTCACCGGAAGGAAATGAAGTCTCCGTCATTAGAGAACGTCATCACACGCTTGCTGTCTTCTTTCGGTACAGGAAACAGGAATTTTAGCACGTCTCGCACCCGGCAACCGAGCTTGGACGTGAACTCTTCGAAGATGAGGTGTGGGTACTGCTCTGAGACGGTGGAGGACTTGTATGAGCCTATGTCGTGCCGTAGGGCAACGTTGTGCAGGGTAAAGTAGACGGTAGGTCCATGGGGGAAGTGCGAGACAATCATAGCATCTATACAATGCTTAAATCAGCGCGCACATGGATGACTCTGGTTTAGCGTACCAGGAACACCACGATGTTCGTGGAGAACGATGAGATCAGTAACGTCGTTAGCACGACAAGCATCCGCCAGCTCTTTTATAACGTAGTTTCCTCGGTTGATTCGATGCGAGTTGGGAAAGACGAGCCGCATTTCCTATGCAAAGTTTCGATAGGAATGGGCGACGAATATTTGCACGACATACTTTGGCGAACTGCAATAACTTGGAACTTGGATCTCTTGATGTTGTTACAATAATTTTTGGGTCTTGAATACCAGCCCGCGAGTATTCGCTATCGATGTGCGTTGACGGCTCTGATCAAAAGACTTGGTAGATACACTAATCTAGCACCGTAGATATTGCAACTCACCTTCTTGTGCCTCATCAAACGCCAAGTCTTTTCCTAGTGTCTTTGCGTCATTCTTGAGCTCGGTGGGTATTTGTTTTCCTGATGCAAGTGCATCCTTGAGCTGCCGTTTGCGCTCATACGTTTGACGTTCTTGAGCCTCGAGGGATTTGGCGTAAATATATTGTCGCCGCTCGCGTGTTTGTCGCCGAATCTATGATCCTTGTTAACGCGAGAGCTGGAGAAAGGGAATTGGATGCATTACCATCTTCCCGTCGACAAGCAAAGGGCTTACGGACAACCTATAGTCTACAGAGGACGTCTACAAACTGAAAATCACCAATCACGTGATTCCTCCTGAAAACACTCGTCTCGACAGATCATCGACGAATGAAAATCCGATATATAAAAATATGTGAACTGTGAGCTACGGGGAATGGTACAGACTAAGTAGGGGTTACAAGCACAGACAGCCATATGGTGGCTGTAGAATAGGATATTAGGTACGTGATTGAATGGGGCATGAGTCTATATTATTCATTGATATCGCGGCACGAGCGATGACGAAAGGGAATGGAAGCTCAGAAATCCTCGTCAACAGAACTAGATTGTTAAATGAGACATGTGTTCTAGAGTAACATAGGGGAAAACTTACAACATCCTTGAAGACGTCGGAGTATCCGATTGTCTGACATGTGCCTTCGCATAGTCAGACACGCGCCTCTCGAAGAAATTTGTCTTTCCCTGCATGGAAATCATCTCCATAAAATCAAAGGGATTGGTGGAGTTGTAGAACTTGTCGTTCCCCAACGATACTAGAAGACGGTCGGCGACAAACTCAATATACTGACACATTAAGGTTGCGTTCAGGCCAATGAGGTCGACTGGAAGAGCATCTGTGGTGCACAGTCAATACGAGCCTAAGATAACAACAGAACACGTGCCTACTAAGAACTCTTGTTCAATATGGACACTTTCTGTGATGATTTTTTGTATAACATCCAGTTGAGGTCTTCGCTTGAGATGGGTAAATAAAAGACAAGCGAAGTCGGTGTGCATTCCCTCGTCACGACTGATGAGTTCATTGGAGAAAGTGAGCCCCGGCATTAATCCACGCTTTTTGAGCCAAAATATTGATGCAAACGAGCCGGAAAAGAAGATACCCTCAACCGCAGCAAAGGCAACTAGCCGAGTAGCGAATGTCGCCTCCTTGTCAGATATCCATCGTAATGCCCAGTCTGCCTTTCGCTTGACGGCCGGTATGGTCTCTATGGCATCAAAAAGATACTGGCGCTCATTGACATCCTTGATGAGTGTGTCGATAAGGAGCGAATAGGTCTCAGCATGGACATTTTCGATCATGATTTGGAAACCATAAAAGCATCGAGCTTCTGGGACTTGGACTTCGTTGGAAAAACGCTCGACCAGATTCTCGTTAACTATGCCATCGGATGCAGCAAAAAAAGCTAAAATATGTGAGATGAAGTGGCGTTCATTTGCAGTTAGTCGGGTATTCCAGTGCACAATGTCTGTTGAGAGATCCATTTCTTCGGCAGTCCAAAAGATGCCTCCGCTTTCTTGTACATGTTCCAGATCTATACGCCGTCGGTCAAGTCCATTGTCGTAAGTAGAAAATAGGCTCACTTCATGATACTGTATGGGAAAAAGGACAAAGCGCCGTTGAGAAGGCATAAGGAGTGGTTCACATTCTATGTGTGCTCTGGTGAGACTGGTGGACATGCAGAGCCAAAAAAGCGTACCCCCTTCAGAAACACCACTTTCGTATGATGTACTCGAGCTGTTCATACCATTACATTCTTCAGAGTAGAGGAATGGGTCGCTGAGAGAAAGTTTCTGCCGTGACTCGGATGGCTCCTATCATGGGATAACCCCTAAGTAAGGTTTGGCTGTGGGCAACAATAAGGTCCACAAACCTCGATTGAAAGTTCCTGGACAGATGTGACAAAGAAACAATCCAGTGCTTGTGTTTCAGACATGGAGATAAAGGTTACACCTACTGGCACTAGTCTGAACGATCCGAATGATCCTTTAAAGGGTCACGTAATCATGTGACTGATTTTTTTTAGGTCACCACCCCGATTATCCACGCGTTCACTCGCGGGACCAGTGATTGCTCACTGACCTGATATTTTAAAAGTCTGTATCAGTGTGGACCACAGTACTAGGGACGATGTGAAACAACGTGAAGACATGAGAAGTGGTCCAAGTTGATTGGATTGACTAATAATGGAATTGATGAAACACGCGTGTCTTACCACGTCCACAAAAACTAACAACGCGTCGCGTAATGTTGAGTGGAACAAATAACCACAACCACAGTTCGAACGTTTAAATTGAACCTCGGTTGGTTCTTCTACTTCTCAACCTAGACATCCATCTCTTGCGATATCTTCATCTCACTACATACCATCCTATACCTTCAATGGCTTCCACTCTTGCGCCAGTTCGTGTATCATCCCCTGCTCCAACACCAAGCAAGAAGGCTCGTGCATTTTTAAGTTAACCGTGTTGTTCTAGCTAACGCGTCTTGTAGGCCGCTGCAGCCCTGGCAAATATCTCCTTAGACTCGCCAACCAAGCCATCAAATGACGAGGATAGCCTTCCTGTTTTCATCGATGATCGCAAGCGTTCAGTCTCGCCGGAATCTCAGAATGCCGAGGAAGACCTTGAAGAGCTTCGCAAGAAGTTTGTCGGTGAAGTTGACCTACCTGAAAGTCAGTGGCTTAATTTCATTTGTGGATTCATCTTCAACTTGACTTTTTCATTTCAGGCGAAGAGCCTTTGCTCAAAGAATCCAAGCGCCGCTTCGTTCTTTTCCCCATTCAATACCACGAGGTTTGTTACTGTCTATCGTCATGTTAACTTCGTTTTAACAATTCATCAGATATGGCAAATGTACAAGAAAGCCGAGGCATCATTTTGGACTGCCGAGGAGATGGACCTCTCAAAGGACACCCATGACTGGACAAACCGTCTTAATGACAATGAACGTCACTTTGTTTCACACGTCCTCGCCTTTTTCGCTGCATCCGACGGCATTGTTAATGAAAACCTTATCGAACGTTTCTCTAATGAGGTCCAGGTTGCTGAAGCCCGGTGCTTCTACGGCTTCCAAATCATGATGGAGAACATTCACTCCGAGACCTACTCACTTCTCATCGACACTTACATCAAGGATTCCGCCCAGCGCGAATACCTCTTTGACGCCATGGAAACTATTCCTTGCGTCAAGCGTAAGGCTGATTGGGCACTCAAGTGGATATCTGATCAGCGTTCCACCTTCGGTGAGCGCTTGGTCGCTTTCGCTGCTGTTGAAGGCATTTTCTTCTCTGGCTCCTTCGCTTCCATCTTCTGGCTCAAGAAGCGCGGTCTCATGCCTGGTCTTACGTTCTCCAATGAGCTCATCAGCCGTGACGAGGGTATGCACACCGATTTTGCTTGCTTGCTCTTTAGCCACCTCAAGCGTCGCCCGCACCCTGATACGGTCAAGTGTATCATTACTCAGGCTGTCACCATCGAGCAGGAATTCTTGACTGGTTCGTCATTACCTTCACTTTCTCTAACTTACGCTGACTGTCTCTCCAGATGCTCTCCCTGTCGGCCTCATTGGCATGAATGCCAAGCTCATGTGCCAGTACATCGAGTTCGTCGCAGACCGCTTGTTGGTGTCACTAGGCAACGACAAGGTGTACAACGCCACAAACCCATTCGATTTCATGGACATGATCTCGCTACAGGGCAAGACCAACTTCTTCGAAAAGCGTGTGTCGGACTACTCAAAGGCGAACGTCAACCACACGAATGCTAAGACCGATCAGGTGTCGAGCAAGACTTTGTGAGTTTAACTATCGTTCTGGTAGACCTTGTCTGACAATGTTTCATTCAGCTCGTTAGAAGAGGACTTCTAGATGTGTCATTGCGATCTCTTGTTTCCACATATTACACTTATCCCATGCACTATACCATACGCCCATTATGTCCATTGCATTAACCTTTGCATCTGTCTGTTCTGGATATGTTATCATTATTGACCCTCTGTAATGTTTAGTGTTCTCAGTAGCCTCGTCAGCAATATAAGTTGATCATCGCCTCCAATTTGAGCGCTTGATCCTTTATGCATTTATGTCGGGCCTGGTTTTGTAGTACTATAGCCTGGGCCGTGGCCTTCCACAGCGCCATGAACATCAAATAAATATCGTTTGAAACAGTTCGGCTCGTGACATGTTCATAAACTTCTATAGTAGTAGATGACATAATATGTTGCACGAAGTAACGACTACTAACTTTAAGAGCTTGGTTGTACACTTCGATGAGCGTGGTCAAACAGCCCCATAGTTCGCCTACTGACGAGTACGACGACTCGCAGAAGCTGCATGCACTGAAATCTACCTCGGCCTTGATGTGGCTGAACTTTCTTGGTGATGTATCACAATCCGAAGTCGATATTTTACTTCTGTCCACCGCATTCAAGTTTCTCCTGTTCCCAGCATAGTAGGCCCTCCTTAAATATGTATCCACACGCTTACTGATCCGTGAAGTCGCTCTACGGATTTCGAGGTCCACCGAAACTGGCTGGCCATAACACATTCACTTCCCATTTCTCAATGGTATTATGACGTGCGTTCTGAAGCTCTCTAGATCTCGTTACTAGGCTTATTGAACGCGGCATTGAAGACAACTTCTGAGTGGAGTGAGCCCTTTGAAAGCTTCTGTATCATACTGTCTCATCTCGTCGACTAGCGCTGGATTACCCTCCATTCTTTGCATATTTTGAGAAGCTGATGTCCATACCCGCTTCATTCATCGATCCCAAGATAGTTGACCTCCAAAATCTTCAATATAATGCATGGACGGTCATTGTATTCCAACGTCTGACAGTCATTATTTCTGAGCTTGTCCTTGGTGCGGCACTTTTGAGGTGAATTTTTATTCATTCATGTCTGTGAAGCGCTAATTCTTGACTGAGGTTTATCCGTGATTCTGTTGATCCCTCTCGTCAACGAATTCTCTCGGCGTCCCTGTTTCTTCACCCGGGGTTCCTTATAATTGACCATATACACTTCCAATACAATGGGTTCATGTTTGGAATATTGCTATGGTCGATTTTAATGGCTTGCGAAGTAAGAGAGTTGTTCTTACCTGAGCAAAGTGTCTTATCACATTTATAGGGCAGAAAACTTGCAAGCGGCATACTTTTTGCTGTTCTTTTGAATTTCAAACACATTTACATGTATCTGGCGGTATGATCACATCACTGTGAATCGTAGTCCTTGACTTACTGGATTGCCTCCATAGCCTGCATACTTCGTTTACCTTTTGCGGTCTTACTGCATGTCTCCCGCGGGGGCGATCATCGCCACTCGCTTTATCTCACTAGCGAACTCTGTCCTACTTGTGTTCCTGGCCTCTCTGGGACCATTCGTGTTGATGGGCCAACTCCCGCAACTCCTTTCCCGCTTGTTTCCTTTTACACGTGGGCTGAATCACGCTTACTGGGCACCAAACGCATGGGCCTTGGTCACTGCCGCAGACCGTGTCCTTTTACAGTGTTCGTGGTTCATTGACTACCCTTCCACTACCGAGCTCACGCTGGCCTTTAGTGGTAAAACACCTGGATGTCGGGCTCGCAGTGAATGAATCTGGCGTTGTATCGACGTCCCGCGGCCTTGTAGGCGATACGGTCTTTGCCGTGATTCCAAATATCAAGCCCATCCACACGTTCATTATCACAATAATCTTCCAGATGGTATGAAAAATTGCATAACCGGCGGATCTCTCTGATATTGCAACTCACTCAGGTTTATCTCATTAAGCTATGGAGAGCACCAACTTATAAGTCGTTCGTGGCTGCGTTGACGCTTTGTGGCTACGCTTCATATATGTTCGGGTGGCATGTGCATGAGAAGGCCGTTCTGCTCGTATTAGTGCCTCTTACGTGCGTGGTTTTCATTACCGTTTTCAACCTAGTATTTAGTGTTGCAGGCTTCTGGCTTCGGAGAACTATGCGTATTACAAGACCTTCGTTATCGCAAGTGTCGCGGGTATCTTCTCGCTCTTCCCCTTGATCTTTACGCCAGCAGGTGCGTTCCCGTAATGCCAGCTCGCGTTGGGTATTATTAACGAAGCTAAAGAGACACCACTAATAATTATCTATTCCCTCATATGGGGAGGAACGGTATTATACCCTCTTCACAAGCAGCTTTACGAGTGAGCACTGACATGGAGATGTTTCTCAATACTAAATCTTCCAACAGGTTTCCTTCATCACTGCCTTGGGTTCTGCTGGAGAGCTTCGAGAATGCATACCTATATGGTTTTGCACTTCTTCAGGTTTTCGTCACACTATTCCCTCTCATGACTGGTAGGAACCCAGACACTGAATTTTTGCCCCTGATGGCAACAAGTGTTTACTGTGCGGTGGGACTGATATGGTCATTCATCCGGCTCAGTACTCTATACATTACGCAGCAGTACTAGTAGATACAATGGGTTGCGCGGAGCAAGTTGTACGTCCATTATGTCGCCTACTTTTTTGCGATATGAACGACTGGGAGACCGCTTGAGATTGCACGCGTGGAAGAAATAAGAATCTTACCGTCCTCGTCTTCTAGGATGTGGTCCAACCCAACCTTTTGACCTCGAGAATGCTTCGCACTCGCACCCCATACAACGGCACTGACCATGCAGTCAGCTCCGCGAATTAGTAAGGAAATCTCAGCGTTGACACTCACTACTTCATTTGCTTGGCGATTTCCTTGTGGATTGCGTTGCAAAAATCCTCCACACTACATCTCCCTCTACGAAGGACGACTGGAGCAGAATAGTCGGGTGATTGTCCACGAGGTTTGGTATAAACGCGGACAAGCTCAAGAGCGTCCCACATTTTCTCTGAGAGTTCGTCGATATTGAGCCATTCTTTCGATGAAACTGGAACGCTGTGAGGAATTTTGTACCTGAACACTAGTAAGTAGTACTCTTCAAAGAAGACGAGAAGCAACGGACAGAAGATCTAATTCCTCTATCGAGATGGCATCGATCTGCATACATAACCAACGTGAGTAGCACATAATTTCAATCAAGTTATAAACAACCTTATTCAAGACCTAAAATTTGAAACGCAAGGAATTAGCGCAAGGTGAAATATCATTTATGTTAGTCAACGCGTACATAAAGCGCAGGAATATAGACTCTGCGAGGTATAAAACATCCAACTATGCGGGCTTCTTATAAATGACACACCTGTTCCCTTCAATGACGTCCACCAGGTCGTCCGCCGTCATGTTAGGCTGCCGAATTGTAACGTCCACATTGTTGAGCTTGTATTCGCTGAGAACTGCCTTGATCTCTTCTTGATCGATATTCGTCAGCGGAACGGTATTGGTGATCGCGATGCCGCCCTTGTCCTTCTTGCGAACCAAAATGGCTGGGGGCTTTTTATTCAAGCGAATACCAAAGCCCTCCAACTCGCTCTCGATGATCTTTTTGTCTCCCAACGGCTTGAGGACGTCCAAAACAATAAAAATGAGGTTACATGTTCGAGCAACTGGGGTATGCATTGCTCTCAACCTCGGCTTTCGCATGCGTTAAACTTGGAGGCCATACCGGCAATGACTGTAAAATAAAGTGAGTGAGTTTTCTGCAAGCGCAAAAAAGCTGTACTTACCTTGTCGACCTCTGCCTCTACCATCATTTGCCCCCTCGATGATTCCAGCTGAGACGAGAATAAGAGTATGATTACCAAAGACAAGATACGCACGCACGCAAATCAAGGATTTGTATAGGTGCACCGTGAACTTTCATAGTACCAGGGACTGTTGTTAGTGTTGTGAAATCAATCTCCGAGACTTCCGAGTGCGTGCCCGTGAGCTTCGACATCAGAGTTGACTAGATGATCGTTGATGATAACTGGCGGGTAAGAATTAAACACAGAGAACTCACCTTTCCCACTGACGGGAATCCGACGAAACCGACAGACGCTACACCAGTCCTGGCGACATCAAAACCAATACCGGGCCCGCCTCCGCCTCCTCCAGAGGGCGATATAAGCTCGCGCCGTAGTTTCGCAATCTTAGCCTTGAGTTGACCCAGATGGTAGCTCGTGGCCTTATTCTTCTGCGCTACAAGCACGAAGTTCGTCGGCTGATGAGCCTACTTCATGAAGACAAGGAAACACACTTTTGGCCTGTTAGGAAAGTTAGTAGAGAAGTTTCATGATATCCCAAAGACAAGACTAGCCATTTCATCTTCAATTTCCTGAATAATTAACGCCCCCGTTAATTAGAAGCAGCGAGGATAAATACTGATGCGCACTTTGATCTTTTGTACTGTAGTCATTGTTGGAGAAGTTCCTGATGGTTAGTGGAATGATGTTTATTGTAACCGTGTAATGGACAAAAAAAGATAGATCAAAATAGGACTAGTCGCATAGCTTTTGGGCCAGGGCATAAGTAGCACAACTAACAGCAACCGTTGTTTTCTTGTTTCACGCTCGTTCTTTATATCCTCTCTATCATCCTCCATCCGCAGTTTCGGCACCAGTACTATCCGTCCTCACAGTCTACCAGCAGGGCACTCTTTGGTTTGATTTTTGCCGGATTAGACCTTCTTTTAACGCCTCTCGTTGTCTCAGAACCTGGTCAGGTTCTACATGCGGCTGGCTCGCTATACGCTCATTCACATATCCACCAAATCCCCCCTTGTCCTTTTTATCGTCTGACTTGCTCGCTGATTCGCATTATCTCTCAACACAATGAGCAGTGGTCCAGCATGGAAACGGGAAATTGTTCCAGATCATAAGGTGAGCTGACCTTCTATCTTGGTTTTTCTCGCATGCCAATAAGCTGTTCACCACCTTAGTTCGACTTCATCGACACCCGTGAATTTACCGACAATGGGTTCCTCATGCGCCTGAAGTAAGTGACTTGTACGAACCTGTGGAACGCGCAAAGGCTGTGGATGGTTGTGTGGCACAGTGTGATGGCGGCTGTTCATTCACTGGTTCCAGTTATTTCAAGATAATCCGGAGCGCTCATTGATGTTCTTTCAAAGATATCTTTGGCTTTATATTATTATCCTCAAATCATTTCTTGTCTACCTTTCCGATATCTTCACCGCTACGACCATGTTGACAACTTCAACATGGTCCAACCAAATCTTCAACGACTGTCAGAATCAAGATGGTTGCTTCTATATCCCCTTTAATGTTGGGAAGTGGCTGTTCGTAGGATGTATTATTTTTGGCTTCCTCCTGGTATGCTACAGTCCTAGGCAAGAGAACGTGAGTCTGACCATCCACAGCTGGCGTACGAAGCCCGGAAATCGAAGAAAATCATCGCTAGTCGTGATATCTCTTACGCTTTCACGAACGTGATGGCTAATCACTATTACTCCCTCCGTATGTTATTCCTTCGATTATGGCATCATCTCAAGTTTATAAACTGCGCAAGGCTCGTATGATCACTTCTGCTTCTTCGATCATATCAGTAATTCAACGAAGAAGAAAGACGACTTTGCATTCTTCATCTTCTTTACGTTCAAGAGTAAGTCTTTACTCCTTTCTTAAATCAATATATCTCAACCGATATCAGGTTGGAAGCGCCTGTTACTGTCTGATGGGCCAAGACAAACAATCAACGCTTTGACACTTTATAGTATCTACCTGGCGAAGAACGACAAGGGATCTTGGTACGACATCAGCAAATACTTCGCAGGAAATAGTCTGTCAACCTCCGCTCTGACTGTCTCCACGTTCTTCACCTTCGTCATCTTCGCTGGCTCGCTCTTACTGTTGATTATGGCTGGCATATTCTACATTCCTTTGTTGTGCTACATTCAAGGAAACCTTAAGGTTAGATATATTTCTGCCCATTTTACGTCTGTCAAGTGCACCTGCTCATGGGTTATATAGGAATACGTATGCCACAAGGTTGACAAGGTACCATCCACCACATCGAGTTTTGGTTACCCATGGCTCATTGAATGATAGCGAATCGCAGAGGTTATCAAGCGTAGAAACAAGGAGCGGCTCGCAAAGGCTGCTGCGCTAGCGAAGAAGGAGGCTATGGGTGACTTCTCCCACTTGAAAAACAAGAAGGGCGAGATAGTTGGCAAACCTTTGCCACAGCCGACTCTTCCAAACCTCTCAGTTGACGACGACGACGACGCTAGATCTATCTCCAAGCGCGGGCCAGGTGGTACCTACAACCAGGATTACTACTATGACCAGAAGAGCATAGCGCCAAGCTATCACACAAATCCCGCCGGTGCCGACTACACCGACTATCCTCCAATGCCGGCTCACAACGCTGGGTATTCACACCAGACTGCAGGCACGTTCAATCAATATATTCCGTCTTCGGAAAACTACGAGCCACAGCACCAAGGCTACGAAGAAGAATACGGCAGCACAGTTCATCTTCAGGAAGGTGCTACTCTTGCTTATCAAAGTAATGATCAAGGGCCGTACGATTCATATGGGAGCTCGGGGGCGCCAGGGCAATATGTTGCAAACGCACACGATGTGTACCAAGGGAGAGCAAATCCAGGAGCACATTTGCCGTATAATGGTGCGAGCAGGCAGGCTTACGATGTGGAGGATTATCCTAGCCAGCAGTATACGCACGCACATAATTATGACTACACGGCAGCAATTGGGGATGGTTACCACTATCAGGGGTATGCTGCACACGGCTCACATGAGTATGGACATGCTTTGTAGTAGTTACAGATCTAGGGTGCAACTTCGTCTTTTTTGCTTGTCGTAACTTGTTTTATCTATAATTTTAGTTGAAAGAGGGACTTGTACCGCCAGGAACCTTTGTGGCCAGGCATGAAATTGGCCGTTCCCAATTCGAGCTCTCAACAACACATTTGAAAGAATCTGGAAGTTCCAGCTACCAATGATAGACAGATCCCGCCGAGCTCTAATTTTCAAGAGCAGACTATACATGGAAGAAACTTCCTTTTATTGGTCTGTGGCCTAGTAAGTAGCTGCTTAGCAGCTAGGATTGACGGTCGCACTTGGCATGTGGAAGGACTTCAAAAAACTCGTTCTCAGTTTACCGAAGATCTTGGATACACTCGCCCACGACGGAGTCGAGCAACGGAGACAATGGTAACCTACCATTAGCTGCTACTACAAGCCCTGCAGCAACCCTGCAGGGCGGCCTCCGGACCACCGCTTATAAGTCAGTGAGCGGTAACCGGTCTGTGGAAGAATCAAGTGTCAAGCTGTGGGTACTCGAAATAAAACCGAGCGCAAACCGAGCGTGGCAACAAAAGGTAGACTGGTGACCAGCCCCTCTATCACCAGTCGAAACAAAAGGCTAGAGAAGGGTACTGTAATATGTCAACGGTTCCTAGCTAATATGCAAAAAATTCTTAACATCTTCAACATCGGGTGTCGAATACCTATAAATGCAACTAGAATAGAAAAATTTCTTGGATGTTGTAGCCCGAGTCCGCGAGGTAAACAGCAACCTTGGTCCAGGTCACCCATCTCAAAGATCCTTTCAAGGTATTCGTAAAGTTTTATCTGGAGTATAGTGAGATGGAGCTGCTGCAGCTTCGTGATTTCGGACCGCAAGTAGCTATCTGTTATCTTCATTTCCGGTTTCCCCATTAGTTATAGGTTGAGCACGGAGGCCGAAGTTCCAATTTGTCTGGATCGCTGACGATATGTCGACATGACATGTCAGGAGTCGAACTTCCAGTTAAGAACGACCCGTGATGCGGATATTTCAGACAGGCTTCAAGGTCCGAATCGGGGCTATGCGGAAGTCGAGGAAGCAGAGAGGCAGAGACTGGGACCAATAACATCACATACTTAGCTTACCATATGTAGCATATGTAGTGTAAGATTTCTAGTGAGCTTCCTGCCTATGGTGGCAACAAAATCTGGATTGACAAACCCTTGAACTTCACCGTGTCCGCGGAGATCCCCTCGTGTTCTTACGGACCACAGCCAGCAACAGGCGAGATGGATGTTGATTGGGCCATTCCTCGAGGTTGTAATAGAGACTATACATTATGTTGCATGTATTAGTCCGTCGCTAGGTGTTGACGTAGGATTGGATAACTCACTTTACATATCGATCATGATAATATTCTCGTATCCAACCGATCGAAGAAGTTCATGTCTGATGCGCTTGTTCGGGCTTCATGTATTGCTGGCATGTTTACTGAGTCCTGACCTTAGAGGGGCCGTTGCGGCAAAGGAAGCAAGAGAAGGCAGCGAAACTCTAGCGTGTGGGACGACTTCCGAGTCGGATAACCTTGTCACGTAATACTAGTCAATATGGCCGTGTGCCACTTTCTAGTAGAGTGTCGATCTTGGCCTCACGTGCCTATAGGTCATCCTCAGGCTCAGGCCCAGTTAGACCTGTCAGCAATTCAATTGCAACGTAAATGTTCAGTGGCCTTCAGGGATAAAGCAAAATGGTAATACCTGCTCAGTCAGGTTATCGTCTGCTATATCATATTTAAATGTCTGTCTAGGACATGTCTTATCACCTTCTACCCGAGTCCTCGCTCGCCTTCCCTGCTTGCCAGTGCAACACTGGTCCATGATGTCAGCCTCTCCTCCAGGAACCCTTTCTTTTACTCCGAACCACCAAGATGATTCGAATGTTCTTTATCTTCCCCAGGTCATGAGAAACGAAGGCCAGTCTGCCGAGGTCGAGAATAAGACTCATGACGAAGAGTATGATTGGGAACACGATCCTGCGAACCCCAGGAATTGGTCTCCACCAAAAAAATGGACAATGGCTACGATTGTCAGTTTTTCCATTAGCGAGTTCAATTTACGATGGCTCATGTCAGTATTAGGTCTCGCTGTATTCGTTTGTCACTCCATTAGCGAGTTCTATCATGGCACCTGGTTTGCTTGACGTAGCCATCACATTCGGTATAACCGATTCAACAGTCATAGCGTTGACTCTGAGTATATTCCTTCTATCCTTTGCCATTGGTCCTTTATTTGCGGCACCATTGTCGGAAGTGTATGGTCGTGTATGGGTGCGTCATATGCATCCTAAGTCCCGAGTTTCATCGCCGGGTCCATTTACCTGAATGACTTCAAGGTGCTCCACCTAGCGAACCTCTTCTTTTTCACCTTTAATCTCGGCTGCGCTTTGTCACGCAACACTGTATCCTTCATTGTTTTACGGTTTCTAGGTACGTCTCAGAACATCAGGAGCTGCAACTTTTCTTCACTCTTTGTAAAGCTGGATTAGCGGGGAGTGCACCTATAGCATGCGGCGGAGGTGTCGTGAGCGACCTCTTCGCGGAACGTGATCGAGCATCGGCTGTGGCACTATATAGCATCGGGCCCTTGATAGGTGTGTTATACACTGTTTTATACTGTACGACGTCAACTGGGGTTCACGCATCCTGCAAGGTCCTGCTATCGGTCCTGTCATGGGAGGTTTCATCGCAGAATCAGTCGGTGTACAACATGTCTTCTATGTCATTGTCGCGCTCTCTGGCGTTGCCGCAGTGATCGGCATCCCTCTCTTGAGAGAAACATATGCGCCAGTTATCAGGTTTCGTCTTAACAACATGGCCCTGGATCCCGAAAAGGCAACTGCGGGACATCCTACCCTCCAACACGAGATGGGGAAATGGGCCTACTTATGGCTCAACCTCAAGCGGCCGATCATACTATTGACCCGGAGTTTTATACTCTTCATGTTGAGCTTGTATATGTCTCTGTGAGTTTAAATTTAGTGATATGCGCACGCGGCTCACTGACGCTCATATATTTAGGATATACGGTCAGTGCGGCATTAAGCTATATTAGACATGAACTGAGATCATATGCCAGGCATCTACTACTTGATGTTTGCTACTTTCCCCAGTGAGATTATACATACATGCCTACAGGGATCGTTATTAACAATTTTCGCTCAGACCTCTTTTCAAAGGTGTACCACTTCAGCACTGGAATTGGGGGTCTGATGTACATCGGAATAGGCGTTGGATTTCTAACCGCCTCTTTGTTTGGCGCCAGAGTTTCCAGTAAGATATACACATACGTATGTCAAGGCTTGCCTTCTATTTTGAACTTTTCAGCTGAAGCGCTGGTTCTTATTGCTAGCTTGCTGCAAAAAATGGAGGCAAGGGTAAACCAGAGATGCGCATACCTGCTCTGATATTCGGCTCGTTTTTTGTCCCAGTGGGACTATTGTGAGATTGACCCATTGATTTCCTGTTCCCAGTCTGACATATGTTAGTTGGTATGGCTGGTCTGCCCAAGCCAAGGCACACTTCATGATGCCCATCATTGGTACCGCTATCTTTGGATTCGGGTTGATGACAAGTTTGTGGGTGTACTCCCGTGCATCAGTCTCTTCCACGTCTGACCTCTGACATGAAGCCTCCCTGTTCAACTGTATCTCGTGGATACATTCACCTATGCTGCAAGCGCTATTGCAGCCGCTTCTGTTAGTCTTTCTTACATCACCCCTAATTTTAATTTTGTTGGCATGCACTGAATATATCATCAGATGTTTCGTTCGTTTCTTGGTTTCGTATTCCCTCTGTTTGGAGAACAGATGTTAGCGGCACTCGGCTATGGTGGGGGAAATTCCCTGCTTGCAGGTCTTGCCATCATCATTGGCATACCCTTTCCCGTGTGGGTATATTTTAATGGCGAACGTATCCGCGCGAAGAGTTCCTTTACCCGTTGATTTTCCCCTTCCATCAAGGCCTCCTCATCATCGTGAAAGTATAATAATCTATAGCCCCCCCAGAACCACCAAATCATGATAATCTCCATACCAGCATCATGATTGTACCCACTCACTACATCGCGGAGTGATTCATGATAGTTATTAACAGTAGAATCATTGTTCACCTCCGAGTCGTCGATGGGCACTTGTCATGCAAAAATGTTGTATTTTTTTCTGCGTAGAGCTACCTATCTGTGTCAATAAAAGAACAATATTTATTCGAGTGCAACAGCCGAAATATAGTGGGCGCGCGTAGTGCAAACGTATGGCACATGCCACGCTCGCTTTGAGGACCGAATAGTTACGGGTCTGCGGGTACAGCAATTGTACTAGGCAGAAGCGCGGTTAAAGCCCTTCGCATCAGAGTCATTTATGTAGGACTCGAAAAGCAGATCTTTTTTGGCAGCCGATCTATCATTTAGGGGGGAAAGTCTCGGGGATGAAGCGCATCTACCTGTATATTATTATTTGTGGTAGTTTGCCGGATGGAAAGTGGAGTAATAGCTCTGAAGAACTGCTAAAGTACTCCAAATGAAAGCATTAGGATACCTAGAAGACGCCGATGGAAATGCCGAAAGAAATCAAGGAAACGAAGTGACGACGATAATCCATCATGATATAGGAGGTCTAAGACACCCTCTCCGAGCGGTGCATGTGACCACATGGCCAACTGATCAAGCATCTGAGACGCCGATTGGATAATTTACAATAATTAGAGCTCACTATTGGCGACACGATTTCCATTTTCTTTGAATTCGCGTTTGCGCGTGAATGAACGTCCGACGGCTGCATAGTAAGACTTATTTACGTGAAGGAGCGGAGTTCGGTCTCGCTGCTCGCGTGACAAAGTTCACTAAATCAGTAACATGTCAATATTTCAATAGACATGCAATAACGAAAATGAGAATGATACAAGTTACCTGAGACCTGAAGTTGTGTGCTCCTATATCCGCCACAGTGCATGTTGACTTGAATCGAGAAGCTCCAAGGGCCCCTGGAATTGCCGGTTCCGCAGCGCATTCCCACGTGTTTTCTTTGCTTAGATCAGTCTGGTCTACTGCCACTAGCAGCACTAGTGCACTTTCAGTACTTTCGATCATGTTGTGATCCGTTCGACGGTTGATCTTGCAAAATGTCGTATGCGTCACGTCATGCGTCAGAGCAACCGCCCGTTGCTAGCGGTTTTTATGCACCCTCCAACCTCAGGCGCGTCCCTTATCTTTTAGTATGGTGGGTCCCATGAGCATGCAGTTTGAGGTGTGCGGGCAGTTAGTCTCTAGAGCTGAATATTTATCTGTGCTCTGACAATAGTATACTTCTCAGATCGACTGCGGCAAAGGAAGCACGGTGAACAAAATAGGAGCTGCAGCGGAAGAAAGTTCGAGATGCGCCACTCATCAGTGTCATCACACGCTGATCATGATGCGTGTTTGAAAAGCAGTGTTCATGGGCGACTCCGAGTTGGATAGGCACTGGCAAGCATTTTTTTATAGGAGTTCTCGAGTTTTGGCAAACTCATCCGATGGATCTGTTCACAGGAAACCGGGAGCCTCGGTCACGAGAGGGTTGTTCGTGTGCTCTCCATAGCTACCGATATGAGAGAGTGGCTTCATTCACGTGTGAACATATACTCCGCGAGAGTCTTTGTAAGTAAATATGCCTCAGGTCCTCGGGTGAGATCTTACATGTCAGCAATTGCAACGTAAACGGGCAGCGGCCTCCAGGAATAAAGTGTAATGGTAATACCTGCTCAGTCAGGTTATTGTCCGCTATATATTTAACTTAGAGTCCCTCGGGACATGTGTGATCACCTTTTACCGTCCCTGGTCGCCTTCCCTGCCTGCTAGTGCAACACTGGTCAATGTCGGGCTCTCCTTCAGGAACCGTTTCTTTTACTCCGAGTCACCAAGATGATTCGAACGATCTTCATCTTCCCCAGGTCATGAGAAGCGAAGGCCAGTCCGCCGCCGAGGACTCGGATAAGACTCATGACGATTGGGAACACGACCCTGTGAACCCCAGGAATTGGTCTCCTGCAAAAAAATGGACAACGACTACGATCGTCAGTTCTTTCATTAGCGAGTTCAATTTACAAAGACTCATGCCGCTATTAGGTCGCGCTGTACACGTTTGTCACGCCGTTAGCAAGTTCTATTATGGCACCTGGTCTGCCCGATGTGGCCATAAAATTTGGCATAACCGATCCAACAGTCATAGCGCTGACTCTGAGTATATTCCTTCTATCATATGCTATCGGTCCTTTATTTGCGGCACCATTGTCGGAAGTGTATGGTCGTGTATGGGTGCGTCATATGTATTCTAAACTTGATCGGCGGGGCCATTTACCTGAATGACTTCAAGGTGCTCCACCTAGGGAACATCTTCTTTCTTGCCTTTAATCTCGGCTGCGCTTTGTCACGCGACACTGTATCCTTCATTGTTTTCCGGTTTCTAGGTACGTCTCAGAACATCTCGAGCTGCAACTTTTGTTCATTCTTTTCAAAGCTGGGTTAGCGGGGAGTGCACCTATAGCATGCGGCGGAGGTGTCGTGAGCGACCTCTTCGCGGAACGTGATCGAGCATCGGCTATGGCACTATACAGCATCGGGCCCTTGATAGGTGGGTTGTACACCGTTTTATATCGTGCGATGTTGACTGAATTCACGCATCCTGCAAGGTCCTGCTATCGGCCCTGTTATGGGAGGTTTCATCGCAGAATCAGTCGGTGTACAGTATGTCTTCTATGTCGTTGTCGCGATGTCTGGCGTTGCCTCTGTGATCGGCATCCCTCTCTTGAGAGAAAGCTATGCGCCAGTTATCAGGCTTCGTCTTGACAACATAGCGCTGGATCCCGAAAAGACGACTGTGGGACATCCTGCCCCCCAACACGAGATGGGGAAATGGGCCTACTTATGGGTCAACCTCAAGCGACCGATCATACTGTTGACCCGGAGTTTCATACTCTTCATCCTGAGCTTGTATATGGCTCTGTAAGTTTAAATTTAGTGACATGCGCACGCGGCTCACTGACGCTCATATATTTAGGATGTATGGTCAGTGCCACATTAAGTTATATTAGACATGAACTGAGATCATATGCCAGGTATCTACTACTTGATGTTTGCCACTTTCCCCGGTAAGATTATACTTGCCTACGGGGATCTTTATTAACAATTTTCGCTCAGACCTCTTTTCGGAGGTGTACCATTTCAGCATTGGAATCTCAGGTGTGACGTACATCGGAATAGGCATTGGATTTCTAAGCGCGACTTTGTTTGGCGCTAGAGTTTCTGACAAGATATACATATACGTATGTCAAGACTTGCCTTCTATTTTGAACTTGTCAGCTCAAGCGCTGGTTCTTATTGCTAGCTTGCTGCAAAAAATGGAGGGAAGGGTAAACCAGAGATGCGCATACCTGCTCTGATATTCGGCTCGTTTTTTGTCCCAGTGGGACTATTGTGAGATTGACCCATTGCTTTCCTGCTCTCAGTCTGACATATGTTAGTTGGTATGGCTGGTCTGCCCAAGCCAAGGTCCACTTCATGATGCCCATCATTGGTACCGGTATCTTTGGGTTCGGGTTGATGACAAGTTTGTGGGTGTGCTCGTGCATCAGTTTTTTCTACGCCTGACCTCTTAACATGAAGCCTCCCTATTCAACTGTATCTCGTGGATACATTCACCTATGCTGCAAGCGCTACTGCAGCCGCTTCTGTTAGTCTTTCTTACATTACCCCTAATTTTGTTGGCGTCCACTGATTATATTATCAGATGTTCCGTTCGCTTCTTGGTTTCGCGTTCCCCTTGTTTGGAGAGCAGATGTTTGCGTCACTTGGCTATGGTGGAGGCAATTCCCTGCTTGCAGGTCTTGCCATCGTCATTGGTATACCCTTCCCAGTGTGGATATATTTTGCTGGCGAACGTATCCGCGCGAAGAGTCCCTTGGCCCGTTGACTTTTCCCTTCCACCAAGGCCTCCTTATCATCGTGAAAGTATAATAGTTCACAGCCCCTCCAGTACCACCAAATCATGATCACCCCCATACCAGCATCATGATTGTACCCACTCACTACATCGCGGAGTGATTCATAGTAGTCATTAACAGTAGAATCATCGTTCACCTCCGAATTGTCGATGGGTACTTGTCATGCAGAATTTTTCTGCGTAGAGGTACCTACAATATCTGTGTCAATAAAGGAAAAATATTCGAGTGCAACACCCGAAACGTAGTGGGCGCGCGAATTAATGCAAACATATGGCACATGCCACACTCGCTTTGAGGACCAATTAAAGATATAATAGTTACGGGTCAGCAGGTGCAGCCATTGCGGTAGGCAGAAGCACGGTCAATGCCCTTCGCAACAGACTCACTTATGTAGGACTCGAAAAGCATATTATTTTCGACAGCTGATCTATCATTTAGGGGGGATGAAGCTCATCTACCTGTATATTATCATTTGTGGTGGTTACTGGATGAAAAAAGTGACGGGTAAACAGTAATAACTCCTCGAGTATAATAAGCACAAGACCAAGGTCGAAAGCACGACGGCTAGAGCTCTGACACAATTGCTAAAGGAAAGCATTATAATAGGATACCTATAAGACGCCGATGGTAATGCCGAAAGAAATTAAGGAAACGAAGTGATAACGATAATCCATCTAGGAGGCCAAAGAGACCCTCTCCGCTGCCTGTGACCACATGGCCAACTGATCAAGCATCTGAGACACTGATTGGAAAATTTGCGATCGAACACGGAGGTCATCCGGCATGCCTTCCCAAAGCACACTGATTGACACTTCAACCTACAAGAGAGGATAAATAACACTGGCATCAGGATGAAATCGAAGGGACTAACCTTCTCAGCAAGTTCCCTGAGTAACTCGTTGACAGCCTTCCCGATGGCCTCAGCTGCAGCCGTCAAACGATTCAGGAGCACCTCTGCTCCGCCATCAAAAATGGCATGCTTATGTGTGGCAACGTAGGTATGGAACACAGTCTGCAATTGGTCAGAGGAGGTTCTAAATGATACAGTTGACATACCTTCTGTCGCGTGACACTTCCTTTGCCTCGTTGTCCGGCGGCAAGTTCGTAGCCGTCTACCAATTCGGTTTGGACATGAGGAGCGAGACAACGAGATATCTCCTTTTGCTCCTGTACAAGCGCTTCTTCTACGACCTTTATGATTCTCCCTAATGCGAGGCGCGCCTCTTCTTGGGAATCGGATCTTCGTGCGCATGCGCGATCTTTTAATCCAGCCGTTGCGCTCGCTTCCACATCTGCGAGCAGCCTGTCGACACATTCCGTGATCGCGGATGATAATGGGGCAAATAGATCGGACTCGAAGAGCTTTGACCAAGAAGAAGCAATATTCCGGGTGAATGGTATCAGAAGTTCGGCATTGAGGTCACGATGCCAAGACCCGTTGCGACGAAGTGCTGATATTGAGCAAAATTAGTGAGGGTGAGGGTGCGGACTGGAACACTCACTGGCTCGATAGGTATTCCAATGCATGGACCCTGCAAACTTGTCGACGTGTTGAAGTGCACCTTTCGCAGCCTATGAAAATTTTAGCAGATGATAAGTCTTACAATGTAATAGTACTCACATCCACTGCGCCCGCTCGACACTTGTCTTCAAGACCATCACGGAACAGACCTTGCAGATCTGAAACACACCGTTCGACACATGCACCAAAATCCTACAATGAAATATGAGTTGTGCAGAAAGCAAAAGTCAACGCGAGCGACTTTACTTTCACTAGCCGAGGCGTGATTCCTGTAGGTTCGCCATAAGGATCTACTTTTATGTTCATCGCGGAGAGCTTGAAATGCTTCAGGCCTAGAATGTCGAAGTGATCAGCCTTCATCCCCATCATCACACAGTGTCAAACCCTGACCACCCTCTACTGACTCCCATTTTTTACGAAGGGCTTCACTGTCTGCAACAACCACATCACCAATACCATCAGCATACACCCGCACCGAGTTGGCGAACATTCTCAATTGAGAATGGAATTGTTTTGCGGCCCGTAATTGGCTACCAACGGCTAGCTGGTGGCACCATTGTTGCAAAGCAGGAATTCCGGTATCTTTGACGTTGGAGAAACATGATGGGTCTCCATCACGTTCTATTCGTCCCGTTATGCGGACGTAGTCACGGGACGAGCAAGTGAACACCTGAAGGTCGATCTCATCATAATCTGGGTGAAACTTTAGAATCATGGTCTTCTCGAATTATGATGAAACCTACTGCGCAGATTCTGAGTTGGATCAAAAGAATCTGGGTCTTGCTCCTCGGCAGCGGTGTCTGCATTGCGTGAATTGACTTAGCTGATTCTGTGAAGATGACAAGTCATTACCAACCATCAAGTTGTTTCAGCCCGACACGGAAATCTTCCTTCAAAACATTGCAGGAGAACTTGTTGCCGTCAGGAAGAAATAGTCTGAAGAACGACGAGACAAACCTCTGAACGCTTGAGAGAACAAAATGTGCTTTGGTCACGCCGCGCTTCCGTCTCTTTCCTCTGGAGGTTTTCAAGGGCATCCGTGACGTTCATATGTGCCTTCCGTGCGTCATCGAGTTGTTTAGATCCAGCTTTGATAGCTTCCTGGGTGTCGTCGATCTTCGTACTGAGAATCCGGACTGTGACCTCTTCTTCTGGCTCATTTTCGATGCCGTCATCATGCTGTGTGTCCTCCTTTTCGTGCTCTTCCTGCTCTTCTTCGAATGATTTCTGCCCTCCGTGTGTATCGTCGACATCCATGTTGCCATCACGATCATCTTCCGAATTTTCCCCGGTGCTACTCTTCTGACGCTTAGCTGGCCCAGATTCCCCCCTGCGAGTGTTCTTTCGCTTCTTGCCCACGCTCTGGGTCACCTGGTGTGCTGTTGCAGTCAGCTGTGGCACAAACGTCTTACCATTCGCGAGTGCCATCTTATGTATCTGGCATTGCTGTAGAAAGACTTGGAGTTGTTCGAGCCGTTCGCTGATAGCTGTGAAATTCAAATAAGTACGTTATCACAGCCTGAGAAATAAAACACCATACTTTTGGTCTGTAATTCTGCATCAACCTTTTTTAGTTTGAGCTCCGTTGTTTCCTCTGTGCATAATGTGATGCGACTCTCGATTTCCTTTAGCACAGTGTCGTCCTCGAGATCCAAGTCAGAGATAACCTCAGAACAAGTTATATCGTCAGACTTGGTAGCTGAGGTATATAATTTTAGCAACAATCAGAATAGATGCGCTCTAACAAACCAATGAAGGTGATGGTATGGGCATCATAACTAACCAACGAATAAGAAATTCATCGCACAATTCAAGGACAGATCACTCACTTGCCGTCTAAGTAATGAATGACATGACATAGCCTACAGTGAGCTACCTCAGAGTAATAGGAGGAACTTACCCACTGGGGACGACTGTTAGCCTATTCCAAAGGGGATGTAAGGAAAGACGTACTCATCACCTGTAGTCTGAAAGCTTCACCAAGAAGATCTATTTTCGAAAACATCAGAATTGTGGCGTACGCCGTAGGTGTGGAATTGATATACATACCTCGGGCGGTCTTGTCATCCACTGCACGGGTGATAGGCGCTAGAATCCAGATACAGTTGCACTTCTTCATGTAGTCCTTCGCGATGCGATTTCTTGCAGGATTAATGTCGGCGACACCAGGTAAATCAACCAGAATAGCACCCGTGGAAAGAGCTTGAGCATTGCACCAGATATTCACCTGACGAATCAAGGGCCATAGAGCTACGTCATGGTCTTTCTTTTCCTCGGTGCTGAGGACTAAATTATCAGAAGCGTTGTTCTTTTTACTTTTATTCTTCTGAGTCTTATCCTTTTTACCCCGTCGTTTCTGGTCCATCGAAGAATCAATATATGTTGCAATTCCCTCGGCAAAGCTCCTCGAATCCTGTACTGATATTTTCCTCGTGGTGCCCAAGACGCGGGTGATATCTGCACAAAGGATCAGCATAATCTATAGTGACAAACTTAGGGAGGGACGTGTACTTGTATTGCAGGTCAACATTTGATCAACTGTCATTTTAGCAAGCTGAGGTAGAGTTATTGATGGGTATACAGCATGAATCTGAGTGTAACTTATATATTAAGATACCGAGAAACCTGGTTGCCCTTACCTTATGCCAAGCAACCTCTACATCGCCGCGTAGGTCAGTAGTACGTTTCAGATTACCACCCTCAGCCTTAAGGTCATCAAGTAGAACAATAAGTTCCTCTCTCCATTCGGCCTCGGAAAGGAATGACACATCCGCGTCGATGGTAGGCGCAGCATGATACGCAATTTCGGTGACCACAGCGGTACAGGCTACAAATTGGCTCAGTGATCAAAATCCTGTGCAGTGAAAGGAATCAGCTTCACCTCTCATCCCGCTTGTGGGAACAACATCGACTACAGAAAAATGAGATGAAAGGGGTATACACCGCTTGAAGTGATCACTTACCATCCAACAGTGCATTTATGGTCGATGATTTCCCGGCTCCGGTTGCTACAGGATACAGGCTTCGGTCAAAATTCATGTTGGAACTGATGAACACGCACCGCCACAGATGGCTATCATCGTGGTAGGACCAACTTGGTTGAGGAGACTGCAATGGTTTTCATTTCTGACTTCGCACGAGGCATGGGACAACATACCTGTCTATTTCACGGAGCCAAACATCCTTTCGGAGCTTGCTGCTGCCAAGCTCGATTTTTTCAATCGCAACCTTCAGTGTCTTCACCATCCCAAGTCCTTCATAGAGTGCATTTTCAGGGGTGTATGCAATTTCATCAGTAAAGTCATAGAGTTGATATAGTGTCGGCTCGATCACAGATTCCACTTTGTGATCAGTGTTGTCGCGTGCAGACTCGGGGAATGAAACTATAAACAATTCTTCAGTGGGTTCTATCTTGATGAGTGGACAAGCTTGTGACTGCTCATAGGGTTACTTAAGTTGATATCTATTCAAGCATGAAACCACAATAATAAGAACTCACTTTTCGCGACACACGTGCCATTTTCTTCGAATTCGCGTTTGCGCGTGTCATGATGAACGGACGATCGAGTACGTCCGACGGCTACACAAGACTTTACGTGAAGCTTGAGGCCTTGAGGAGCGGAGTTCAGTACTCAGTCTCGCTGCTCGCGTGACACTTCGCATCCATAAGTTCACCAAATCAGTAACATGTCAATAGTCGTGCAATAACGAAATGAGATCAAAGTGACCCTGACCAGGCGGTCGAATATCATTGAGGGTGATAAGCTGATGAAAACCTCGTCAAATGCCCTCATGACTCAAGTGATGTTTGGAATTGCCGGTTCCGGAGTGTGTTTCCACGCGTTTTTCTTCTTTTAGATCGGTCTGGTCTATTGGTGCACTTTCAGTACTTACGATCCATGTTGTGATCCGTTCGACGAGGGTTTCGGTTGATCTTGCATGCGTCACATCATGGGTCAGAGCAACCGTCTGTGGCTAGTGGTCTTTGATGCACCCTCCAACCTCGGTCCCTTCAAGTTATATTTTCGTATGGTGGCTCGAAGACGACATGAGCATGTAGTTCGATGTGTGCGGGCAAGCATGTGTTAGCCTGCTAGAGCTGAATATTAATATCCATTTATCTGTGCTCTGACAATAGTATACCACTAATTACTTCTCAGATCAGCTGCGGCAAAGGAAGCAAAGTGAACAAAATAGGAGAAGAGTAACGGAAGCAAGATCGAGATGCGGCACTCATCACGCGCTGATCATGATTCATGATGCGTGTTTGAAGAATAGTGTCCATGGGCGACTCCGAGTGGGATAGGCACTGGCAAGCATTCTTTTTACGAGTTCTCGAGTTTTGGCAACCCGCAATCGACTCATCGGATCTGTTCACAGGACATCGTCACCGGAGTGGCAGTCGTGTGCTCTCCATAGCTACCGATATGAGAGAGTGGCTTCATTTACGTGTGAACATATACTCCACCAAAGTCTTTGTAAGTATATATCCTCAGGTTTCGGGTGAGATCTCACTTGTCAGCAATTGCAACGTAAACATTCAGCGGCCTCCAGGAATAAAGCGTAATGGTAATACCTGCTCGGTCAGGTTATTGTCTGCTGTATATTTAACTTAGAGTCTGCCCAGGACATGTGTCTTTACCGGAAGGGTAAACCAGAGATGCGCATACCTGCTCTGATATTCGGCTCTTTTTTTGTCCCAGTGGGACTATTGTGAGATTGACCCATTGATTCCTGCTCCCAGTCTGACATATGTTAGTGGTATGGCTGGTCTGCCCAAGCCAAGGCCCACTTCATGATGCCCATCATTGGTACCGGTATCTTTGGGTTCGGGTTGATGACAAGTTTGTGGGTGTGCTCGTGCATCAGTTTTTTCCACGTCTGACCTCTTAACATGAAGCCTCCCTATTCAACTGTATCTCATGGATACATTCACCTATGCTGCAAGCGCTACTGCAGCCGCTTCCGTTAGTCTCTCTTACATTACCCCTAATTTTGTTGGCGTCCACTGAATATATCATCAGATGTTTCGTTCACTTCTTGGTTTCGCGTTCCCCTTGTTTGGAGAACAGATGTTTGCTTCACTTGGCTATGGTGGAGGCAATTCCTTGCTTGCAGGTCTTGCCATCATCATTGGTATACCCTTTCCAGTGTGGATATATTTTGCTGGCGAACGTATCCGCGCGAAGAGTTCCTTGGGCCATTGATTTTTCTTTTCCACCAAGATCGTGAAAGTAGGACAATTTGGGAAGCGCCAAGTCACAATAACTCCGGTATCACCCCTATGATCACACCAGCTCACGAAGTGTCGTCACATGGCTGGGCTGCCGCGTTGGAGCAGAAGAGTGATTCTGACGACTTGAGAGAAATACAAGAAAATAAGGGTTGTTGAAGTACGATGTTTGCAAGATTGTTCGTGGGTAGTCGCCTATTAATTTCGCTATGCTCGATGGTTAGCCTACTATAGGACCTTCGCGGACCATGATACCTTGTGGTCGCTGGCATCTCCAAATTCTCGTTCTTCACGACAAGCTGCCCATGAGCTTGACGGGAGATACCTTTATTTGCATGTACAAGAAACGCAGAGGCAGCATGCCTCGGGCGCCGGAAAAAGATGATCCCCATCCTTTGTTCATGTTCAGTAGAACTCTGGATGCAACTTCTGCGACCTACAGTGATCCATTCAAAGGCCCTTTTTGAATTTACGACCAACGCTTAACGTTTCTCGGTAGCAATGGCATCCCTCCCCTTACCGTTGGTGGGAATTTCGACCATGCTACCCCGTCTTGTGCTCCTTGGACATCCTAAAATATGCCTTATCATGAATTAACGCGTAACTCTGTTCCGTGGCGTTGTCACATTGGTGCTTATCATCCCGTGGCGCCTCAGACTTGTGGATATCTAGAATGAATTACTTAGACGACCCTTCATTCACGACTCTTCTTCCAACTCTTCAGACCTGATAAGACAGCCCGAAGCACGTCTTCCGCGCAACCAATCAGGTTATGGATTCAGAAAAAGAGACATCATCTTGTGAAGAACTTGCAAATTCTCCGCTCTTCGAAGGAGATGAAGCGCTTCGATTAGTGGGAACTCAAGCACAGAAATTCAGCGAAGAATATAATCGAAGACTTAGAAACAAACTCGTACATCCATTCAGCGGTTATTACACTCATGATGTACCAACTTTGCTGACATCTTGATAGGACATGGTTATTATTCCAATAACTGCTACGGTGTACTTCACCCAGTTTTTGTGAGAAAGCCTTCATTTTCGGCTATCTGGTTTTGACCATCCTGAAAGGGACAAAACATCGCTCAATTATGCGAGGTCAGTGACTGACCGGATGTCTTGCACGACAGGATGCTCAACATTATGTTTAGCATCATGGGGTTTCCGGTAACTGGACAGGACTACAATTTAGTTTCAATGGCATTCTATCTCGGTACCATCTGAGATTACCTTTCAAATGTTCTCGTGTTAATTACATCGCACCCACAGGTTTTATAGTCTGGGAATTCCCCACAGTATATATCGCCCAAAAGCTCAGGCTTGGCAAATACCTCGGTGAGCTGGTACTTATCCTAGGTGTGAATAAAAAACAAAACAATATCAGGCGTGAATATTATCATGTGGGGCGTCGTGTTACTCTGCCATGCGTTTGCAAACTCCTTTCAGGCCTTCTTCGCGCTTCGTTTTATTCTTGGTGCGTAGATGTTCGTCTAGTCGATTGTCGCTAAGATTATGCAGGGATGTGCGAGAGTTGTGTGGCTCCTATCCTGATCTCGATAATATCCATGTTTTATAGAAAAAATGAACAAGTGAGTGGTCAATGATTCCGCCTACAGTGAAACTGTATGCATGATTCGTGCAGGGAACTCGCATTGCATATTTTTACACGATGGTTGGTCACTTTCTTTTCCAATTTTTTCTTCTTGCTGAAGGCGACATAATAGCTTGGTCTTACTCAGGTCTTCGGAGGCTTCATAGCTTATGTATGTAATGCGACGTCACACTAAGAAGGCCGGGCTTACTGATCGGCAGGGAATCTCGTTTTACAACGGAGGTGTCATGGCACCATACAAGATTGTCTACTACCTCCTTGGCAGCCTTGCAATAATCGTTGGAATAATCACATTATTGTGGTTACCAGATTCGCCTGTCAATGCCTGGATGCTTACGAAGGAGGAGCGCATTGCGTCCCTAGAACGGGTTAGGGATGACCAGGGGGGTACAGAGAACAGGAAATTCAAGAAAGAACAAGTCATCGAGACACTTTTGGATGTCCGAACTTGGTTAATCGTGCTTGCGACCATGCTGAGTGGGTATCCATTGCAATATTGCCCGTACATGCCTCACTCTTGTTTCAGCCGATATCCCTAGCGGTGGTCTCACCAACTGTAAGTCATCTCTGCCTTAATGACATGGCTCGACGAGCTTGCTCATGACCAGCCTAGTTAGCGACATTATCATAAAGAATTTCGGATATACGTAGGGCCACACCAGTAATCTGTCGCAGTAACTGATGGATTCCTCGACAGAACAAGGCAGACTTTGATCCTTGCCACTCCCGCTGGACTTGTGAGTGCCATCTCGGTGGTGGTCTGCGGTTATTACTCTGATAAAAAGGTAATGCTCTGCATAGCTGACATCAGGACCGCGCTCATCGATGAATATAGGGAGAACGCATGTTACCAGTGATTTATGCAACTCTCCCAACCCTTCTGGGCGTCGGTAAAATTATTCTTCGTTTATGCTAAGGAATCCAAAGAGGACTGATCACCTTCTAGCGCTGATGATTGGCTTCAACAATAGCGGACAAAAGGGAGTTTTACTATTTGGTGAGCTTTGATCGACGCAGCTATCATGCACGTAAAAGATAACATTATTTGCAGGTTCATATCTCATAGGCTCGTTTGGAAGCACATTATCTATCATCTACGCATACAATGCCAGTAACACTAGTGGTTACACCAAGAAGGTATGTCAGGTATACCTTTGTCTCTGAGCATTGTCTGACATGGTTTGACAGCTCACCATCAACGCGCTCACCATGATCTTTTTCTGCGTTGGAAACATCATTGGCACTGAAATTTTCCAACCTCAAGATGCACCAGCATATATCCCAGGCAAGGCTGCCATCATGGTTTTGCTTTCAATGCAGATCGGAGTAGCATATCTTCTGCGCCGTATTAATGTGAAGCTAAATATTAAACGACGAGCGGTGATAGAAGAGATTAAGAGGGAGAAGGGTTGGACCGACGATGACGTTCAGAAGGAAAAGGAGCGTCGTGCATTCGCCGACATGACAGACAAGCAGTAAGTAAGATCCAGCGAAAGTGGACTCAGGCTGAATATGCTGGCAGGAATGTATTCTTCCAGTATGTAAATTGATAGCAGGACCATCTATCGCATCACAAGTCACTGGAACAAAGCCTGGGGAAATATACTATGCATAAATACAATGTCTGTGGCCATATGACACAAGGGGGAAATGCAACAACCATAAATAACATCCGTCTACCGGAAAACTTTCTCCCATAGAATGATTGCGATTACCAGGACTAGGACGACAATGATAGCAGCGGTGACGACACGTTGTTGGTACATCCTGCATAGCACATATCAGGCACATGGCTCCAAAACACCTGCAGCAGCATTAAACTAACCGTCTAATCATCTTCTTCAAAGTGCCTGAGGCTCGGTCAATTGCAGTGTCAGCGGTGCGAAGCTAGTAAGGCACGGGGTAAGTAATTATCAGGAATCAAGGGACAAGACTCACGGTATCTCTGGAATTCTCGATTTGCTCGCGTTGCGTTCTGAGATTCATCAATATCTCAGCGCCCTGGTCTTCCGTCTCCAGAGCAATGCGTTGTGATTCTTGTAGCCGTCTCGTACCATCATCGAGAGTAGCAGTCCCTGCAAGCAGGCGAGTACGATCACTAGTGGGTCCATAGGGCTCGTCTGATGTGGGTGTGCCCACTCTGCCAGATGAAAGAAGTTCCGCTCTGGATACTTGAGAATGGAGATCCTTGGAAAGCTTCTTGAACCGTACTAGGTCTCCCTTGGCGGTTTTGAGGCGGTTTTGGTACTGTGGCTTTATGGACTGGGGTATCCCCTGTATTTCTATTTCCATTTGCGATATCTAGGGTTGATCATTTAGATCTGACTTCAGTGCCAGTCTATGCGTAAACCTACCATTTCGTCGGCCTCATCCAGCTCCATTTCCACTCTTCTGAGTGCTGCTCTACGCTGTTCTGTGCAAATAATCCTTGTAAACCGATGAGCTAAGACTAGAAACTGCTACGTACCACCACGCTCATCCTTGCCTTCTCCGTCAAGTTTCAAGCGAATGCTGTCAATGATTTGTCTGAAATCCTGTTCATATGAGTCAAATAGCGCAGTCGGGGAGTTGTCCATGGTTTCTGCTACCCTACAAGGGTCAATGGAGACACGACTCTAGAAGGATGCTGAGGGAACGTCAACGTCAGATGGGAGTGAGCGTCAACTGCGTACGAGGCTCACGTCGATGTTGTCTCAAAAAGGAAATCTACTCTCATTCCAACACGACACGTCGACTAGACCTTCGAGGCCGCTGCAGCTCGTATTCTTGACGCACCCCAGTCCTCTTACGCATAGTAATGGATAGGCTTTCATTATACTTGGATCCCCAGATTCGGGACTGGGTTCTCTTTCCAATCACTCTTGTAATGGTGAGTTTGGCCTAATCCTCCCCAGTCCGCACTGTGGCAAGTGTTTACTATGTATGCGGCCAGATATTGGTCGGAATACTGCGCCATTATGTGGTTATTCTTCTGCAGTCGCCACCGAAAAAGCTATCGCGAGCCGCTACTCGTGAGCAGTAAGTGACCCTCCTCTTGCTGTCCCAACAACCTTTTAACACAGTGACCTGCAAAAGACGGGCTCTCACGCGCTCTCAGATTCTCCGAGCCACATCCTCAAATTCCCCAATACCACCATCGTTTTACAAAGCTATCTCACAGCATCTTTCTGAGGCCTACAAGGCCGGGACGTACCTGAAGGACGGACCGCCCAAGGCTGACGTCCCGTCATCTGCTCCCAACCCTCTGTCAGACCCTGCTGCCATGGACGGCATGATGGCTGGCATGAAAACCCAAATGGTCATGATGGTCCCACAGATGGTTATTATGGGCTGGATCAACTTCTTCTTCCAAGGTTTCGTCCTAAGTGCGTGATTTCCCCATAACGCTTCAATAGAACACTCCGACCTGAAGATCTCTCAGTCAAACTACCCTTCCCTTTGACGCTGGGCTTCAAGTCCATGCTTCAGCGTGGCATCGATACCCCTGATATGGATGTTCGGTGGGTTTCATCACTGTCGTGGTATTTCCTCAACTTTTTCGGCTTAAACGGCCTTTATCGACTTATCCTTGGCGGTGATAATGGTACGCGTCTCCATTTATTTCCTGTGTTTTCTATATAGTCGTCTGATGGGCTGGCGTCCGGATCTTCTTTTTTAGCTGCTGATTCATCGCGTGACATGACTACGTCGCCCTTTGCGGCCATGGGCAATGCGCAACCAGGGCAACCACAGGACTTCAACAAACTTTTCAAGGCCGAGCGGGATAATCTCGAGTTTGCTGAGGGTCTTCACAGTTGGGTGGGTGAAAACATGGACACCAAGATTCTACGGAAGTATGGGAAACTAGCTGCCTTGTGACTCTAAGTAGTTGATTATCACGTGGCTATGCAAGATTCTAGCCTTGAGATGCGAATAAAAATATGTGAAACCGGAGCCTGGTCTACCGCTACATCGATGAAGGTAGACAGATCTGGCCATGGCGTAGAGTAAAGTATGGTGTGTGGAAGGCTTGATCTTGATTTCCGTGAGCCGATCGACCACAAGATCATCATCTGGAATACAACAGGAAAAGTATATTAGGAAGAAATTTAGCTGTGGAAATGAATTAGTGGTGGTCGACAAGTAAAAGCAAACCGCTTGCACGAATGCCAACATCATGATCATACGAGACCATCGTATAGTGATAGCGCCTACAAAAAATGAATGAGGTTGGTCAGGGGACTGATCATGTGAAGACCCTGAGTGCTCACCTGGACGATGGTCGGGTCTTGCTTACTGCCTTCGACGAATTCATCGTACGTAAGTTGTGCGTCCTTGTTTCGGTCCATATTCCTGAAGATCTTATTCACTCGCTGCGGATTTGGGTTAATGAGCGGAGACATTTCATGCAAGCGGAGTAGTGTGTCAAACGAACCTTCTCGGGAGTATCTTCATCGGCAGGGAGCTTGACCATTTGACCAGTCATCTTGTATATGGACGTTACGATCTGTAGCATCTCATCGTAGGTGATGAAACCATCTTTGTCTATATCGTACAGCTGAAAAGCCCCTGGAAGAAAGTGAGATCCATTGTGAAACGTCATAAAGGGGTGTGGGGAAATTGTACGTACACTTGAGCTTCTCGTCTAATCGGCCGCGACTTGTGACACTGAGAGCACAGATGAACTCCTTGAAGTCAATAGTACCATTTTTGTTCTCGTCAAATACGTTGAAGACGTAGTCTGCAAAGTCTCCTGGATCCCCGAATGGAAAGAATTGTTTATATATACGACTGAATTCAGTCTTGTCCAGCTGGCCGGATGGACAATCTTTGAGAAAGCCCTTATACCTGTAGCGCGATTAAGAACGCCACATGAGATGATAAATAGAAAGAACCATTGTTGTAGCTCTCTCTTATCGACTAAGGCCATAGCATCAGATAGAGTCAATATAAGGTAATTTGGAACTGACAATAGGTGTTCTTCTGTAGATCTGCGAGCTGCTCTGGTGAAAGTTTGCTATGAGATTTGCCCATGGTTGATTGAGAATGTTGACTGTGTGATTGGAAAGAAGAATGAGTTATGTAGGCTAGGTCGCTGCCACTGCTGGCGGGGTGCCATGATGACTTCCATAGAACATTCAAAGTAGGCTAATCTAAGCGCCGAGACTCGGCCGGCACACGAGGTTCTAGAAATCGAAAATACGAAATTAGAATTGATTTTTAAATTTGATTGTGAGATTGTACTTGATTTGTCGAATTTACGATATAATTTGATAGAATAACCGTTTTTGGATTTTATGGTGTCTACACGTTTTAAAACATGAGGACGACGTCGAACTAAAAGCGTTCGGGACTCGTGTTCAATTGTTACAGCAGGGGGGAGCGGCATATAAAGGATTCGAATCGATCTTGTCAGTCTGTTACTGACCTCCATCTTGTCGTCGTAACTCATCATGGTCTCCCCTCAAACGGAACCGATCAGCAGAGCGCACCCAGGATACCGCATGCCGGTCCTGGCTTTGCCATTCCACCTTCTTTCTCTCAACCGGAACCCTTTTTTAGTTATCCTGCATTAGTATTTCATATAAATCATTCGCATCTCCTCCTCCCCCAAGATCAGTTTCATCAATGTGCTACCTATATGGATCGACTGACCCAGCATCGGCTTTCTGTCCCATGTGTAAAGTATTCAAGCCGAGTGGAAACAGGTAATATCCTTTAATTCATCAAACACTCCGAGTCCCTTACCCACGCTAGATGCCCTCACATCCGAGATGTATGTTACAACAGAGCTTTGCATCCTCGTCATGACATCGTTCATCTAAAGAATGCCGAGGGTATGTATGTAGTCTTATAGCTCATACCCGTAATACTCACCGATTACTTTAAATCTTTAGTCAAATCTTTTAATGGATGTGGCTATTGCAAGGTTATTTATTTCAATGTTAATCATCAGTACACTAACCGCTTCGATCTGCAGTGGGCTCGCGCTAATCCATCGTCAAAAGTTAGCTTGCATCAGAACCCCGGTTGGCCCGGATGCTGCAGGCCTCCAAGCCTCAATGAGCAGCGCCTCATACAGGCTGCAGATTGGCCTAGTGTCAGCATCGTCCATAGCATACCTATGCCTCAAGAGATAAAAAGCATCCTCGAAAGCGTACGAGGTGCCATCCTACCAGGTGTCTCACCCACAAATCGCAGTCCAGCAGCCCAACAGCAAATGCCATCACTGGATCGTAGAAACAGCGGTAGCAGTCCCACGACCAGGTCTAGCCCAACCTCCGGGAAGAATCAGGCAATGCCCATTCCAACAAGAGGGCGCTCAGGTGGAAGTCCTGTGCAACAGAGTTCCCCTTTAACAGGAACGACACCACGAGCTTCTGGACCCCTGTCTTCATTTCCAAATTCAGCAGAGCAAAGCACGTCGCCTCGTCGCCAGACAGTCTCAGAAGGGGTAGAGAAGACAAACCGCACTCCCTCCATGCGTAGAGCGACAGACTTGGACGGTTCGCTGTCACGGCGTAACGGCGGAGGACGGCCTTCGTTATCCTCAGTTTCCGCATCGTTAAACTCATCGAAGCCTTCTGCGGAGTACTGCCCGCCAGCTCCTTATCCATCTCCTGTTGACGGCGTCCCCACGAATTCGCCGGATTCTCCATTTTCTTCTCGACGATCTACATTAGAAGGCGCCATGGCGGCGTTAAAGGTTGGGAGCACTGCGGGGAACAGCAGTGATAGCGGCAGCTCGCAAGGCTCCGTATCAGATGCGACCGTAATCTCCGATGGGGGCTTCACAGATTACTTGTCAGATGAGTCGGAGGCAGAATTACAGAGACAGGCAGAAGCAAAGGCAGCTCTGGTTGCGCAGAATCAGGCAGAGGAACAAGAGTTCAAGGCTGCTAGGCAGCAACTTGCCGGAGTTGGCTTACGACCGCCCAAGTCCTGGGATGATACCAATGATGCTATTCCGCGTACTATGCAAAACGCAGGAAATCATGCAGTGGGCTATGCGCATCATCCAGCGTATGCATCTCCTGTATTTGTACCTCCTGCTGTCACACATTCTGCTCGCGGATGATAGGTAACTCTACTGGACCTGCGCGTTTTATCTATCATGTATCTTTTTAAACCTTCCGTGGTCGTCACTATTTGTTACCTGTTCTATGGGTTCCATTTGTACAATATCTGATTCAATTGCGTCGAACTACCTCACTAGCTATAGTGGTACTGATACTTGGACTAGCTAGTAAACAATTGTTTGCTTGTTCCAAGTTTGTGGTTGATGGTCAAAGACCTAATCGCGCCACTTCAGAAGCTTTACTAGCTCCAGCCACATTCTGATGCTGATGCAGCATGCGAGCTGCTACTGAGCGATACACTTTATCACCTCCTTTCCATCACGTCGATCCATGAACCTAGCTCGACACTCTATCACTGCGACAAACCCCATTCAGATCTTTGATACCCGATTTGAAGCAGACTGTCAGATATTTACTACTACAACACCTGCAGGGTTTGCTGTGTACCAAACATGGCCGCTGAAGCTTATTCGCAAGAGAGGTGGGTAGGTAGTATTCTTTCTGTTCGCTGTTGATCTTCATAAATCAAGCAGAGTTTACTGGGGGAACCCTTGCGGCCGCAGTGCCATGTCACACGTCATCTCTGCTCTTTCTCCTTGGAGGAGGCCGTAGTCCACTTTATCCTCCAAATAAGGTGATCGTATGGGACGACGCGGCTGGAGAAGAAGTAGCAGAGCTAGAATTCAGGGAAAGGGTCAGAGGTCTTGCTTGTAGACGTGGATGGCTTGCAGTATCGTTTCGGAGAAGAATTGTATTATTCGAGGTCGGGGAGACCATCGTTCGACGGAATGAATTCGACACATGTGATAATCCTCGAGGTGAGCTGGGTTATCTACGTGTGTATATCGACGATTTATGCTCTTCGGTGTGCAGGCTTGCTTGCTATGGCTACTGGGGCATATTCAACCCTTCTGGCTTTCCCTGGTCGGCAGATGGGGCACGTACAGTTAGTACATCTACCACCTTGTATTCCACCGACGCCAGTTGGTCCTCCCCCTTCTGTCCCACCATCTCGCCCACCACCTCCACCATCGAAACATCCAGTCTCAATTATCGCCGCACATGAGTCCTCCTTGAATACTCTCACCGTTCCTCAATCGGGTCGGATGCTCGCTACGACCTCGTCCCGCGGTACCCTTGTTCGTATATGGGACACGCTTTCAGGAAAGCTGATACGTGTATTCAGAAGGGGATCAGATAAGGCCGAAATATATGGGGTTGCCTTTCGCCCTGATGAGAAGGAAGTATGTGTTTGGAGTGATAAGGGCACCGTACACGTATTCTCTCTTATGTCCGGCCCCTCGTGAGTCATTCCTATCCCACCCGAAATCTATTAACGTTGACGCGATTGGATGGTACAGTAATCGGCAGTCGTCCTTGTCCCCGCTTGCTTCACTCATTCCTTACTTTGACTCCGAATGGTCATATGCTCAGTATCGGATTCCGGCCCAAGCCTCCCATATATCATTATCTTCTTCCACGTCATCCTCTCGTTCGCCTACGGCTGATATTACCGATGAGGAGAAATGCATGGTTGGCTGGATCGAAGCACCCTCTGATCGTAGTGAACCAGGTCGTGATCCACTTATGGAGTACCAGCTCATAGCGCTCACATACAGCGGGGGCTGGTATCGGTTGTCACTGCCACAGGGGACGTCTAACATATCTTCGCCGTCTGCGGGTGGGACCCCGCTGTCCAGCTCCCCACCCAAGGCATCCTCGCATTCTCGTCCACGCACGAACAGCGTGTCATCTATCGCAAGTCGCACGGAGAAGGGAAAGGAAAGGGAACGTGACAGGGACCGGAAGGACAACCGAGAACTAATTTTGCAAGAGTACCGGAAATATGGTAGGTGGGATGGTTGGGGCTAGAATGGTAATGATTTCTGTTATCTTGATGTCTCTTAGTTTTGGATCATGCACTACTCGTTCCCGTTTATAATCATTCACGACTCGTAGTACCCTCGTAGTTCATTTTTCATCGTCACATTATATTGTTTTTGCTGCAGATGAATGTTATCTTGAAGACCTTCTCACGATGCTATAGTTTGAGACCATGTGCACTTATGATACCCGAACCGTCACGACACACGGGGGCACCACTAATTCAGGCTTAAGATCATCATCTACGCACTAGCTGTAGTGACACTTTTATCATGCCTGTCGTTTCGGTCGGTATGCCTCTGGGACCGGGATGTTCTACTTGCGGGTATTGTGGACCGCTGGGAGAACGAAGTAGCACTGAGACTAGCTTCAAGAAAGCAGGGTTTATTGCCTCTCAACTGTCATGCGAAGTGAGTCCTTTCAAGTTGCGGCACGAGACACATGTTATCCTCTTCTCATTTTCTGACAGTTTGCTAGGTCTATCAAAAGATGATCTACCGAGGGTGGAGACGATCTGGGACATATTGTTATGCTCCTGATCTAAGACGCTCGTGTTGTCCTCAGTACACTATCAGGTACGTTATCCGTGGATGTGCTGCCAGTGCGAGACCCTACTTATCTGAACTCAATCTTAGGCTTGATGCGATAGCATTTAAGCCCTCTCGCAGCCAAAGAAAACTCATCAACCGGTAAATATCTCCGGATGGACTTGAACTTGTCTCGGTGGATTGGCAGCTAACTTGAATGTTGACTTTTGTAAACAGATGGAATCATTTTGTTATGCAAGGTCACAAATCTGAGACTAGTGATTCTCTGCTACTGCAGGGTATATCATCTTCCCCGATGCCAACCAGACCATCCAAGTCAGGGGGTAATGCTTCGAAGCGCGATCCTCCAGCATTTTCTCTGTCTACCTCGATACATGCTGCTGAGTCTGACTTCATTTCTCCAAATACAACAGCCCGTCATAATTTCAAGGCATGATATGCATGACGTTCCGAAGCACCGATGTTAAAGTGCTATGATAGGTGACGCTCGAACCATCAACCTACTCGGAAGAGAAGTACACGCTTTATCTGCTTTACCAAAGACAAATCCACCACGACCCACACAATACACCAGAAGATTTCAAGCGTTTTCTAGTGAAAAGCCCTTTAATAGTACGTCTCTATGCAATCACACACCCAGTAGTCGGCGTTGACACTTCGCCTTTCGAAGAATGAACCTATACCATATCCTGCAAGCGCACCTGACCATCTTCCGTCACAATATGGTTCTTTCCATCAGATGTACCGACTTGACGGCGAACTGATCGCCGTGGGCGTCATTGATATCTTGCCTGAATGCGTCTCCAGCGTGTATTTCATGTACGATCCGAAGCACGACAAATATTCGCTTGGGAAGGTCAATTGGTGCACTCATCGTTTTTCGCGCGATTGAGCGAGCTGTGTTTCTAGCTCAGTGCATTGCGAGAGGCCTCATTGGCTAGAGAAATGCATGATGCAGGTGCGATTGCCATGTCATCACTTGCCATGGGTGAGATATCACTGCCGTCATCGATGTGCCCGTCTAAGGTGTGCTCACCTCACTTCAGGGTTTTACATTCACTCTTGCCCAAAAATGAAGTACAAGGGCGGGTTTTCGCCTTCATATCTCGCCGACCCTGTAAGTGATGATGTCACTGACAGCTTGGCAGTCTGATTAGATCCTTCTGCAAATTCAGGAAGAATTTACGTGGGTTCCTTTGGCGGATTGTATTCCGCAGCTAGAAAAGTTTCGCTATGCCGCTTTCGTGCACCCCGAACATTCGTTGGAAGGTCCACAGGATCCTGGTGAAGGTATGATTGGATGGTCATTTGGTAATCATGATGATTTCCCCTTTCAAGGCCCTCCTGTTCGCGTCCCGGAGGAACTACTCAACGAAGTGATGGTCATTTATTCCATGCAACAGGGGGCGATATCTATTATCCCTATCAGCGTGAGTGGCTGACAACTCGATGGCTCAGAAACTGAATGGTCTCCTAGTTATCTCACCAGTGGAAAGATGAACATAATCGCGAGGAGATTTTAAGTTGCGTTGATACGCTAGGAGATGAGTTATCAAGGGAGATCATATTTCGGTAATAGACGATGATCTAAAACCTGTATTTTTTCTATTTGGGATACCTTGCTGGATCAAGTGGAACTGCTTTTTTACCGTTGTGCGGACGCTCTCGGGATGTACAAGTGTTAGTCAGCACGTGATCGATCTCTTTCAGTTGCCAGCGTCTTTCTGTTGGAATTAGATTCGCTGAAGGTTCTCAAGCTGGCTCTTGAAGTGACATGTCGCTATTCCTGAAGTTTTCAAAGTTAAGCAGGCCGTTAACCTCAAGGCGGGTTCACAGCGCTGCGAACCCAGAAGGGGGTTTCAGGAGGGCATGGGCTTTAATTGGCAGGCCATTGCGATGGATCTACTGGCTTCCGCTTGGCCTCGGCTTCACACAGTACTTCTACACTCTGAAAACGATCAGAGGAAGGAGCATGCAGGTCTGTCGTGAACTCAAATGGTCCAGAGACATTTCTGACCAGTCTTGCATGCTAGCTAGCCAACTTTAAATCCGGATACCTCAAGTTGGGATGATATTGTTGTTTTTGACAGATATTCTATCAACTCTGGAGAGCCTATTCGAAAAGGCGACGTTGTGGCACTTCGGTACGACCAATTCCATGGGCATGGAGAAGCTGCTGATATTTCCTTTGTTCAGGGATCCATTGGATAGTAGAAAAATGATCGTGAAGCGAATCGTAGCTGGGGCAGGGGATGTTGTTAAGACCCTGCCTCCATATCCAGATGCCGAAGTTTTTGTCCCCGAAGGTCATGTTTGGGTGGAGGGTGAGACGCGTCGTTTTGACTTGAGCTAGTCTTGATGTTGCATTAGGTGACGAACCTTTCAGGACTCTGGATAGCAATAAATTTGGCCCAGTGAGTCTATATGCTCCTAAATTCATCTGCGCTAATGCTTCGCCTCAGGTCCCCCTTGCTCTTTTAGACTCCAAGTTGATGTATATCGTCTGGCCATTGGATCGTATAGGGCCTCTGCGTCCACCTATTTCCCCAATCTCCAAGAGAGGTGCTTCCCGAGATTTTCGATGGTATAGCGACATGGCAGCCTTCGAACGAGAGCAACGTAGGCAGTCGAGGGTAACTACACGCTCGACGACGACGTCTCACTCGTAATCTAGCTGGCCTTTGCAAGGTATAATTACGATTCAAGCAGTGACGGACCTCGTGTTCTCTACAATATATGGGCGCTCATCATAGCATGCATCCTGGAGTGTTGACTTTCCGGTCCATTGTCTTGATTCTATCATGTTGTGACATAGCAATCAGCCGACATGGTTCGTGCACTTCCTAGCGGAGTTACGAGAGCATCTGAGTGGCGGAGTAGTTAGTTGATATAATAGATAAACGGAATCAGCCGAATATATTCTGCGCGCCACGAACTCCTATTATCGTCGCTGTTCCTACTAAGCCCGGAACCTAAATCTTAAGAGGTTATGAGCCCTGATCAATATTTCCTTCTGTGATGTGATGACCTTGTCTAGCGTACAAGGACACTTTCCCACCGCCGAACTTAGCACATCCGCCGTCTTTATCCAACTGGCGTACGGATAACAAATTGTTTGATGCGTTCGGTACGTATAGTACATTTTTTAAGTAAAATTTGATCTTCTGATTGCCCATATAGCTTTCAAGTTCAACTGTGCCTCGCCCTTTTACTTTAAGGGGTTCATTCCCTATCCCAACCACCTCACTTTTTGTTGGGGCATAATCTGTGAGTGCAGTTCGAACTCTGGTTATATGTGATGTTGTTCCTGAATCTGTGAACCATTCGTACCAGATCATTGACTCTTGGTCCCTCTTTGGGGCACAATCAGACTGAACCATAAACGCAATGTTAGGTTCGTCTTCGACTTCCATATCAGTCTCGTCACCCTCGCCGCGCACTTGGTAAGCATGTTTTGGCTTTTGAGGTCTGGATGATGTTCCTGAAGTCTTCTTTCCCCAGCACACTGAAGTCTCATGTCCGAATTTATCGCAGGACGTACACTTCGGCTTGCCTTTCCAATAACATTTCGTGGTGGCATGATTATGCCTACCACAAATCGAGCATTCCGGTAAGTTCTGTTTGGGTCTTTCCTTCTCAATCTTACGCTTTTTCCCGTGTTCGGTACTCTTAGCATAATATCCTTTCTCCTGCGTACCGTGTGTCTCCCTGCGATTATATTCATCTATAATCAATGAGGTAATCTCCTGGGAGGTTATGCCTTTTGTCCCTTGCGTATCTGCATGTATACCAAGGTACGAGGATGTGAAGGCATCCCAAGAGTCCGGTAAGGACATCACGAGCAAGGACTTGTATTCCTTGTCCGTAATCATCTCGCCCATAAGATGTAGGTCATTTTGTTGCCGTTTCATCTCATTGATATGTTCGACAATATTGACGCCTTCAGTTGCCCGCATAGCGAATAAATTTCGCTTTGCGACGACGACACTTTGTTGTCCTTGAACTTGATGAATACTCATCAGGTTTGTCCACATTTGTTCGGCCATTGCAGCCTCTGTAACATGCACCATCTGCTCGTCAGTGATGCTGTTCATTATCAAGGTCTGTGCAACTTGGTCGAGTTTGTTCCAGGTCGCTAACTCATCCACCTTGCCTGCATCAGGCTTTTTCGTCGTGCCGTCGACATGTTCAGCCACGCCGTGAAGCTTGAGAAGGCCCATCATACGGGCTTTCCATCCACTCCAGTTTTTTTCTTTCAGCGGTTCAATTTTATATGACGACAACGCTCCTAAGTTTATTTCTTTAGGTTTCTGAGTAGCCGCAGGAACAGGTACTGTTGTGGAAGCCCCAACAGTTGTAGAAGTCAGAGGATTAGGATTGGGATTCGACATCTTGCTTGTTTGTGTCAATGTATTGCTTTGACGTTAACTTTTTAACGTATCACAGGGCTCGTAACCTCTTAAGATTTAGGTTCCGGGCTTAGTAGGAACAGCGACAATAATAGGAGTTCGTGCAGCCTAGGTCCTTAAAACAAGTCTTTGTCGGTTATGTGGATGGACCGAAGGCAATAAGATACTATGACGCCCGAACACGTCAGATACGAGTGAGCAGAAATTATAAATTTATAAGCTCACCAGAAAACTCTCCACAAAGCGCTAGTGATGTGCAGCGCGAGGGGGAGAATGATATGGGAGAATTAGACGCGCAGACATCAGGGGGAGCTGACGCGCAATCACCTATACAAGAACACTCCAAAGATGAACGGCAATCAGATATACGAGAACACTTACCAGAAAACAACTCAGATAAGGATACATCCGCAAGTAATAAGCGGAAAGAACCGCCTGAGACACAAGAGATGCCCAGAAGAACTAAAAGACAGACGGTTAGAAAAGACTACCGCAAGATGAATGAACCAGACTTCAAGGATGACGAGAATAATAAAGCTAAGTCATATGAAGTCAAAAACGGTGAACTGCCATTGCCAGAACTCACAGAGGAAGATATAGTCTTGATAGCGATGGTAGAAGGAGGACACATTGAACCCAATGAGCCAAAGAACCTAAGAGAAGCACAGGCGTCAATTGATTGGCCAAAATGGGAGGAAGCAATACGAGCCGAACTTACCCAGCTAAACGAAATGGGTACTTGGGAATTGGTAGAACCACCCGAGAATAGGACACTCATCGGAAACAAATGGGTCCTGGTTAAGAAAACAAATAAAGAAGGCGAAGTTATTAAATATAAAGCAAGGTTAGTAGCGAAAGGATACTCACAAATTCCCGGTATGGACTACACAGATACTTTCGCACTGGTAGTACGTCTTGAGTTGATTCGATCGACAATGTCTGTTGCAGCTGCCCTAGATTGGGAAGTTGAGCAGATGGACGTAAAAGGAGCGTATTTGAACGGCACCTTAACAGAGGAGGTGTACATGGTCCAACCGGAAGGGTATGAAGACGGTACAGGAAGAGTGTGCCGACTTCGAAAGACCTTGTATGGATTGAAACAATCTGGACGTGAGTGGAACATTGAATTAAATAGTCGTCTAACAAAGATAGGATTTAAACGTACCAAGTCGGATCCATGCGTTTATATAAGACAGACCGAGACAGGCACACAGATCATAACAGTATGGGTAGATGATCTACTCCTGTTTGCTAATAATCCCGATCTTATGAGTCAGTTAAAGACGCAGTTAAAAGAGATATTGGACGTTACCAATCTAGGAGAACCTAAGAAAATAGTAGGAATTGAGATAACAAGAAACCGTGCCGAGAAAACAATTAAGTTGTCTCAAGCACGGTACATAGACTCAATCCTGCAAAAATATGGTCTCCAGAACTGCAATGCAGTAGGTATGCCCATGGATCTGAAAGTCATATTAGAAAAAGAAGATACCGACACAAAAGGCGAGCGTAGTAATAGTTATGCCTCATTAGTTGGATCTTTAATGTATCTTGCAGTGGCGACACGTCCTGACATCGCGTATGCGATTCAGAGATTGAGCTCTTTTACTGCAAATCCTGGACTAACACATTGGTCAGCGGCAAAACGGGTATTAAGATATCTAGCAGGGACTAAAGACCTCGGAATTAAGTATCGAGGAACCGATTCCACAAACGCCAAAGTCAAATTTGAGGGATGGACAGACGCAGACTATGCTAATGACATCCGCGATAGAGTCTCAGTATCAGGATACGTATTCAAGCTAAGTGAAGGAGCCATTACCTGGAGTTCCAAGAAACAAAATGCCGTCTCACTATCCTCAACAGAGGCAGAATATACAGCAATGGCATATGGGGCGAAGGAAGCGGTATGGCTTTGATACTTGTTTGAAGATTTGAATTTGGCCCAAGAAGGACCAACAATCCTATACGGAGACAATATGGCAGTGTTAGCGATAGCTCGAGACCCTCAATATCATGCGAGATCAAAACACTTTGATGTAAAAAATCATTACATCAGGAATAAGATTCGCGAGAAAATAATACAAGAGACATACTGTCCTACAGAAAGGATGATAGCAGATGTACTCACAAAACCGCTAGCTAAACCATCACATCAGAGACTCTCCAACATGATGGGCATGTCTCCAGATTGAGGGGGAGTGTTGTGACATAGCAATCAGCCGACATGGTTCGTGCACTTCCTAGCGGAGTTACGAGAGCATCTGAGTGGCGGAGTAGTTAGTTGATATAATAGATAAACGGAATCAGCCGAATATATTCTGCGCGCCACGAACTCCTATTATCGTCGCTGTTCCTACTAAGCCCGGAACCTAAATCTTAAGATATCAACCTCTTAATATTGTGAACAACGCTTCATTTTTGTATGCCTGGTACAATTGGTTTGAACACTAGTACTAGCTACCTCGTCAACGTCATGGTTGGCTCTACGTAATATCGGTACCGAAACTTCCATCGACATCCCGCTAGTAATGTCGTGGGAAAGGAGTGGATACAAGTCATCGAAAGCTTAGAAAGTCATCACATCGGATCCGGGGCCATCGCAACTTGAAGTTGTCCACTACTACGAGTCGCGTATTACGCGACAAAGAGAACGAACTCTACTTGTCATCCCTTGTATTATCCAGAGGGTCCACTTTAACATGTCTATTCTCCAGCATCTTGACCAGTTGACGTCTGCTCCTGGCGAATATGCTGTTCAGAACTTCAATGATACCAAGCGACTAGACGACTGGATAATGTCTGTTGCATGTCGATCATGTCTTTTGAATCAAATAAAGACTCACATTAATTGTCTAGGCCCAAGTCGTTCGCGAGTCCAGGTACTCTATCCGACTGACATGACCTCAACCGACGAACTCACCACACGTAGATGTCAATGACAATCTAGAAAAGGATTTTCGAAACTCCATTATGGATGTATTCATCACTGGTCAGAAATTGTCGGTATCCACACCTGAGCACCTAATAGGCAGATTGTCAAGGTTAGTGTTCCTGGGCTCGTCACGTCCTTCTACAGGAGCCTCATGATCATGATACGTAGCAAACCAAAGGAGGTTCTAGAGCATATTTCTGGTATTCTGTCGACTACACTCTCCGATGATGCCATATCAGGCGAGCTTGCTGATCTGGTTGGCTTTGACGACATCGAAATTGTTGCAGAATTGCTCGCTTCTAGATCTTACTTTGTGAACGCAGTC